TCATTGGATTGTGCAATTTTCATTTGCCTCTGAAGCAGTTACATTACTAGATATTTTGAAATTTTTCTACTATATTTGTTATTATATATGATATACATTTTTTTCTTTTAAGTTTTGACACATTTTGATCAGTGGCGTATTATTTTCCACACAGTTTGGTTATCGCGATATATTTGACTTGATGTGCGCAGATCAGTGAACAAATAAAACACTATCAAAGCTCTCCACTATATCATTTTCAATTTTTCCACCATTATGCCTCTCGATAGAAATGCTATTGATTACGGTAAGTAATTTGGTGTACTATTGTTAAAATTTCAGTATATAGAAATCTCCCAATCAGCTCTGATGCGCAAAAGGCTTGTTCAAAGCGAGCTCCTCAACGCAAATTTCGACAAAAAATACCAAAGGTACACTATAAAAAAATTTTTTTTTGGAAATTAAAATTTTCAAGCACATTCACTCTTCTTGGTGCTCAATCAATAAATTCATTGAATAAAGATTTTGGAGATATCCCAGATGCCAGTATATTCCTTCCAAGAAAGACCACAAGGTTTCACCGATCAGCGATATTGTTTTCAGATGTGAGTTTTTAAAGCTTTTCTTTAATAATTTGTCTGCAAGTATAAAAAATAAATGGGGCACTTTGAATGCGGTGTAATATTTGTTTGCCATTTTCATATTACACCCCCCCCCAATTTTTGAATTCACTCTTTGATACTTTTCGTAAAATCAAACAATATATTGTTCCAGTTTACTATAATACAGACATACCCTTTATTTTGAATCTTCTTCAATCTGATAATTGAGTTTAAGTACATTTACTATAAATATATCTCCACACTTGTATTCATTTTCACAATGAGCCCACGTGCAACGATTTAATGTCATCATTAATTAGGTTTTCTTTTGACAAAACAAAATGAGCCAGTATCCGTCTCAGTTTGGGCTCCCGTCACAACAAAACGAATTTGAGCTAATTTCATTAGACATTTATACAGAATTAATTGACAGATTCTATTGGATAACGAGTAACTAGAAATAGGGAATTTTTTGTGCGTCTAAGAGAGCAATTGATTAAAAAACAAGACAAAAAATTCAAAACAATCGAAATATTTGAAGTCAAATACATTGAAAGTCAATTAATTCAATGCATAACTATGTATATAGTTTTATAATCTGTTGGTCAGAAACAGAAATATTGAGACATTTTTTTGAATTTTGAAAATTTTTCTGCAAATCCTTATCTGAATCTAATTCGCTCCTCGACTGGTGGCCATTCCTTACACTTTTCGAGGTGTCAATTAGTTTCGAAAAAGAGAAAAAATGGAACTTTGAAAAATTGCCGTCATGGTGGTCCCGTTTGTGACCAATTGCTCGCGCTTGGGTTGGCCAGTAAAACGTTTTTTTACGCGTCAAACCGAAACGCAAAAAGCGCGGGGCAACCGATTCGAAAAGTGACCAGCTGCTTCTTCACGTCGCTTGCACATCGCTGGTAAAACCGCCGGCCGGGAGCCCTCAGCGTACGACCAACTACCCTCGCCCCCCCCCCCTGCACCACGGCTCGCTAGGGTATCACGATTGCACAAACGATGTATCTATGTACTCTAACACAGATTCTATCACTTCTTGCAGTTTTACGTTTTGATATTATAAATGTCCCATGGTTGATATTGCCGGCATCCGTGGTGTGCCACTCAACAAAATAGAAGATGATTTTTTTTAATGTTTGACTGTACAATTTTCCCATACCTCCGCTTAATGTTTGTGTATGTGTGCTGAGCACATTTCATCATTTGATTTGATAAATCTTTCTAACATCTTTGAGTTTTATTTTATCTCTACTTTTTTGAGCCAAAATTATTATTTTTTTCCAGAAATGTTCGAGTATTTAATGCAATTTAGGAAGTTTAAGAGAACATCTTCGAATTTTTTAAGTATTTCAAGTAGTTTTATCGAATTTTCCTCCCAGAAATAGAATTTTTACTATCTCAAATTTTTCAAAATTTTTTTCACAATTTATCGAAAATTAACGATTTTCTGGAAAAATTGGATTAGATAAAAATTTTTAAAAGAGTTTTTGCTTGAAATAAAAAAATGAACGCATGATTTAGTGGCCGTACTGGCACTACACTTTTTTGAATGTGGTATAAGAAAATCATTGATTGGAACCTGCTAACAATCAGTCTATACCATACACAAGCATACACTGTTTCATTTATTTAATTCTTGAGAGTTTGAATTTTTTCTAAAACATAATTTCAGTCTCGTGTATCTACACTTAGCGATTTCCCAATCGAGAAATCTTTAATCGACCCTCACAATACGATTTTGAAAAATATGAAAAACAGGAAAAATTTTCCTCAATTTTTTTTTTCAAAAGACAATTTGCGGTTTTTGAACCCTCAAAAATTTTGTCAATCCATCAATTATCGATATGTGCCTGTCTTAACATTTTCTCAGTGTTCGGACTCTGTCATGTACTGCAGACATGCTCGTTTATCAATAGTACTCTTCTCCTCTCAAAAATCAGTTCCGGACCAACACTATAAAAACAACAAGAATTTTTTGCACCTTTTTTTAGTTATTGTTTCCGTTATCGCATTTTTTACCAAATAAAAAAACGGTACTGCCATTTTCAGAATAGTTATTTGATGTTATAACGGGTTTATTAAAAAATACGTTAAGTACACTAAAAAATGTTGGACTTATTTCGAGCCGCAAAAGGAGAAGCAGCGCAAGTAGTAAGAAATAAATTCAATTCATTTTTTCCGTTCAATTTTTATTGCTCATTTCTTTTATTTTGCAGAATGATTCAATTGCGTCAACATCGAGTAACACTTGGCTCGCCAAGAAAAAACATTTTCGCGATACTGAAGAATGGAAAATTAAAAAGACAAGGATATTGAACAAATTACGAGCACTATCCAAAATCAATTTGGCTCTAGTGCTTGCGCGAATGCCGGTTAGTTGAAATTCCCTTTTTTATTGAATTTTTCTCTATTTTTTCTTGTGGCAAAAATCCTTATTTCAAAAAAATGAAGTACCTATAACGAATTGCTATAAATCGCCAATGGGTCATAGCTTCAAATTGCTTATTCCCCCTGCTTACTCATTTTGTACTTCAAGAATAGATTGTTTTGAAAATTAATTTTCTAAAATATTTTTTAATAATGGCGTTTCGTCAGGTTACTTCCATTTCCTCATACATTCTTCCATTAAATTGTTATTTTGTTGTTTTTTAACAACTACTAAAATTAATTGTGAAATTCATAAAATTTGCCTTATTTTTAAAAAATCTTCAATCTACAAATTCTAATTTGCTATAACAAAAATGAATTTCTGCTCTTCTTATCTATATGGGCATAGACAGTAAAAAATAGGAAAAGCCTCCATGTTTCTGTAAAAATGTTCACTTTTCACAATTTCCTAATTTCAACGAATGATACCATCTTTTTGAGCGTTGGTGCAAAATGGCTCAGCAGAGGTGTAAAAAATCATTTTTCTTCTCACTATCGGCACATGAATCGGTTGATTAGGTAGAAAGAGAAATCGTTGATGAATGGTCGTTCAGTGCTGAGCATCTGCTCTTGAACGAAGAAAAAAAATACCTCGTTCATCTATCCAACCATTTTTTTTTGTCTGAAGACTAATAAACTTGCCAAACGCTTCATTTCGCTCTAGTTGTTCGTCTATTTTCATTATCTAGAATAACAATGAACCGAAACTCGTCAAACATGGAGAACTTAACGAAACACCGAAGCCGGATGCAGCTAGGCAAGGTTTGCTCAAATGACTGTTCGAAAAAAAGTTTTTAGAAAAATTTTAATTTTTAAATTAGTTATATTATAAAAATGAATTCCCATTAAAAAAAACCTTCTCAAATGAACTCGAATGAAAGTTTTGTTCTGTTTAAAGTTTATTTCAAAAATTAGCATATTTTTTTACTTAGAAGAAAATACATATGACTATTCTTGTCATCATTATAACAATTGTTTGTTGAACGTCTTGAACCTCAAAAATTCATTATTCAACCGTAAGTGATGGCTTTTTGAAAAAATTAGTCCAAAATTGGTGAAAACAGTTTGAAACCGGAACTTCTAAAATCAAATTTGTGGTAATAACCAAAAATGGCATTTTGATCAATTTTATTTATTTTTTTGGCTTAAAAGTTTTCAAATGAACAACAAAATGTGTTTTGTTGGTAAAATGAGTTTTATTGACTTTTAGCATTTATTGATCTTGAAATAAATATTTTTATTCAAGAATGGTTTGAGATAAATCTTTAAAGTTTCAACTTCAATAGGGCAATTTTTCTTAATTCCTTCAAACTGAAATAGGCTGCTATACAGAAAGGAATGAGATAGAATCGGATTGTACATGATTCGTTGGAGTTCTCAATTTCGTTTTTGTGTGTTGTGCAGTTTGCGGATTGTTACACATGCCAGCTGACGTTGATCGAGCTTTTTCGCGAGAAATGACAGCATATTTGTCTGCATGATCTCACACACACACACACACCGAGTCATTCTCAAAATTGAGAAAAAAGTATCTCTTTTCGACTTGTGCCATCACAACGTGCCTACAAACATTTTCTTCCAATGTTTTACGTTTAATTTCAACACATTTCTCGCGATTGCACCATTTCGCTGTTATAAAAATGCCTAGAGATCAACTATTTAATGACAATGAGAATCAATCGCAATTCCTTATTAGAACTAACGTTCCTATCATTTCTTTTTAGATATTTTTTATTGACATTCGCAAAAAATTAGCACCTTGGCGATGCTAATAAAAATTGTTTCGAATTAAATTCAATATATCTTTTTTTCGCGAGCTTAACCTTGTGGGCTCCATCATCCAGTTCTATCTAGTGATTTGACAAGTTGGTCAAAAGATCAGCACATTTTTGACACGTCGATCAAGTACTTTCATTATTTGCTTTTAACTGTTTCGCGAAGCATTATTTGAGTAAAATTGTCATAAAAATGCAGGCGAAAATGACTGCGATCTACGATATGACTCGTCGTGTTACTATGCACGACGTGAACCCGGAAAATAATGCAATGTATGATGAAATGGAAGCGGATAACGACGAGTTCTTTAATGATGGTTCTCATCAATATCAGGAGAAAAGTTGCTATGTAATCAAATAAAAATAAATTTTTCTTTTTTCATATTAATTTTATACTGTTTTTACCACATTGTATTATTTCAGACCATCGAAAAACTTCCTGACAAAGTTCTTCTTCATATCTTTCAATATTTATCGCCATATCAGGTATTCCACAAAAAAACATGTCAAACGTCTTACTTGAAAATTTGAGATTATTCATTCTGGTCAAGTTTGCCGTCGTTGGAGGCAGGTCGCATGCTCGCCGTCATTGTGGAGATTTGTGTCATTTCGCACCAATTTTGGAGGAATTCAAGTAAATTTTCAATGCGCTAAAAATTCAAACCCATGATTTCAAGGTAAGAGATCATGATCATTTCATCAATTTGATTGGGACGCGATTCTCGGAGCTTCGAATTGTGGAATTGGCGACCGATCTCATTACACCACAAGTTCTTCATGAGCTCTCCAATAAATGCCCGAAACTTCAATATCTCACGTTAGGTTGGCTGAACGCAATTGCAGTTTGAAAAGAAAAACGCGATAACATGCTTTACACAGATTTTTCAACAGCAATGCAGCTGCACGATTTCACCGATCTTCAAACGTTTCCATCACGTCTGAAATCTCTCACACTGTGCCTTTCGGAGAACATCTTTCTGGAAGGATTTCTACGCAAAGTTTACACTTTCATCTCTTCCGTCGAGGTCCTCCATATCATCGGTTAGTGTTGTAGAGTGTGTAGAGTGGAGGCGGGCAAATCGCGCGCCTCATCAGCGTATGTACGCGGCGCAAACCAATGCACCCATGTGCCTCGATAGCTCAGTTGGGAGAGCGTTAGACTGAAGATCTAAAGGTCACCAGTTCGATCCTGGTTCGGGGCAATTGCTTTTTGCAAATGTTTTGCTTGCAGGCACCTATGAGAAAGTTGAAGATGAGGAGGAAGAAGTGTATGAGACGGTGAATGTCTTTAAGCTAAAACAATTTTTGCCAAACTTGAGAGTTGTGAACCTTTGGGGAGTAAGATTTTTTTTTCAATATTCTTTTCACTCCTGCCGATATTTAGGTGCCGTTTATCACCGATGAACATGTGGATGCAATTTCATCGAATTGTGCACATCTGGAATGCCTTTGCGTGAACTATTGCCCGAAAGTTACGGGATCTTGTTTGAAGCTCGTGCTCCAGAGATGTCGTAAAGTCAAAACTTTATTCCTTGCACATACCAGTATGAACAAAATAGGGGGGAAAAAATAATAAAACGAAATGTTGAAGAATTGGATAGTAATATTATCAAAACTATCGATTGGGATAAGACGAGAATCGAAGAGTTGGATGTGAAGGGAACCGAATTAAGCTCCGATGCTCTCATTTCAATTTTGACAAGACTTCCGCATTTACGATGGCTTGATGCTAGCTGGCTCGAGAATATGACCGATCAGGTAAATATGAATAAATTTGGAGATGTTTAAAAATTTATTTAGGTTTTGGAAGCGTGGCAAAATGCCAATGCTATGGGAAGCCTTCAATTCCTTAATTTGGATACCTGCGATTCATTAAATGAACAGGCAATTATCCTATTAGTTAATTATACATTAACACCTTAATTTTGACAGGCTTTGGTCGACATGATCAAGCGACATGGCCACCAATTCCACGGTCTTTGTTTGGGTGGCCAACATAAATTGCTGGAATATTTCTGGATGAACATGATGCCCCAGTTAGGAAATGTTCGAGTATTGGTAATGGGAATCGCAGAGGATTGTTGCCCAAAAGTGGTCGCAAAAATCCACATCGATCAATTCATTGATTGTTTGGCTCAAAATTGCCCAAAATTAACGAGATTGGAAATCCGCTGGGACGATGAGACATTGAGATTCTCAGATAAATCGAGGTACGAAAGAAAGCAATTTCAGATTGAATTCGATTTTATGAACTTCAGCAAATTCATTGATGTACTTCGAATGAAATGCTTGATGCTCCACTCAATTGTCTTGTCTGACGGACAATATTATGAGCTCGTTCGCTCAAATTTCGAAAGAGCTGATCGAATGTCGGTTGTTCGGTAAGCACATTTTTAGAAAATTATCGAGCAACTTGAAATATTTTTAGAACCACTGAAATGTGTCGCACCGGTTTGCTCCACTGCTCCAGATATTTCAATCAGCTTCTTTTCAACTAAATCATCGTTTTTGTTTTTTACGGGCTCCTATCAATTTAGGCAGTTTGGTAGAAGTAGAATTTGTTTTATTAAATGTGATACTATTATTTGGCATAAATCTATAAAACACACATCTGGCTCATATGACACGTTGAAATGTACAATTAAATTAGGTTGTTTCCTATTTTCTGGCTGTTTTGAAATAGTCAAATGGGAATAGATTTTGGTTGTGAAGATGGATTGCTAATGCAAATTGTTGGTCAATTAAGGCGGTCCAGAGCTCTCGAGCTTTTTCATTCGCATGCTGTTTAATTTCGCTGTAAGCAAAATATGCGCGAAAATATTGATTATATTGAATAATGCCACTTACACAACTTTTGTCGCCGTTTTCCTTTTTAGCGTCTCAAAAATAAAATAAGGTTTTGCTGTCTGGAAAACAATCAAGGAATATCGAGGATTGACGGTGTGAATAAGCGCATTTTCTTTCAAGTAGGTATGAGTTTCAGATCGTTTATTGTATGTCATATTTTTCTGAAAGTCGTGTTTTCTGAATATCATGAAATAAATTATACCATGTTATCATATGAGCAAGTTTCTTTGTGGCAGTTTGCCAGAACTTGAAGGGGAGCGTCTGATAGCTCATTTGAGACGGCTTCAACAACGTCACTAACAGTCTTTGGATCTGCTACGATCACTCGAGTAGTGACCTAACAATAAGTATGTGCATATATTTAGTATAATAAAATTATACTTACCCCAATTGCTAATGTATTAAATGTGTGACCTCTACTAGCCGAAAGTTTGATATGCTTTCGAAGTCTTCCATAGGCAACTGCTAGTTCATCAAATGTATCATTTTTTAATCGCAAAATTTTCCCTGAAAATCATTTGTAGATATGTAAAACACAAACAAACATTGCTTACTTTTCTCAAAATTTCGAATTGGGTACTTATTCTTCTCCTCAATTTTTTTGTATTCCTCTTCGAGCTTCTCATTCACAAAATTTGAGAATCGAATCGAAAATATTTCCGTTATCTTTTGCACATCTCGTGTGATTAAACTTCGCCCCGAAGTCGCCCAGCCACTAAATTATTGAATCGAAAGAAATTTAAAAATAAGAGGATTCTGAAATGAAATTTCTTACGTATTCTGCTGTTTGAGGAACACCTGCTTTAGTCTGAATCGAGTCCTAGCAAACGCCATTGCAAACACAATGAGCTGTTCATTTATAGCGAAACATGAGAATTTCATCATATTCATCCATCCATACATCCCTTTATCATACTAAATATACTTTTTTTTTAATATATATATATATGTATATACCTTGAAATCGTGTTTGCTCAATGTGCCGTATTTAAACATTGCGCAGTTTGCAAATTCTTCGCGAATTTCGTTTATAGGCATCCACGGCTTATTCTTCAAACTTCCTAAATGATCTTCCATGCGAATTTTAGTGTAATTATCCAATTGAACTCTATGCAATCTGAAAGATAATAAAAAAAATTCAGATTTCTTCGAATCGTCGGATAACTCACAGCCCTATTCTGAAATAAGTGTCATTGCTAGAATCTTGAAAGGGCACATATTTTTCTGCAGTATGATCAGCAGCGGACAAAAATGACGAATAATTGAATTCGTTATTAATAAATACCGCTGAAAATGAAAATAAATAGATCATTCAATAAAACGAAAGAACATACCAAAATCAGGATCCTTCATTATTTTATCGATATGCATTTTCTTTGTAAAAACAAGCGTTTCTAACAGTATGAGCAGAAAAATAAGACGCATTGTCGGTTATTCAAACGGATTATGGCAGCTGGTTTCATTTTATATATGACATTTTTGGGCAAATATTAGGCGAGCAACATGCAAAAATGTCAAGGCGAGATTAGAGATTCCGGCATTCGGCTAACACGGCGAATTTTCTATGATGAATAAAAAAACATCAAAATGGATTTCCTTTACGAACGTTGACTTGACTCCGACAAAATTTGTTTCACGAAGGTCTTTTGGACATTTTCTCAGCAACCTAACAATCAAATACTAATGCTTATTTATCATGACCAAGTTTTTACGTAATATAATCATCTATTATAGATAATTTTTTGGAAGTAACAACCCTTGACCAGGAATGATGACAAATGGGGTAATGACGCTATTCAATAAGCAAGCTTTAAATTTATCAAAGTTGGCCAACATTTATGAATTTTTTGCAAAGATCAAGCAATGGGAGCATTTTTATTTCAAATATGCACAAAATACTAGGAGCCTGGGATCTAATCCTGAAGTTTCGCTGTCGCCACACCAATTCTTTCCCTTCCGACATCAAAGTAAACACAACGTCCGCGGAAGAATGGAATACCCAAATGGATACTGAAAACGGCAAATTCTTATAAGTCATTTTAATTATTTTACTTACACAACATCATTTGGAGCAACTTGAAGTGAACATGTACCATCCCCATTATCAACAACCAAGTCTCTCTCGGTAATATCGAAATTAATATATCCAGGGAATGTAAATGTCAACGTGAGTTTTGTGTTGCAGGCCACTGGAACTGGAAACGAGTCAACATAGTCAATATTTTCTCCAATCGACTCCAAGATATCAGCAATGTAATTTCTTGGGAGCTCGAGATTTGTTGCCGTGGAGTCGACAATTGCCTGAACAATTTTATCAAATATTAGGGAATTTGGAAATATTCGTACTGGGTAGTTTCTCGAAATATCCTTAGTGTAGCTTCCTTGAATTTTAACATTGTTGACGTTCAGATAGAAGTATGATGTTCCAATAAGTGGCACATATTGAGCATCAGGCAGACAATGCACCGGATCGAGTCCTCCATAATAGATAACTCCGTGGGTTCCAAGATCATCAGTCTGGCCACTATGCTCAAGCCAAATGGAAAAGAATGATTCTTGAATGTCGCCATTTTTCCATCCTTGATAGAATGGGCTCATCCACGAGATTTTCGAGAGCGATGGGAATGCCATTCCCATGATTCCGTCAGCTTTGAGTGGTGCAAGGACGGGTCCAATTGATTTGGACTGCAAGAATTTCACATCCGGCACTGTGATCAAATCAGTTTTCCGGTCTCCAATAACTGCTGTATCGAAGCCCGAGCCTCCTTGGAAGTTTCCGAATACCGTCGGTACGACGTATTCCTTTCCAAACTTTTTGTATGTCGATGATTTTGAACTGTAATACACGATTTGATTATAGTTCATAGAATAATTTAAAGCGAAACATACGCATCAAATTTATGCTTCTTGCTGCATTCTGGTTGAGCGCACGAGATATCTGGGATCAGAAGATCCGATGATTTAGTGTCGATGATAACAGTGAAAAGTTGGCCGGGAGTTCCAAGAGTCAAATTTGCGACGAAGTACCCTCTTCCTACTTGTTCAAGGGTTTGCCCGCCTATGATATTTAGAAACAATTTTCAATTTTTAAAAAACCAATACCTTTTGTTATATTTGTTGTAGCATATTGTACCCTAAATGGAAGTGCGAATTGAATAGAAGCTGGAATCAGAAGTAGCAATCCAAGTAGACACTGCATGTTTTAAGCTTGGTCATATCTAATCTGCCACCTCGCTTTTATAGTAAAAAAAATCATCAAGATAACGCGTCGGTTCCGCGATAAATATGATTTTTGTGCTGTTGAGAGTCGAGACGACGAGAAAACTTTGAAATTTGTGCCAATCTGGGCATTTTTCCATTGTCATAATGATAAAATATGATTGATCAAAGGTGATGTTCATAGAAAGTGATGATAAAACTGCAAACATGCAATTTTCCGTGAGCCGAAAATGTACCAGCTGTTTGGTTTTAGAGGATTTACTCGTTTTTTTTTTAATTAGAAATTCTTGGTCTATTTTATAATAAGAAATAAGATTTCCAACACTCATTCAATAATCCTAAGCTATTAAGTTCAACATTACGTTAAGTTAAGTTCAAATTATATTAAGTTCATACATGAGTTCCTCTTGATGTAGAATTGGAATTACGGCAAAATGAAATGCTTCCGGAAATCTTAGAGCACTAATGAAAAAAAAAACATTAATGCCATAATTGGAGTTGCCATTTTCATTCAAGTTATTTTATGGGAGTTATCCTATATCATATATTTTATTGTGTAAAAAACTTTAATGCTTTAAAGATTTATTTTCAACTACTACACAATTAAGTATATGGAATTAATTTAGAAATATGCTGGCAAAATTTTTCCGCGGCATTCGCCGAAACCAATTCGAAGTCCGTTCTTCTCGCATGTTCCAGAAAGATTGACCTCATCGCCATCCTTCAAGAACTTGCGGGTGGTACTTCCAACGGCGATTTCTTTAGCGCCTCTCCATGAGAGCTCAAGCATCGATCCGAATTCTCCCTCTTCCTAAAATTCAGAAAGCACTTAAACAATAAATTGTTGCTCCTACCGGTCCTGACACAGTGCCAGATCCGCACAAATCACCAGCTCTCAAGTTGCATCCATTCACAGAATGATGAGCCAATTGCTGCTTCAATGTCCAATAAAGATGCTTGAAGTTGGTCTTGCAAATGGTGTGTTCTTCACTTTCTCCAGCCGGCTTAAGATTAACAGCAAGATTGATATCCAGTGTGAATGGATCATCATGGTGAAGGTATGATGGTGGCACTGGGTCTTGCTTCGGGTTTTCCACCATGAATGGGCGAAGTGCTTCAATGGTAACGATCCATGGTGAAATGGTGGTCGCGAACGATTTTCCAAGGAATGGGCCCAATGGCACGTATTCCCAAGCTTGAATATCGCGAGCACTCCAATCGTTCATGAGCACAACTCCGAAAATACGATCCTCAGCTTTTTCAATTGGCACTCGAGTTCCCAACGGATTTTCGGGTCCACCGACGAAGAAGGCCATTTCGAGCTCAATGTCAAGAAGCTTGGATGGGCAGAAGATTGGCTCAGTTGCTGAAAATGATTATACTTGTTATGAAAACAAATATTAATAAAGTTTTACCATCAGCTGGTTTCGTTTGTCCAACCGGTCGTCTGACATCAGTTCCGGAGACAACGACAGACGAAGCACGCCCATGATATCCGACTGGAAGCCATTTCCAGTTTGGCATCAACGCATTTTCCTTTCCTCTGAACATTATACCAACATTGGTAGCATGATAGATGGATGAATAGAAGTCGGTGTAATCCCCAATTTGAGCTGGAAGATGCATTTGCACTTCAGATTGTGGAACCAAAGCGACCGATCTAAATATTGAATGAATAGACGGCAAAATTAAAAACTGTTAAAACCTCAAGTCCTGGTCATCTCTGAGAGTTGGGCAACTGTCAGAAAGCAATTCTTGAAGTCTAGCGCGGGCTTCAAGCCAAGCGGCACGTGGAAGCCCCATGAACTCATTGAGAGTTTGCTGAAAATTCATTATATAATTCTTAGATTTCCGTTTGTTTTGAATATTTTTTCCGATTAATTGCAATAACTTTTTAATAGATTTCGATCTTTAACTTTTATGTTGGTACGCAAATTTCGGGAAGAAAACTCAAGAAAACTTTTTTTTTAAATTTGTTTTTTTTGTGCAATCTTCATAGGGGGTTTGGAGATTCTTATTAGTTTTTTTTACTCGTTTCTTAAAGGATTTTTATGTATAATACCTATATTAATTTTTATGCAAATTTGTTTAAATTTTCTGATGTCTATTGCGAAATTGTTTACGTTAACGTAATTTGGCAAGCTCGCTCTAGCGCACAAAAAAAATATTTAAGTACCTTCGTGAAAACCGCTTGATGAGCTTTCAATTCTGGTCCGTTGAAAAGATGGGCAATTGCGGAAAGATCAAGCACCTCATTGCCAATCGCAACCCCAATTCTCTTATTTGGCTGAAAAACAAATGAATAAAGTATTTAGAAAACTCAAATTTACATTTGACTTTGATGAAAAAACACCATATGGCAAATTCTCGATTGGGAAGTCGGAGTTGGCTGGAACTTGAACGAACGACCTCATTCTGAAAATTAATCGTGCAATCATTGAATGTTTGTCAGCGAAATATTGCGATGCGAAAAGACAGTGCGGTCAATAAACCGAGTCAAAAAAAGAAATGCGTCGTATGCAATCTACAAACGCGGCACGCCATGAGAGTGCAGAGATATTCAACTACCAACCACAAAAAGTAGTGAGCGCGCGTGGTGATCAAGGTCAATTTGCGACGATGTAAAAAATATAGATAAGTGCGTTATCAGTTACTCAATGAGATCAATGCGCATTGAAGAACGGTTTATTGAGGAATTAGACGATTTATACAAACATTGCGATATAATGCATTAACATAAATTACAATGGTTTGAATGCATAGCAAGTTATATCCTCCTTGAAAGCTTGACAGAAGGTATTGGTGTGCGCAATATAGCTGAATTCTCCTTTTCCGCAGATCACGTTGACATCGTGCCCAAGAGCTTCTTCAGCACTTTTTTGAATGTTGCGTTTCGATTCACTTGCATCATCAGTGATGTTCTGAAAATGCAGAGGTTCCTGGCTGCTGACTCACTTTTTTGAATTTTAGACAATAATTTTGTTCTATTGTCTTAAACCATGCGATGTGTTTTACAAATTTTAACTATGTGATTCACTATTATATGATATCATTGGTTGAATCCAATATTAGAGCTCGTTAACCATTGATGCATTAAAGTTCACAAAAATTATCATTGTTAAAAATTTTAAATTAATTGAATCTGCATTTGTTGCAAATTGTCAACCTACATCAAGAATTATGTTTTTGAGCTCTGAGCTGTTGCATGACGGATCAACGGTTTTTGATGCAAAAGCAGCTCGGCGGACACTTTTGTATTTGCACGGTGATGAGCAACCACAACAACAGTCATTCTAAAAGAAAAATTTGAATTCAATATTCAAATAATGAATAAACCACCTGAGCCGGTATCCTGATTGGCGCAATTCCTCCGCCTCCACATCCTCCTGCTGCTGGAAGCGGCTGAGACATCATTGGTGGTGATTGGGGATAATATTGGGGCATGAAGCTTGGGAACAATGGTGGCCGATTCATACATGGACACGCTGGTCGTGGTGGAAGTGGAGGTGGTGGTGGTGGAAGGGGGCACGGCATTGGTGGAGGTGGCGGAGGGCAAATCGGTGGCGGTGGGCAAAATTGAGGTGGGCATGGCGGTGGTGGTGGGCACATTGGAATTGGTTGCGGAAGACCAGCGCAAGGCATTCTAGGCTGACACATTGGTGTTGGGCATTCACCACAAGAACGCCCTAATGGGTATTGGCAAACTACTACAGACACCAAGGCCTACAAAAATTACATGAAAGCGTTTATAAGAAGCGTTTACCTACCACTAGGAAAATTAGGCACTTCCCCATCACTGCGAATGAAGACCACTTACACGCATTTGGATATATATACTAGGCATTGTCAGACCAGTTATGCATTTCAAGATGAAGCTATGACCTTAGACCATACTAAATTTTTGAGTGATTTTACTCAAGTGTGCCGTTGAAGGCTATCTATGTGAAAGCGCGAGTAATTTTCTTTATTAGGAGAAAAAGAAAAACCCTTTATAAAAATAATGGCGAAATTTCAAAAATTCTAATGCTTAGTGATTGACCTTGCGAATTGGCGTGATTTCCAGTTCAATTTGTAAAGTGTAACTAAATTGTTCCCCCAATTTAACAATTCAAATATTCTCCATTGTCATTTTCTTATTTTTAGCTATAGTTCAAACAAACTTTTCGATTCCTAGGGTATAGTTATATATCTGAATTTAATTATAACTTATATGTACCTAGTTATAACATTTACTATTTGTTTTTCACTAGTTTTTTCTCTTGACAACAGACGGATTTTTGACTTGTTTCAAACTGATTTCTAATTGACTATACATAGTTATTATTCGTTTAGAATTGTCTGGCTGATTCAAAACTCTTGCGAGACAAGTTTCGCATGTCTGATTCATACCTTTATTTACCTTGAAAGGAAAAAATAATAATAATCCACGATCAAGAGAAGCTTTTTATTTACATTAATTCTGATTCAAGGTTATTCGATACCCGAAGCTACCCGCTTCGCACCGGCACGCAAACTCCACGTGAAAGAATAAATCGAGCGCAACACCATTCGCCAGCTCGTTTCGACCTTGGGACGTTTTCATTGAGAACACTTCGCTTCCCACGCGTTGTTCCTTGAGCACATGGTTGACTATTGCATACTCTTGTTTGCCTTTGTGGTCGTCTAAAATGGGAAAATGGCAAAATAGAATTCCTAATTCGTCCTACGAGCAGCTTGAAGTACTAGTACATCTAGTTCGGAATTGGGTTCCACAGGAACCACACCTTTCAGAGCAGGTCGTCCATGCGGACCATTGCGTCGAGAATCCCCGTCTCGTGGGTGGAGAAGGAGGTGCGGTTGGGGCACCATCTGAAAACCATAATTATGTTGTTGACAGTACTTGATGGACAACCAACCACTTCTATATGTCAAAACAAATTGCGAGTTTTGGTTCGCTTTTGATATTATAAGAATGGTATTGCCTTTACTAACTCGCTGTCCAACCTCAGCTTTGCAACACTGCCGAAATCCAGTCACTTCGTGGTTAAGTCCGTCTTTAATCTAATTTCAGCGTATTTTCTAGTTGACACAATAAGAATTGAGATACCTCGACAAATTCCTCACAAACGGGATCGCATTTATAGAACACGTGTGTGAGTTGGAAGCGAATTCGACCACCTTGCGGCTAAAACTTCGAAATTCTTGTGTAAAAATTCAGGAATTTACCGCTGTAACTCTCCAATAGCAATCCGAAGACCCGGAAAATGATATATTTCTCCATGAAGGACCAGCTCGTGGCAGATCCACACCACAATCTTAAATTTCAAAAATAATCTGCAAAGATCGTATGGAAGAAGCAAACGCACTAGATGTTTGAAGCCTTTCACAATAGGTGCCTTCCAATCCTGTTGGGCATTTACAAGTATTACAATTATTTGGATTTGGGTATCCTCCATGCTGGCAGTTTATATTATTGGGGCAAACACCTAAAATATATTTCACTTATTCAATACTATTTTATTTCACCTTGACAAAAAGCCGTGTTTAGCAACTTCATATCTAAAAATGATGGTTCCACGCGATTTCCAATAGTGCTCATAAATGCCGGATCCAATGTTTCAACTGTTTTTAAATTCCATGACCTCGAAAATGACTAAAACCTATCGTTCTTCTGATACTCCCTTTTTCATCAAACCCTCGGTGAATAATGCATTATCGATCCATAATCATATGGAATGCTATATTCATTGACTTCAGACCATGATCTCTTATCTAATTGACCTTGCAGTCCGGCAACCGCATTTTGCAAGTTTATTCTATGAAGTTTGTTATCAAAATTACCATTTTCTTTTTCTTTTACCTAACATAGGAATCTCTTTCCGGTCGGGCCTGTTCGTGCCAAAAACCCAACGAATGGCCAATTTCGTGTGCAATGATCCCTTGCTGAATCGAAAAATTATTATTTCCAGACATGATTGCCGTTATTTCCATTCCGAATATAGACAAATTAACGTCATATCATCGTCGACAAAATTTTTTTTAGTATCTGGAATCCTTCTTAATTGCGATATTACATGGACAGAAATAGAAAAAAGCAGTGATAACTCAATTACGATTAATTGATATGAAATCATGACAAATTGAAATTTTCGAGAATCAGTTAGGGTTTTTCGACCATAATTAGATCAGAATTTTTGATGAAAATTGGAAAAAATTGTTGGTGGAAACGTCAATTGAACTAATAAATGATCGATGATACCGTTTCACATCCATAGCCTATCGAAACTTCCTGAGCGCCTCCTAATCTACCGACACTTGAGTAGCATCTACAACCGGCTGATGCTAATAGAAACAATGACAAATGGGAAAGCAAACCCTTCTCCTCTATTGAATGCAAGATAGTCTGCACTTGGACCATTCAGAACAAATCGAATACAAGAGTTCCTTTCAAAATATCGTATAGTATTTGTAATAGATTGCTGCCATGAAGCTAAATGTCGAAAAAAATGTGATTATAAAAATGATAGTGAGTTACTATCAGTGTCCAGAAATCTATAGGAGATGGTTCTACCCCATGTGGTCCCATTGTTATTCATCTTCCTCTTCACACGAAACCCATTTTGTGCGACCTTGTTCATTTGGGGAACTGTGAGAATCTGAAGAATTGTTTGATAAATGGATGTTGACATTGAAAACCCAACCATATCGTTTTCGAACATTCCGGTAATAGCCCTTCGATTCACGGATTCTTCATTGTGAGAAACGCCATTATCAGGCACCTCTGTATTAATATTCTAAAAACGTTACTATTTGGCACTTTTTTTTGCCCAAAAAAACTAACAAATTGAGAATTTGACCTTCGGTTTAAGTACGAGCCCATTATCTGCAACACTCTATCATAACTCTCGCCTGGTCGTTGAAATGCCGATGTATGAGTGTTCACACTGTTAACTATCTAAATACGTTAACGCGATATTTTTTCGATGAGTCATGTTTATACCCTATCAATGCTCTCTGAGAATTGAACTGACGGCTGCTCAGGTGTTGGAGGAGCTGGAGAATCTGCAGCTGGCGGGGGAGGCGGAGGTGGCGGAGGTGGCGGAGGTGGCGGAGGTGGCGGAGGTGGCGGAGGTGGCGGAGGTGGAAATGGTGGGGGTGGGAAGCCCTTTAACAAGCGAAATACCATTTTTCTTAAGCTTCCTTACCCATGGAGGCCTGGCCCATGGTGGTCTTCTGAATGGTGGTGGTGGTCCGAATGGAGGTCTGAATGAATCAGGTTCAAATTCTGGATCATCAAATGGATACCTGCGCCATGGTGGAGGCGGAAATCCTGAAAATATTATCATAACATACCTTAAAATGCTTAAAATTTTTATACCTATTGGCGGCGGTGGCGGTCCAAAAAAGTCAGGTTGTCCATTAGCAATAGAAAAAAAGAATGATGCTACTATTACAGGGAGGAAGGTCATTTATGTATGCTAGTTGCAGGAATTCTCAAAATCACAAAAAAATGTGGGCAACGGCCGTGACAAACGACCCGAAAGTGATTGCCTTCGGTCGTTTTCTTGATTCGCTTTTATTTTTTCTCTTCTCAGTAGTATACAAATAGTTGACGCTGCACGGTCATTTTGCCCAAATGATTAATCTGAACGATGGAAACGAATTCGTCGAATGGACAAGGGGGTCACTCCAATGGGTTGTTGAAAGATCGAGCGAATAGAAACTGGTAATGTTTAAATATCAATCTTTGATTTCAGATTTACAGTTTCAGAACAATTTTCGATCGTCGAATTCAGTCACACTTCGTCAAATCAGTTTAGTCGAGTGTTTTCTCTACCTCACGGTGACCAAGCACAATCACATATTTGCCTCAGTTGAGCACGACTATTAATTAATTATATTGAATAGTATTGCATTGTAATTGGTAACAAGGCCAATAAGATTCAGAGAAACTGTAGGTCATCTATGAATAAGAAACAATTTTAAATATATTATTGAGTCGATTAAAATGCCAAACCTTTGTAATGCCATTCAAAGATTGATAGGAAAACAGATTTATTTAAGTGATCGAAGTGATACAAAGCATATGACTAGTTAAGGTAAAAGTGAATGAAACAACATAATAATAAATTTTTAATAAGAAGATATCATTAATGCTCAATGAATAAAACATTTCAAAAAGAAACACAATGGGCGTAAAAAATGTACAATGAGAAACAAAATGAACTTACAGTAGAAGAACCTTCATTTGATCTCAGTATAACCTTAAAGAATAAGAATATATTGACAAATAGAGAATGTCCAGACTTCAGTTATATTACAGAAACTATGCTCAGTTATAGAGAATAACATTATTCAGAGTCATTAAAAACTAATACCTAAAAAACTACTTAGTAATTCTTTTTTATTTTTTTTCTATGAATCCAGCATGAAGTGAATCTAATTAATAGCAAAAATAAAAAAGGTTCTAGTCTTCTTGACTGAATTAATTGAACGAAGTGTGACCGAATTCGACGATCGAAAATTGTTCTGAAACTGTAGGGGCTAAAAACCAAAGACTGATATTTAAATATTATGATTTTCTATTCGCTGGATCTCTCAACATCTCTCGGAGTGACTGCCCAAATAGGGTTATATTTGAATTCATGAACATAATCGTTGGAATTTATCATCCCTATTGTGAGTCTTCTGTTAAGAATGTTATCCATTCGCCGAATTCGCTTCCATGAATCATTCAGATTACAGTAGGTAATCATATTTCATAATTTTGATTACTTGTTCAAGGTGAGATTTATGAATTGTTTATAAGCAATACTTGTTGTTTAATGTTCCTGATTCTTTTTATTCAGTTTTCGAAAGTTTCATCATCTGAATCAGCATTTTAATTCAATTCGGTTAATTTTATTAGTTCGTTTTTTTCTTGTCGAAGGTTACTCGAAGAATGAGTATTCAATTGTAATCAGAAAGAAAACATCTAAGATTTATTATTTTAAGAAGCAAAAAAAATGAATGACAAGGAAGAAAGATGAATAATTACTTTGAAGAAAAGAGAATAATGAAGGGTCAACTATAAGAATTGGAAGATCGGAATTGAAATTCAATTATATTTTAAAATTGACCTTAAGTAATCATGACCATTTCCAAGTGAATTTACCTTTTTGGGAATCTCGTTTTTTTTTGAGAAAACACCAAAAACGTAAATTTTTATTGATTATGATTAAAGGACCTACTGTAAACCAAGAAAAAACAACACATGAAACCGGGAGCAAGACAATAAGAATAAAAAAAAATATATATATATATATTCAATCACTTGATAAGATATGTTTGTGGAGAAAAATATTATTGAAATTATTATGCTGGTTCGAAAGGGAGAAATTTGTAGATTTGAACGTTGAAGAAATGGAGATCAAAAAAATAAAACGAAATACAGAAAAATGATACAAACACAACTTTTAACAGAGGTTTCATCAATTGATACAAACGAAAGTCGAGAGATCACATTAAAAAAATTCAAGATCATTGGGATAATTACACCCGGAGAAATAAATTAAACAAAATGAACAAATTGTGTTTTTTTTTTGGTTGGAGACGAAGAAGGGCGTTTTCATATCATTAACTATAAAACGGAAAGAAAGAATAGGGCTGCATGAAAGAATGGGGTTGGCATTTGTGTTTCAATAATTTTCCAAGAAGCCAAGACTCCTCAGTAATCACAATTGAAAGTGAAACGCCTTGTTGCCTATTCGGCATTACTATCAAACTAGTCTTGACAGTAACACTTGTATGTTGTTTGATTGCGATGGTCCCCAGCAGCTATGATCGTTTATGCTCGAATCGCTTTCGGTGATGGTAGTAGGCTCGCTTCTTTCTATTGCGATGAGCATGATGGAAATGCTCCGGCTCATCATCCTCATAATCATTATCGCCTTCTTCAAGCTCAAAGTCTCCTGCAGTCTCCACATTCGTCAACTCTGGCGGGTACATCTCGGGTTCATCAGGCATATCCTCCTATCCGGTAATGATTTTGAGTTCGTCCAATTCCGCTTCAAGGCGGATTAGTTCATAGTCTTCCTGTAATTAGCCGCTAATATGATTAAAGCTTATAAGAAACATTGTATACCAATTTTTGAACATGCAGAATTGCGGGTCTTCGTCTTCACCTCCCGGGCAGTCCATGAGATTATCGCAAAGCGCAAACGCATCGATGCAGATTTCCTTGGTGGATCCTGAATGAGACGGGCATGCCATTGTCTGCCGCATACTGTTGGGATTTTTGCACGTGTTCACTTAAATGTTAGTCATTGGATTGCTGAAAGTGATTCGATTCGACATACACGAGAGGAATGGGAATGGCGAATCCTCAGCGAATGGGAACAGTGATCGTTCCATACGTTTGTGCCTGCGTGGATGCGGTATCCTCTTCCGCAGAAACAAGCTGGTCTTGGCAATATTCGTCTAAATTAGTGACAAGTTGAATTTGAAATTAGCAGAATCAGCGGGGCGACATCCAACCTCAGAAACTCGTGTCGGAATCGCTGTCGTCATGAATAGACAATCAGCTAGAATAATGAATGCGTACCACTTCCTCATCTCCGTGTGTTTTATTCTGAAATTCTTGATGAGAAAGTGAGCAACAAGACTTCGAATTCAAAACAATCAAAACAAAAACAATAAGCGGCACTTTTTTTGCCGTTCGAGCATAGTAATTGAGTGGTGGGCGTGACGCTTTCACGTGATTATGTGAAAACAATGAGTAGAACACTCAAATTAATTATTCTTGATTACACATAATTGCTACAATGAAAATATTCAATATAGGGGGAAAGCAGTTTTTGTTTTTAAAAAAATTTTAATCGTTTCTGAAACTAAATTTTAGGGCTTCATTGATATTTTTTTTTCTGCTGACTTCATCAAACAACAGAAACAAACATTCTCAAGAGTTCAGATTTTTTAAAACTAGATAGCTGAAGGTCGAGAAAAAATATATGCATTTTCTCTTGATCTGTCACCGCCCTTCGAATGCCACCGTAATTATATAGAATCACAATATGGCCGGGTAAGAAAGAAAGGTGATGTATACTTTTAGGTTTTTGAAATCCGAACGAAACACAGATATTATGACACAACAAGAAAAAAATAGATAAACAGGATTAAAATTTGAGATGTGGGTTTTCCAAATTTTGTTTATTTCTTAAAGAATTAATGATACAAAGAACAGTTATGTATATGATCACTTTCAACAATGGATTCCTGAAGCATATTATAGGGAAACATAATAATGAGTATAAGACACTCAATATTGGTACGCCTTGATCTAATTGGATTAAGATTACAATATTAGCTTAATCAGTAAATTCTTCCCGACGCTATATCCCTCTAGGAAACAAAATTACGTAGCAAGTTTTTGTTGATGACGCGCGCATTCGTATGGTATGCCCAATAGTATACTTGGGTCTCGCAATATTCGTGTTCATCTACGTTTGCAGATGTTAACGAATGGTTCGTGTGAACTATACAGAATTGAAACTTCACAAGCTATTCGCCAATTTGTGTTAATTCGGTGTATTAAATATCGTAGTCGTAGACTATCATCTGACTAGCTAAAAATTTTAGTACACATGCAATTTTTGGGGACGGAAAAAGTACAACTCTGATTAAGTGTTCTTTTAAATCATGAAAACAGCAATTAGAAAGGACTATTATAATTAAAAAGTGCCTCCCCAAATAAGGCACGTCCTATATTCATACTAATAAAGTTTACGTGACGATTCCAAGAAACACGTGGCAATTTGCGCACTACGCCACGGTTAGCACCGAGAATTATTACATATTATTAGAAAATTGATGCTATTCAGAGGAGATAAGTGTTAATAAAATGACGAATTTCACATAATTTCCAAAACTAATTATGACAAATTATTGCGTGGATGTTATAATGAATAAATGTGGTCGCATCCAAGCATAAAAATGATTACGGTAATTCTTGCTGTGGAAACGGTGAGCAATGGCTGAATCTAGAAATATCGCGAGCAAAATTCCTATAGCTACAGTAGTTACTTAAAATTATAAAGCGATTAATACTATACAACGTTTTATGTTCTTTGACACACCACCTACAATAATAGCATCTGTTACGTAATAATCCAAATAATTAATTGTAAGATTAAGGAATTTTTGTATTAATTTCTTTTTTTTTCTATTTTTTTTCATCGGATTTGTTGAATTTAAGCGATCTAGGTAGCAAAACATTACTAAAAAGGCAGCTATCTGAGTTTGGAGAATTACTATAAAAACTTACTTCCTCGAAATAAGTGGAAAATGAGTTTTTCAGTTTTAATACTGAGGGAAGTGGTTAACATAATGCACGTAATAATTAAAATTAACTGAACTGTGTAAACAACACGAAAAAATGATTTGAAAGAATTTTGCAGGAATAAAAATTTGAAAATTTGGAAAGTTCATCTGTGAGTTTTTTTTAGTTTTATAATTAAGGGTTCTAAGTTATAATATTTTGGAAAACTTCGGGATCAAGCTCATAAGCAGTGTTTGACGAGTAAAGCCGCAGGGAAATTACAATAGCACGTCACTAATTAGCATATATAGCTTATGTAGCTGAAAACGAGGGACAGAGAGTATTCTGTGTGTAGTTTCAAACAAAGGTATTCCCCAAAGAATTCGATTCGAATTGATTCATTTGTAATATTTGTAAATGAGTATTTTTAGAAAAATATTTGAGGGGGATTATGAAACCAACATGTTTACTAAAAACTTCTTTACTATTTTTTTGTTTGGGTTACTGTAACAACTAATTGAACGAAAACAATCACTATTGAACTATGAACGTGTCGTGTACAATAACAAATCTAATTGAATTGTTGTTTAAAACTTTTTGTGCACGTAACATAAGAAAACAACCGGCTAACAAAACAAGTGAATAATACCTAAAAAAAGGCTCCATTTTTTTGAAAAGGTTACTGTAACTTATTACATGTATACACCTATAATTATAGATATATATATATATATATATATATTCCAATTAAAACGATTGTTTCAAATTTACCAAATCGTTGGCTATGTGCCAAGATATCTTGAAACGAAAAGAAGTGTACAACATAGACTTTGCGTTCAGCGTGTTTGCGTACTTTGTATTTTAATGGGCGCACATTTACTAGGTCTATTTGTAAATCTACACCAAGTGGAAAGACTCCGCAATTGTTTAAAAACAAAATTATGAATAACAGCGGCACCCTCGGCTTATTGGGTTCAATGAGTATACTGACCTTTTCAGTCGTAAGCAAATAATTTCGACAAAAATATGTTATCGAAACAACTGTTTTCCTATTTATCAGGCCAATTTTAATCCATGTGACTTAAATGATTAACTGCTTAAACAGTTATTTTTCATTTTTCTACTACGCTTTAAGTACAGTGTACATAACAAAAACACGTTCGAATCAGAAAAGTGGTACAAGAGATAATTTTTAAGGGAAACTCCACATTACACAGAAACTTATAATTGTTTTTTGTGGAGTGCGATTGGAAAAGCTAACAAAAATTATATTAAAGGAAACCACGGTATAAGTCCCCTCTGATCATGCTTACTATGTAAAAACGCCTTGGAATTTGCTTACGTAATCAAACATGTACTTGGTCGGCTAACATTTTTATCATAAAGCTTATTCGCACATTCAAATATCAGTGTCTTCTATTCGTATATTTCTTTAGCAACCCATGGGAGACTCAAGTAATCCGTGTCTTTCGCTGAGTTTGACTTATTGTGAAAAAAAGAACAAACCTGTGCTGATCAAAACATACGAATCTATTTTTTGCATCGTTATAAAACTCTATGTATCTCCTACAACATAATCCTTAATATCACGGGAATAATCCATATTATCCTAATTATAAATATAAATAAATAAATAGATATGTATATATTCAGCTCGGGCGTAGTTTCTTTTTTTTGCTACGTCGAATACCCAATTGGCGTGAGAAACAACTCGATATTCAGAACTTTGCTGCTTGGAAACTCGCCAATTCATTTTTGACTACACACGTGAATCCGAAAAATTTAATATATTGAAAAAGAACAGCGACGACGGTATAATTAAAATGGTGATCTATACGAACGAATCACGTATCTTGAAGCCACTTCGAAATTATGCCCACACTTTTATGGGCGGAGTTCATTAAGATTCCACGAGACAAAAATAGAAATTGGCACAGTGTCAAAACGACGTCATTGTGCTCCGAAATTATTAAATTAAGCTATTTAGAAATAGCACACAAAACTAGTGATTGAAAAGGGTGGGCGGTGGGAGTTTTAGAGAAGGCCAAACTATAAAGAGACACCCAAATGGTGCAATATTGAAAATTAGCTCAACTAGGTCGCTCAGACGTGTCCACTTCCGGTGACATCACAGGAATTATTAGTATTTTTGTTAAACTATGATACCAAACTTGATCAGATTATCATGTGTTGCAAATATTAAGCATCTGAAGAAGACACGATTTTCATTAATAGCAATATTAATATCACACGCTCTCACTTAAATCGCCGTCTCAGACATGATGATGTCAAGTGGGAAATAAGCACATATTGAAAAAAAAGTAAAACAATGTGAGGAAATGTTAAACCTACAACTTATGGACTTGGTCCGAAACCAGCCTCAGAACAATTTTTTTTTTCATTGTGTTTTCCACGTTTGTGCACGACGCCGTGAAATTGTAATTCCGTGCACTCGTTTGTGGAATTGAAAGTTCAATTTCTCGACGGCCCCCGCCATAAATGGCGTTCTGTGTACACACATACACAATCAAATTTTTGAAGCAGCCAACCATCAGGTTCGCAACAGTTGTATTGCGATAAGAAAAAAAACAAAGTCAGTGTGAAAAAAACTAGCCTATCAGTTCAATAACGCGTGTGCATAGAGATCTAACTTTTTTCGGGCAACACCAATCAACTTTTTTCGTTCGTCTTGTTCAATGTACGTTTTATTTTACTATTTTCAACATGTCTCATACGCGAATTTCGCCAAAAAAAAGTTTGAGCAGCGTTCAAACCACGCTTCAACAACTTTATAGATTTCAAATTTGGCAATTTTACATGTTTCAAAGTCATAAAAAAATAATAACAGTAAAAGTAATGAAATGACGTGACGCCAAATGGGATTCCATCAATTACAATTTGCTAATATTTGCCAAAATTAATTATTGTCATAATTTGCATTGAATACTTCTGGAAAACTGATATAATTATTTTTTGCTGAATTCTGTTTGGCAGCAAACATTTTGGGAGAACTTGGTGAACTTTGAATTATTGTTGTAATTCGAAAAATGACGAAATTCCAACACTCCTCTCCACCCATTGCAATGAGTTGTTGGAACTCGGCTGAGAGAAACCGCATTAAACCTTCAAAAGGCTGTCAATCAGTCTAAAACGCGAATTGGCAACATTGATTTTAGGTTACAGTACTATTTCACAACGATCGCCGTTACGAAATCATTATTTTTCGTTTTCAATTAAATTTTCACCCTCAAAATTGCAACAGAACTCTAAAATTTAAGGAGTGGGCGTAATTTGCTCATTATCATGAAAAAATGTTGTCTTACTGTAGCATGAAAACTTGCTCAGCTAATCACGTTACCTACTGTAGGATACATAGTAGGATATCAAATGTTATTAATCTAGCTATATGATTCATCTATGGCCTTCTCATCGAATCTCGATATGTCCCAATTATCTTAAAACAATATGCCAAAATAAGTGGACAAATAAAGTGTGCCGGTGTGGTTTTGATGAATGCGTAATCGGTAAACAATCAACGTAGCGCAAACACACAATTCGAAGAGCTGTCAAAATCTGTGTCAACAGCCAAACTACCGTAGCCGACTACTTCATTTGTCACCTTTTGTAGGTATGAGCGTCAACGATCTGCTCAACCATTTGCAGAATACATTAAATTCACTTGATTCTGACTACAACCAAGTATGGTGAGTTTTACTTTGCATTTATGAAACTTAAAGGTGCAAAACTGAGAAATTGCAGTCAGGACGTTGCTTCAAATCCGCATCGCCATATACTCAATGACATTTTGCTTGAAAGGAAACAAATGCTACGTATGTTCAGATTAGGCATCCCAAATGAAACACCATTTGACTAAAGACCTTTGAAAAAAACGTTAGCACGCTAAATGTTCTATTTAAAAAAAATGAAGAGAGAAAAAAAATGAAAAACTCGATAATATTTTGGAGATCTAATCAAATGCTTGAATTATCATACGGCTTGAATAATGAAACAGAACTACAAATTTAAACTGAAGATACGATAAGCTTTTCGCAATAAGTCTTTGAACCAACGATACATGCATATATTTGGATGACAAATTTTAAGGAAAGTTTAATCTTTTAAAATCCCAGTTCGGCCTTTTTTCTGAATCACACCAACACGGTAGCAAATTTTAGTACTCATGAAATGAATGAACTCATGAAAATTTGAAACGATAGAATTTTCAACCATCAATATTGATAAATTTGACGCGATTACAATTTAACATTGAAAAGTGGGCAAACGCTGTGGGATGTATTGAATTTTGATCTACCTGATAGACAGACTCGGTGACCTTTTTGAGGGGGTGGACATTTGAACTTGACTTGAGGATAAAATTTCCTTTTTTTGAAAAACTTGTGACGTAAATTTGTATGTTTTGTATATGAGATCTTCAATATAAAATTGTCATAATAAAAAATGGCAAAACAGTGAGAGTAGATTAATTGCAGGCGGCACGCTATGCATCGGATCAAGTTTGGATAATGAAGAGCCATCGGAGAAAATTGATGATATAATTGTGATGTTTGATTCGAACCATACATTTTCATTTTGTGTTTACAGCTCGATCTGGATAATCCATCGTTTCCACTATCAAGCGAGGGTGTGGACAAGGATGAGGAATGGCTCAATTTAGAGAAGAAATACTACGAGCAGCTTAAAAATATCAAACAGGAGCTCATCATTCGCGAGCAAGAGCTTATGAAGGTCAGTGGAGGTTCTTATTGCGGTGTGCATTTATAGCGGCAACAGCACCCATTGGAGTTCAAAAGTAATACGAGACATTTTTTAAAAAATTGAAAGTTGGCAAAAGTGTACTGCATTATGAAGGAGGATTTTTTGTGTTTCCAAAAATAGAGCACACTGGAAACGGGTTGAGTTGCTACCTCGAAACCTTATATAGTGGAGGTGAAGTTCCTCAGTCTTTTATATATATATATGGTAATCGCGTTGATTAGAGTATTACAACAAATATGGAAAATAGGAAGTTGTTCTATGAAAAATTTTATTGTTTAGGACAATAGCAAAGCTGTTGATGCAATGCTCCACGCCCTACGTATGCAAATGATCTACAGGCCGATTGATGAAAGGGTGGGCGAAGAGAACGATGTTGTGAACCCATACGTCTACATTTTGAATGATAATGAACCGTTGACGTCAAAATTTAAAACATAGAACAATTCTAGGACGAATATTGAATTTGACTAAAACATAGAACAATTGCAGGATCGTCAACTGGCTCGTGATAGTGTGAACAAGAGGTTTATGAGCGCGCGAATCTCGCTTCGCAGTGATATCGCCTCGAAGGTTTTGGTGCTTCGACGCGAAATTGAGCAACAAGGGTGGGTGTGGTGAAAAACGAAAAAGATTAAACGATTACAAACTAGGCTTGATCGAAATATGAAATAGAAATAAATGATGCTTGAAGTTTCAACCAAGGATTGATAAGTCTAAATCCATAAAATTGAACATCGTTTCTCATTTTTACAAAAATCATGTTCCGAAATGTGTGGTGCATGCAAACAGTATTCTGAATTTTGCAAAAAAATAGAGCGCAAATAGAAGCTGAAATTGGTATGAGCTAATCTCATCGTTTGCTTCACTACTCTTCAAGCGGACATGTTTTTGCTGGATTACGGTAGTCGCATTAGTAATTGAGTTTCTTGTTTGAAAGGTTAATTCGATATCCGCAATTCGCATTTCCTAATTGCGTAGATGGATGAAATATTTAGCCGATAGTTAACCAAACAAGATGGTTGCAACGTGGAGGCAATCAGACTCATAGAAATCATCAGCAATTTATGATTCGGTGATCCCTCAGCTGCAAATCGCAGTTGATTAAATTTAATAAGATTATGTCGGCCTGTTTAGAGTACTACAAATGAACTAACGTTTGACATGATTTTGATGAAAATTTCGCAAGTGAAAACAAGGGCATTAACAAAATTTTTCATTTTTTTTTTCAGAAGAAAACGCCGAAATTTTGACAAAGAAACGACTGAAATCCTTCAAAAATGGTTCAATGAGCATAGAGAGTCACCGTATCCAAGCGAGGAGCAGAAAAACGAGCTCGCGAAACAATGCGGAATCAAACTGTCACAGGTTGGGCGACGTGCTGATTCAGCGATATCAAAATTCATGTTTTGGGATGTGTGTGTTAGTAAATAAATTAGCGTTCTCGAAAGGTCATCAATATTTTCAAACAGGAAATGCGATAAAAAAGCATCCGTATAACTTTTAATGTCAGCAATCCGTTAGCAATATTATTGAGGATATTTATGTGAGCGGCAGATTTTGAAAAGAGCGTCGTTACTTTTGAATATCTTACAGGCGTAACCTCATCTTGATAGTTTGAAAATCTTGGTAAATTCCTAAAATTGCTTATAAAATTATCCGAGTCAGGAAGTGCTAAAATAGAGATTTTCGATTTCTTTTTTCAAAAATAATAAATTTCAAATGATTCCTTAGAAAGAAGAGTTTGAATGTCTTAAAAATGTTGAACTAAAACGTATCTTTAGTCATGTTACAGCACAAATTTTCATCATCCAGCTATTTTAAGTAGTTTAGTTTTTGATTCCGGTTTCTTAAAATTTGATATTGAAAATTCATTGAATTCTTTATGTGTTATTATAATATCTACAAAGTCTTGGATCTATTTGATAGCGAAGAATTTCTTTCGAATTTCAAACAAATAAAACTTAAATTGGAAAAAATTAGCCTAGATTTATGATAATTAGAAAACAAATTGTTTAGATTTTTTAAATATTGATTTTCTACATAATCAGGGAGAATGGGCTAATTTTAAGCAGGGCATGAATACACATAAATGAAATTTCGTGTCATTAAAAAAGTTGTTGAATCATTCAAACTTTACTGATTAATTGTAATATCTCGAAAAAATGAATGTTGCGAGTAATTCTCTAGAAGTGAAAATTTTTATCAAGAATGTTTAAAAAAAAAGGATATCAAGAAATTTGAGATGAAAAATTTAACAAGTTGGTTAGCTATATTTAAAATCTTTAAAAAAAATTTATGAATTAACTTTTATCAAAAAATGTTGATTCTTTTGTGATGTTCGTTAATTTTTTTAACACAACGAGATCAACTATATTTCGACAAAAATAAACTGCTGCCGACATTTTTTGAAGGAAAAAGGGAGGCTTAAAGTAAATATATAATACGCCCCTTTGGGTGCACAACGTGTATCGTGTCAAAATTGTTAATGCTTAATTTTAATGATTATAGGGTTCGGGCTAAAAGTCCCAAAAAATTCACAAAGGAATTTTTCGAAAAAATAAAGCGATTGTGTGACAAGTATATAAAAAAATGTCTCGAACGTGAATTTCCTAGCAGATTTATAATAATATTAATTATCATATTTTTTAAAGATCTTAAAATTTACAGAATTTCGCTGACAAATATCACGTTTTTAATAATTATTCAATATTACAATTTCGGCATTACTAATCAAATTGAATTGAATTTAGGTATTGATGAGTCTAGGGTGTTAGACCTCAAAAATCGGCACAAACTTTATATTTCGTTGAATTTTTTGGAAATATCTCATGATTAAGCTTGTCAGTATTGAATTTAAAAGAATACTGGAGAAATTGGTTAGTTCAAATTGTTATCAGCACGTGTTGATTTTTGTTCTCCTCAAAATAAATGGCAAATGTCACACGCGAGACATCTTGTTTGGCTAATGGAGAGATTAGTTACACGTGCAGAATTGGAAATTTTGTAGAATTTTGAAAATTTCAGGTCAACAACTGGTTCGGCAATCAGAGAATTCGCAGCAAGCAGCAGCTCAAACAAATGCAGAATGAGCAACAACAGAGGCAGCGGCAACAGCAACAAATGGGAATGGAGGATCCGACAAGCTCAACCTCACAAGACTATTCAAATCGTAAAAAACATGCGCTTTAAGAAAATGCGAATTGCTCAAATTTGTTTGATTTCAGAATATGGAGGGTTTGATGAACAGCAGCAACACCATCAAGATTACATGAGCATGCCGGGACCCAGCAATTCAGATGTAAGCTCGCAAGTTTAAAATAGTTAATATCATGATTTCTGTTACAGTACCAACCCAACTATTATATGGACTATAACCCGAACTATGATGAACCGCATGACGATAGCTATCAGATGTGCAACAATTCAATGAACTATTAATTTTGTCTAGTTTGCTTTCAAGGTTATTATTTGTTATCTGTTTGTTATAATGTATTAATCCGTGATGTAAGTATCTCATTGTTATTGCCTTGTTGAGAACATATTAATTATGTATGGTGCTCTTATCCTCGAGACTATGATATAAAAAACAAAGAAATATCGTCATTATAATAAAATTGTTTTTCTTCGCGGTTTTGCTATTGAACAGATCACAGCTATTATTTCGCGCCCAGGGGGGATAACAAATTAGGGGTGTGGATCAACCGATTTAGTATATGGCCGAGTATATTGGATGCTTTCCAAATGGCGATCTATGAAATGCAAAAACTTTTCCAAGACGTTAGAACTTGGAGAAGAAGAAATAAAGGTTTAGGGATTTAGAACTTCCGGGAATTCCGAATTTGGAGATTTAACTAAGGAAGCGTCTTTCAAAAAGATGTTTATGGACTAAAAAGATCATTTTAAATTTGAATTAGGATCTTATGATTCAAGAAATCAACAAAACAAGGAAAGCAAATTTAAAAACAAGAATATAATGCAAAGACGATTAATATGCTACCGTAATACTAGAATTCAATAATTGAAACTATTTTTTAACTTATATTTTTTTTTTGGAAATCATTAAATATTGAGGTTATTTTGTTTTCAATAAACATCAAACAATGCGTCTAAATTGGCACTTAAACCTAGGAGTTTGAAGGAAGAAATTCAATTCAGACTAAAAATAACTAATAATTACAAATGTCACTTTATTATAGTGTAAGTGTCCCGCGGTAAATCAAATTCCTCAGCTAGAAGAAAGGTCGGCCAAAAAATGATTTATAGCTGAACTCAATTGAATGAATTGCTCAACGTAACAGAACAGAACACTTTTGAAACTATGGTTTCATTTAAATACTACTTAAAAAATTATAATAGGACACGCCTCTTACCGGTTATAATATAGAACTCTCGCTTAAAATCCAAGCCATCGTTTCATTGAATTCGAATTACGCAAGATTAACAATGCATTACAGTGGATATTTTTGCAACACTAGCGATCAGACCAAACTACTGTAATCCGTTTTCACTTTTGGATAAAAACACATTTATAAGGAACTTTTTTTGCTTGGTTTGATTACAATTGAAAGGTATTGTTTACGTTTTTAAAATCTTGTTTATTTTTTGAAACGAACCATGTTAATTAATAAATAGTGCATGTTTGATTTTTTAAACATTACGCTGGAAATCAAACATTACTACGAGTTTTTTTTTCAAAACCGTGATGACTAAACAACCATCGTAAAGTTCAACAACAAGAAATTAAAAAAAATCGCTCGCAACAATTTTTTAATTGATTATACTACCGTATATTAATGTAATTATCCGTTTAAATTGTTTTGAAAAAAATTTCACTCACGCGTAAAAGAAATAATAGATAGAGGCGTACACTTTTGATGCGGCGGGGGGAGGAGGGGGGGGGGATTTCGTAACCAATACACAAATTTTGACTAGACTTGTTTCGCTATTTAGCGCGCCGGAAATTAGCCCTATTAATATCGAAATATTTTTTTGCAAATATTTTTACACTGAGTAAACGCACAAAGTTTGATCTTCATATTTGAAAACGGGTCGGTTCAGCTTAGTAGCGTAATCTTATTAGTGCTAATTATAATATAGATTAGAGGGTTTGTAAGACAATTATAAAGGCTTCAGATCAAAGTAGACAAAAGCTTACAGCTTCAACTGCTTCTAAAACGATCAAGAAGAATACTAAGAAAAATTGAAGATTTTTTTGCTTTTTGCTGGATTTCTCCTTTCTCAACAAGATTATCGAGAAGGTTCAAGCTTTGATCAGTTCAAGTCATTTATCGTCATGACCAAACAAGAGTCACCTATTAATACGTCATAAACAAAATTCTTGTTTTAGAAAAATATTAGGCGAAAACACTAGGCAGGATTTAGAAAATGTGAGCAATATTCCATAAATTTTGATTGGCGCTATTTGCAATTCCCAATCGACAGACTAGGAAAGTTCAAATTCTGAAGAAAACCTCAGATATTGTGTAATTGTTGGAAAATGGGAATACAACGTTTATATACCGAGTTAATGTGTCTACAATTTAAACATTTTCACAATAAAAAAAAAACATATATATAACTGTCCTGAGGAATCTTTGATTTAATAGTTTGGAAATTTTGTCGATATACTGATGAATATTAGATATCCTTGTAGGAAATTTAAAAAAATTATTCATGATGAATATTTCATTGCTTTGTGAATGTTAATATTTTAATGGAACCGGTTAAATTGTTTCCAAGAATGAAACAAGTTAATTTTAGATCATACTTTTATAAATTGTCGAAATGGGAATAATTTGGAAAAAATTGAATTACCCGAGCTGTCTTTTAATTGGTCATATAAAATAAAATGAGCCCATAAAACACAAAATAGCTCATTTACTTAACGCTTTTGTTAATAGAAAAAATGCATTGGACTTAATTATGGCTACTTATAACTCTACCTAAACTATTATCATGGGATCAAATATCAAACAAAAATTGCTTTTCACATATTATTTACTATTTTTGAACAACCTTTTCAAAACCAAATTTGACATTTTCAGTTTTTATCAATTAGTCAATGGAATTAATCCAATTTTTTATACATTCACTATCAACAACCACTATCAGCTTCAGTTTCATAGAAAAACAAAGGTTTTGGATTATATACTTTATTCATGCATAATCGGGATAAGTGTAGATATAAAAAGAACATTATCAATGAGATATCAGAATATTGCACGTATCTGACTAACATATCATGAATATAATGAAGAAGCGGAAGAAAGAAAAGCTCACGTTGAAAATCAAACAATATCACAATTAATACACGATATTGTATACCATTTGGAATGTGAGATTATAAATAATAAATTTCTGTCACTGGTGGTTATCAGAGCCGGTAATTTGGTTGAACATCAATAAATAAATAGGCATTATTTATTCATAAAATAATCACTGTATAAATATTTAAATATGTGGTTATTAAAATATTAATTTTTTTTTTGGGGGGGGGGTGGGTAATTGGTTTGAAACCATAGGAAGTAATAATGAATTTCTGAATATTATTAAAACTATCGATGTTTGAATTCCAATTTTTGCGATTGGAGTACTATATAAAACACACAAAGCATTCGATCACCATGTTTTCTTTTGTTTAGATTTTAACCGGATAAATGTTCTACAACGAACAGTACATGCAATTATATCTACGGATGGAACACATTGATATGCTCCACAGATATAGGGAAAGGGACAAACTACGCAGTGGGCCGACGAGTTTTCGTTTTCGCGTTGAATATACAAACAATTTGCAGCTATTTGGACGAATTTGATGAGAAAAAACGATTGCCCAATACCGTTGCGGAGTTACATATTGTAAGGCGGAAGGAACTTGTAAACGAGTCTTTGCTTCTTCTCAGGCTTTTGGATAATTCCTAAAATGGTGGCCATCACTTGAACTATTCGACATGCTCAAATTTTTACCTTTCTTGTAATATTGACGAAGACTCCTTGAGAGTTTGTCATAATTCATTTGGGAGCGATTTTTGCGTTGTCCCCAATATCTCGCCAAAAGAAGCGATGATTCGATTTTAAAGGTGCCTTCATCGCGATCGACCCATCTCACGCAGGTGTTGTACTGTTTGGGCTGGTCAAGCAATTCGCGAATGAATTGCCACAAGTGTACGGTGCCCTGATGACGTGAATAAACTCGATCATCCTCATCAGCATCGCCAACAGTGGTGTTGCACATGCCATTCATTGGCGACATTGGCATGTAACCGGGCGGATGGAAAAAATTTGGTGGACCATTGCAATTCATGCCATTCATCAATTCCATGTCCTCATCGTTCACTGCAACGCGATTTAAAAATTTGATTATATGCTTCTATCAAGTTTTTAATCCGAAATTAAATTATGATTGCCAGAATTTTATCATAAATGCACCTTTTTATGGTTTTATCAATTTTTGTTTAATCTTTTCGCATCAAAACTCATTTTAAATAATTTAAACTGCTCAGACACTGATAAGAACTAAGATCACAATGTTAAAAAAATCGAAAGTTAAGCAGATTTCAAGAGAAGTGATCATCTCTAATACAGTACCCCTCTTAATCATTTCCGGATAAATTTTTGTTTTCCGTCCCCCCTTCCCTAAAATCAACATACTGTCTTGGCTGCTTCCATTGCTGCTTGTCTCGCTATTGCTCGGCGACGGAAGTACGGCGCCCGGCTGAAAGAAACTCCCAATGTGCATTGTCTCATTGCCATACGCGTTGCCTGAAAAAAAAGCACATCAGCCGTCGAGTCGCATGAAAGGGTTTCTCTGTGTCTATGAGTATTTTCGGGTTTGCATACCGTTTCCATGAAAAAATGACGATTGATTCGGCGTTTCTGCCATGCTACTGTTTGTTTGAGTGCTCATCTATAAATATACCCGATTTGCGCGAAAGGACAACAAATGACAACAGAAAGAAAAGAATAAAAAACAAGAAATGATAGCAAACATTTCGGGCATCTGGCCCTCACCACTTTTTTGTTCATTATTGTTATGGTGATTATTGACATTATGAGCTTACCCAATTTGGTTTCACGTCCATGCCATTATCGGAGGCTGTCATTCCATTGCTCTGAATGGTCGCTGGTGGATGATATGACTCAAACGCTACAATATAAAAAAACTAGGGTTGATTCATATGACGATGCAAGCAGTACCAGTCTTCCATACTTGAAGTTGCGCATGAAGGGTGTCGCCACCCTCCGGTGTGAGACTTTCAAACTCTTTGACGCTCATTCCGAGCAGCGATCGTCCAGTGATGAAGATTTGACGTGGCGGCTTCAAATTGAATTGGAGGCACATCTCGTTTATCCATCTCGCGCTGTGCTCCTCGTTCCAAATGTATGGATCAGTTGGTAGGCCGAGTTTCGCGCAAGTGGTGCTGATGTCTTGAATCAGATGGCGAAGAATTAGATCGCGGTAGATATCCATTTGCTGGGAATCAACATTCTCGGCATCATTATTTGGAACATTGAAGTTCAGAATACTCTCTGAATATTTGGGGGTCATTAAGCGATTGTAATCTACTATTGCAGTACCTTCAATTTCATTTTTAACAAACCCATTGTTGTCACCCTGCAAAACAATAACTGTATATTTTTACTGTTTTAATTAAAATTTATTTGTTTACATTTGACATATTTCTATTGAAGTGCATTGGGGGCATTGATGGTTGCTGTCTCATGGTGTCATCCTTCATTTGGTTTGGATGGTTCACCTATAAACAATGCACATAATTTCTTGAAAAGTACAAAAAAAAGCTGATAAGCATTTTGTTGATAAAGCTGGCCGATTGACGTAAATTGAGAAGCCACGTGAGATGAAATGAAAATGATGCGGTGGCTACTACTGATAACGCCGTCTTATTCAAAGACACTTATTTGACAACAAAAAAAACGAAGTCGCAGTTTGACAACATATAAGAAAAAAAATCAACAATTTGATTGTTTCTCATATATCAAAATTGGGCAAAAATCGCGTGTTTTTGGGTGTGTCAAGAAATGGTTTAATTGTTTTCAACCTGTTCTTACCTGATCGATTCCGAATAGCTCATCATCAAATGGAAATTCGCATTTGACGAAAGGAGTGCTGACACTCGACTCGGTACCCGAATGAAGGTCGGGGCTCATCGAGTTCCATCGCTGGAGCGGATCAGTCTTGTTCATTTGATCTGAAACAAAAGAGATTATCAATTTACAATGAGTAATAGCTAATTACTAATTTCAATTAAAAAATGTTGGTTGGAAAGATTGAATAAAATCATATGAGATTTACTGATAATGGAATATGTTTTTTTTATCAAAAATCATATATACAATTTGATAAAGTGCGAATCGAAAAATTTGAGAAGATTATGAAATTTTAAATCACGCGACTAGCTTTAAGCATTGAAATTTGCATGCTTTTTGGGGTTAATATTTCGTATTGAAAATCACTCTTAAAGTTAAAAAAAATTCAAATTAATTGATACTAAAATGAAAAAGAAAATTGAATGGTTAAATTCTATTTGACATGTTTGAAAGCTTATAATAATATAAACTTACATATAGAACACTCTGAGTGTTTTAATTCGTCGATTTGGAAGTCTGGATGGTTCAAACCATGAAATGAAATTGGGCAGACTGAAAATAACAACAAATAAATTATTGAACGCCAAGTAAATCAATTAATCATTCAGTACACATACAGTATGCAGTAGCCATTATCGATATCGGTTGGTTGGAGTGAAGAAATAACGATACGGGTTCACAGTGAGCTCAGTCGTTTGACTGAATGGTGGCACACTAATCAGTCAAACTTTTATCAAGAAAACTCGGCCTCTTTTTTGCATGCCACTATCAGCTAACGAAAAAATGGAAAGACTGTGAAAAGTCACATGAAGCGATTTTGGTGCGAGATGATAAGAAATGCAAATTTGGCGCTAATTCGAGAACGTGTGCGTCAATTGCAACTATTCTCTTTTCTCTGTTTTTTTTTTCTCTGTGACAGTTACACGAGAAGCGGGCAATAATAATAATCAAGCAAAACTTTTTTAATGTCAAAAAAATCACAGGCTGTGATGGGGGTTATTGTATGGGAACTCATATTGGAAGCTGATTCACTAATGAAATGTTTTATATTGAACTTATAGTTAAATCAAAATCATTAACAATGCGCACTGAATCATTGCAAGCAGTGTCTGTCAGTGCTGCTCGGACACAAAGGCCGGATTGAAGAAAAAGGATGGGGTGGAAAGAACAAATGACAATTCATTTCTTTTTAGTCATAGTACGAGGCGACAAAATGAAGAAAGAAAAATGACAATTGAAATGGTTCAGTGGTCGTTTTTTTGCAATTCAATTCAAGCGGCTTTTTGAACTCACCGAGACAATTTTTTTCAACGTGAAAATTTTCAACATGCAATGCATTTTTTTGAAGACTATTGGACATGGATGGGAGAGGGGAGAGCGCAACACCGGTTTACGGAAATACAAGTCTTTTGTGTATTTATTGTTGAAGCGAATGACTCTGAGAATCCGACGTCCTGAAGTCCAAATTTGCGGAGTCGATTTGCAAACACCAAGGGCGGCTACCGTACGACTGCCAACTGCCAGTCGGTCACTAGCAAACAAAACACATGAATGGCTATTCTCTGTGTTTTTCCATTCTTTTTTTATGCGCTCAATTCTGCGGCTCTCCAACTCTTCATTGACAATGATTCACACTCGGGTGAGGGTGGGTGAGCCGCGCGGGAAAAAAAAAATATATCGGAGGAGCGAGAAAAGAATGATCGACAGAAAGAGAGAGAGAGAAAGAGAGAAATGGTAGCAATCAAAATCAGCAATTGAAACTGTGGCAACAAAAAGAAAACAAATAAGAGCTTTGAATATTTTTTGAAGCGACAAAAACAAATGAATGAATGAGCGAACGAAGAAAAACGCATGGTGAGGGATTTCCAAAAAGTGCGAAAAAACCAATGTGATCGGTTTGGTCGTCCATCATGCAAATCCTTACTTGGAGAACATTTTTTGTTCAGCAACGCTCAAGGTATTTAAAACTATAATGGGGGGTTCAAAAATGATTAACATATATGTATAGCCCCTCGACCCATTCTTCAAAAAAAAAAAAACGAAAAACTGATTAAGATCAGGTTTTTGAAGATGAGAAGAATGAGATGGATATGATAAAGTTGATGAGGTGTGTCGAAGGTCTTGGAGCAAAAACAATAGACTTATCTTCTCAAGGTCTTTGAAACTAGATTCGTTGTTTCTTCATATTGAAGTGAAAAAAGAAAAAACAATATAGAATGAAGCTTTAAAAGTTTAAAAAAATGTTTTAGCTTAACCTAAAAGCACTTTCTACGTATTGTGTCAAGAATGAAACAGGTTGAAGCAGTATCATGAGAACTTCAAACAATACTGTGAAATCTTCCAGATTCAGAGGTGTTTCCTACTGAGGACGACCAACAGAATGAAATGCTATCTGATGAGATAAAGAGATCCTGCAAATAATGCAAAAAATTGTTTGAATAGGAGGTAGCGGAGTTCGCCAGATTAAACATTTGTAATTGGTATAACTGACGTATGAATCACTCAAGATTCTAGTTTCAATTGTATCCCTGAAACCGTAGGCGAAAACAAAGAAAAACAATTTGAAAAGGCAAAAATGCTTGTTTTGTGTGTGTGTGTTTTGCCTGTGTGTGCGTATTGCGAGTGTGTGCATTTTTCCTTGATGTGAGCCAACCGGTCACTCGGCAGCAAAAAAAAATTGTGGATCGCCTCGCGCGGTGAGAGGTTCACTGTCCGCGGCTGGTGCTCAACAAACACACTTGCATCTTGTTCCAATAGTCTCTTGCGCTCATTCGCCATACTCAGAAACATCAAGCAATTCAAAGAAGTCCATAAATAAAACGGAATGGAATGATACCAGATACTGTAAAATTCTGGAAAACTATTGCTGCTGAGTTGAAAAAATTCAACAATGGCTAATTTGAAAAACATAGTAGAGTCTTCGAGATTTACGAGCTTTTCCCCACATTGCTCCAATTTACTTAAAAGGTTTTCTACAGCCAGTTATTCAACATCAGTTTTGTTTTATGTCTCAACACTCAAAATATGAATTTGATTTTTGATTTTATTCAAACTGCTGACTACTCATTTCGACTTGCAACTAACCGATAAGCACCAAGTCAAAAATCAATGGGTTTCGATGAAGGAGCAAACTCATTAGTTCAATTAACGACTTTGATAAGAAATGTTTACCATCCGTTATGAATCGAAGCATTGATGAAAAATGACGACTGGTCAAGTGATGAAAGCGGTAATTTGTCCATCAATTACGTAGGAGAAGTAAAGTTCAATAGATAAATCATTATTGGACAGAAACGAGAGAATGATGGAAATAAGGAATTTTTGAAAATTTTTTTAGGTCGCTGGAAATATGAAACAGGTCACATTAATTGTTAAGCTAATCAAATAAGTTCAAAGTTTTTTTTATTTAGATGCAGTTGGGGGTTCACATAATCCTTCAATGGATCTTATCTCAATAAATATATTTTTTGAGCTTAAGATAATCTGAAAACAATTATTTCAAAAAAAAATGAATATTTTCAATCATTAATTCAACATAAAAGTCATTGAGCTACTGTAATCAAAGAAGAATCGCTAGGTTTGAATATCGAAATATCCTGTACTTAAGAAGATTAGAATCTACAGAGAACGAACAGAGAATGTGTGACCTCAAAGTGAAAACACATTCCACGTTTAAGCAGTTTCTTCTGTGATCGAAAGCGAAAAATTTGGGTTCGAGAAAAAAAATAACATTGTCCGAGATTTGCTGGATAACTTATAATGAAAAAAATGAGAAGATGAAAACGGCGAAGAATAAGAAGCAGAAGAAACAACAAATGAGAAAGAGAGAGAGAGAGTTGCAAAAATAGGCCAAAATACGGAATGTGGGACAATGAAACATTGATCTACAAATATCATACCACGATCAGACAAATTAATGAGACAAATGGAAAGTTGCATAAACATGAATGTAGGTTGAAGCGAGAAAAAAAATAAAGTCTCACATTTCTCGCTTAAAGGTCGATCATGGTAATTGAGGGAAAATGGTATTTCAGGAGAAAGTCGGCGCGGCGGCGTCACGGGAAAGTGAAATGAGTGAGGGTGGAGGGAAACGAAAAACAAGGATCCAGGTCATCGAAGCTTTACGATATTCCTCACCTCAAGGCACTCGAACGAGATTTTTCGATGGCCGCAAGGTCTCGACGCCTCCGCCGTCGAGGCCTTCGCCAAACCAACCGACTAGTTTACTTTCTCCCTCACATTATTTTCCCGGACTTTTCAAAATCCCCCTCGATGTTTGTATGTGAACACGCGTACATACAATAAAAACGCAATTCGAAAATCAATTCGGACTTCTTGTTTCGACACGAACCCACCCAATAAGGCGAATGAATGCATATCGATGGGCGACCAATGAAACATTGCAAAGGTTTTCAACTCTCGTCGAACCCAATTTTTTTCCTGGCTGACAACGCCGCCGCATTGCTGGCGGATAGAATGATAGATGATTTCAAATGTATCAAAATGGGCGATGGATAATCGGAAGAAAAGACATTCTTCAAAAATTTTTGAAATGATGTATTGCGCTGCAGCTGCAAGTTTTTGGTTTTTTTGAATTCCCACTGAAAAAAAAAGAAACAAAATTTTACCATTTTTGTTTTTGAAAGACAAGATTTTAAATACCAAAAATCAAAAGATGAATAAAAACTGGTATTACTTCTACAAATCGTTTATCATTAATCCTTGATTACGTCATCACAGGGGCAATCGTTCTTGATTGATAGATCAACAAGTTTTGAAATTCCTTTGAGAGAGAGAGAGAGAGAGAGAAATGATTGGTGCCCATATTTTTTACGTCTACAGTACCCCAAAATGTCTCTATCCAACTTTCTCTTCAATCAGTTTTCGCTGGCAATGACAGGTCAGCAAAGAGAGAAGCATCAAATTAAATTCAGCCGTCCTCCTTGAACATTGAAAAAAAAGTCTTCATCGCGCGAAAACGACGAGAGAAAATGAATGTACAGGTTATTGAAATGTCGCTGTTTTTGTTATGAAATCGAAAGTCGTGTTGGTCATTTGGAACGTCATTCAGGCGGGAAAAGGTGGCCGATGGTGCGCAACACCAGATAGCATCGGCTTCGAGATGAGGACTGAGAAGAACTATGGAACTTTTGAATGGATATAGGTCAGCTAACATGGCGAAAAGTGAAAAAAATGGATACGAGATGGATTAGTTTCAATAGCGACACTTTGTGTATGTGTACTTTTTTTGAATCGTCTTGATTGAAAATCTTTTTTTCTAGGGCGAATTCGGAATAGCGGAGAAGGGAGGCACAGATCCAGGGTATGACAACAATATGGTGGGGGGAGGGGAAGTATTGTACGCACAATGAAACACTGGATCAAAAATATTGGGGGACATGATTGCGTTAAGATACAAATCCAAGGTACATGCCATTTTCCCTAAAGCCTGCAAAACGTGCCATTTTCAAGAGCTATTAATCAATGCTATTTATCAGCACATATTTCAAGGTATTGAAAAATGAATGAATTGAATGAGATTATTCAAAAATAAATATTTATATCTGCAAATTTTTCAAAACATTTTTATCATAAAAAATGATGCGAGAAAAATATGAAATGATAAACCGAATAGACATATATTGAAATGTGAAGCTAGTTATGCAAGAAGGATAGTAAAAATAGAAAATGGGCCAATCATTGAAAATTATTTATTTTTTTATACTAACGGTTAAATTGCAACAAAAAAGACGCATCTTGAAGGTACAATGCGGATATTGAGGTAAACAGATAAAAAAAATAGTTTTGGTGGGTTTGGCTTTTATTTGCAAAATCTGTATAAATACAAAAATTAATTGGAGACCCTCAATTATCACGCAAAAACCACAAAACATATTGGCACACTTCGGAAAAGAAACTTCGGAAAACCTAAAAATGACTTCAAAAATAACAGTTCTTCAGTGTAAATTTAATACTCAGAGAAAAGTGCAGGAAAAAATGATTCAATTCAGGTTTAACATTTTCCCCGCCCCCTTCTCCTTTATGAAAAAATATATCGAGCTTTTCCCTATTATTCGAGAATTATCGCGACTACAATTATGACGTATAACCGAGGCTCTCATCATTAAATCTATTAAATTTTCCAATTAATTCTGTTTTATCTGTTTAGGAGCTCCAAGCCTATTAAACCAATTTTTATTATGCTTTCCGGATTGATTCGTTCTTTTAATTCAGATACGATTGCCTAAATAATCGGGTTGCTGTGATTTCAGTGGCAGCAATAAGCATTCAAATTGTTGATCTCTTTCCGTACCTGAAAATAAATAATCTTATCATTTAGAAAGAAAAAAACTAAAACTGGTAAGAAAGCGAAAAAGTGTTTCGGCTTGAGAGTGTGGCACCCAAATGAAAAAAATTTCAAGAGATTAGAAATTTAAAGCACTTACTCGAAAAATGGATTGTTAACGTTGTTAATAGGTTAAGCTTAAAAAGTTTGACGATTAATAATTTTTTGACAAAGTTTATTTTCAGCACTATAACATAATGCTTTAAAATACATTTTGTATACTAATTCGGAGGAAACAAAAATGATAAGTGAAAGCAATTGACAACCATTTTTAATGGAAGATCTAGTACCATCAAATTTATTTCTATTCGATACTTGCATCTATTTTTATGCATGTAATGTGCTTGTGCATTGTTCCCAACAATAAAACACATAAAAATGATCGAAAATTTTAACGCAATAATCCAATTATGCACTTTTACGTATGTAATATAAAAGAGACGCGAAATTTATCATTTTTCTGCGTGGAATTCTCTGTTATTTATTTTTTTCTGCCTAGCTTCAATTTGCTATAATTTTTAAAATTCAGATATCAAATAATGGGACCAGATCATATAGTAGTCCGTGGTGATCAAATAATCAATTTAGCTGAAATGTTAAAAATGGCGATTGGCGTCACTTCTGGTTCCAAAACTCTGTGGAGTTTGTTGACATAATGGGCCCTACAGTATTTCCGCGTAAATTTGAGAATTTCAAATCTATTGAATATTGCTTCTATTTAACATAACACCGTTGACTCGCCGTTCTACACATATCGGAATAGTTTCGATCAAGGACTATTATATGATAATGTAGTTATTGAATAATATACTTTTTCATTGATTTTCAGGCATAATACTACCATCAACAGCGACGAAATCGTTTTGGCTGCTAACCAAGAACTCTTCCCGGCATCGGTGGCCTTTTTTTGAAAGCACTACTAAACTCAAGTGCAAGTCAAACCAATCAATATAAATTTCATAATTAATTAAAATTTGAAGAATCTACACCAATGAAAACATACTGGTTGCTTGAAAATAAAATTGATGAGAATAATGAGAATTTATGAAAGAAATTAGAAATTGAGTTAATGATGACAGTCTCGACTTTCTCCTGGAAGAATAGCTTCAAGATTCCATGTGCCAATATCCAGTGTTCTCTGATTATTTTTTCCAGAGAGGATGTAACGATTCGGAAGCTCGAATTTCCATCGTCTTTGGCATGGTTGAGCGCCATCATTGCAGTCGTGATAAATTTTCAAATGCGGATCAATTGTGGTCAGTTCGGTGGTGTTTCCATTAAGTTCGAAAGCGCCATCGGCATTGGTATACCCGCGGCCAAGATCATCATCCGGATCGGGTCCTAGGGGAGAAAATTTGATGTTGAGCAACACGCCAAAATTTACCAAAGTCATCATCAACCAATTTGACGAGAACACCCTTTGCTGGTACGTGACCACATTTCAAAATTCCTTTCACCTTAAAATTAATTAAAGCGTATCATTAAAATGTAATTGATTATTACTTTGTAACTCTGCTTTCCAGTGTGCTGCTTGTCTGTCTCGCCAGTTATTACTAGAGTACACACGGCCAGAAGAATGCAAATTTTTGCTATCATCTGCAAAGTACGATTAATTTGTTAGTGGGGGGAGGCAAAAAATAGAAAACATCGGATATAAACCGAAACGAAATTTCGAACCAAAAAGAAGCAATTACAAAAAATTTATAATTAACGTTCATTATTAGCGGTTTAAGCGTCCGGGCAATGTCTGCTCTCAAAATTGAGCTCAATCTGTAATAATTCCTTTCATTACAATAATCACAACAAAAATACCTCCAAGTTCATTGTTCCAAGATCCATAATTTCTTTTGGTTCAGGTCCATCAGTAATGTACTTGCTGGGTATCCTAATAATCCATTCCCTCTTGCATGTCGTTTTTTTATCGTTGCAATTATGATAAATTCTGAGTTCCGGGTCGATCTGCGTAAGCTCCATGGAGCTTCCGGCAAGATAAAAGGAGCCGTCGTCCTTCGACAACTGTCGGTCAAGATTATCATCCGGGTTAGGTCCTAGATTCATGATAACGCATTTATTTTTGATCAATTGAATTGAGATCAAACCATTATCCTCGTCATAGAGGGTCAGCTGCACCCCGTTAGCCGGCTTGTTACCGCACATCAATTTGCCTTTGACCCCAGTTGATTGAGTACGAAATGAGTAGGAAATTGTAATAAACAGTCCAAATAATATGAGATATCGAGCAATCATCTAAAAAAATTATAATTTTTTCAAATGTTTTTTTTTGAAATGAAAAATGCTTAAAAAGTTAAATGTAGATTAATAATAAATTTATTTTCTAGATCTTCCGTAAGATATTATTGAAAAGATATTGGGATTTAAAACTAGATGAAAACAAAGAATCGGTACACAATAACATGTTAGTTGGAGTTGGGTACTCGTTGTACCCAGTGAATTTATTTTTATACCTCGGGAGAACAACAGATATCGGTGGGGGATACATGTTTATTGGTTAACACATCGCCCAACATTATCACATGACGCTTTGAGCAACAAAGCTAAGAAATTAAAACAAAAATTATTTGAACATAAAATTTGTTTTTATCAAAAATATAAATTCTGAGCATTGAGGAAATCACGAATTTCGAGCATTTCTTTTCAAAAACTTGAAATATATTATCCATGTGATCCAAAATGCCACGTATCGATAATTAACTACCTTTCCATAAATATCAATGCTTTATGATAAATGATCAAAATGAACTTAAATACCAATACGTCAATCAGGGTATTTTTAAAACATGCCCATTTGATAACATCCTCAATTTGTCAAATCAGAAATAGAATTTTCATTCTTTAAACAACCGAATGGATAAAACGCTGGGAATCAAAATGAGGAAAATGCGGAGTGATGGGAGACAGTTGCCTTGGTCCTGAGATTAATTGCATTACGAACGTTCAGGATGACACGAGTGAGACTTTAGCGAAAACAACAGTGTGAGAAGAAACACTTCATTCATTTCGAATGCTATCCAAATTCAATGACAAATTTAGTATATTCCTTCTTCGAAGGCTCCAAGTCACTTTGCCTTCTGTTTCATTCGACGCTTCTGACGAGCTGCATTCCGGAGTTGTAATGTTGTGGATCGACGGCGGTGTGGTCGATGATTCGTTATTGGAGCGCCAATAGCGCTTGAAAATCTGAAAATTGAAATGAACTAGTTCCTCTAAATTGATAAATAACAACTCACGTGTTTATAAAATAATTGATGCAGAAACTCTCCAATGAACAGCACAATTCCCAAAATAGTTCCAGCGAGAAGGACCCAAAATGCACCTTGAGCTCTTTTCAAATCCAAATAACCTGAAATTTAATTGGTGTCTATTTGGGGAATGAAATGATCAACAAACTTTTGGGACCTGGCGTTGTTGAATTACATTCATTAATTCTTTGGGTAGCCACGTATGATTCGTAATCTGATATCCACTTCTCTGTGAAGCCGCGTTCAACCATTTCACGAATTCTAAATGACAAAATGGAGAAGGTGAGAAATATTGAAAACTTTAATAAATTACGAATTTTTTTGTTCTTTAGATTCACATTACAAAGAATAATTAATATAGCTTTTATTTGAAAAAAAATTATGAAATTTTGAAATCTCAACTCACTTTGTTGAAAAATACGAAGTGTATTTTGAATTTTTCGCCAACGGGATAGATAAGTACACCGGCAGGATTCCATCATTCAGAAGGAGCACTTTACAATCGGAGTACACGTAGAACCTTAGCGTGGCCATTGGCCCCAAAAGAGCATACCCAGAGTTTGCTCGAACAAACTCGACCCCTAAATGCTTTTTTATCGATCATTTATTTCTGAAGTTGTATTGACGAGACTCACTATTTTGTAAAGTTGTTTTACAAATGTCTATCAATTTTTGATAAAATTTTTGAATGTTTGCTCAACCAACATTTTTTCAATAGTTAGAAGTAATCAAAACCTTTTTGAATTCCATCCACGTATTTGACTTTGTGATTGACAAGAATTTCATGCCACAATTCTTGATATACAGGAAGTTTCGAGCGCTGTACAAGAATTTTCATGAAAATTTTGTGGAACCCAAATACCGCAATCATTTCGGTTCTTGTGAACGAATTGCCATCCATCACAATTTCAAATTTCCCTTGCTTCACCGACCGAACCAATGTATCAATGTCTGCAGTTGCAAAAAAAATTTTTTTCTTTGATAAAATCTTATTTTGCATTTAATACCCACTTTGAAATGGTAGATTGGTTTTCTCTACCGCAAAAAGTGCAACGAGGCTCCCCGTGAATGTTGCACTCAGAGTGATGCTTGCAAGCCACCATAGGCCGATAAGGACGCGGCAACTCCACGACCTAGGCTGTTGGGGCAGACCTAAAACACAAAACGAGCCTATCATTTCGATGTCGAAAAAAAAATCAAACCTTGCTGCACAAATATGGAGAAGAAAACCCAGGTGGATTCAAACAGTGTCACATGCATTTCACCAAAAACCCTTCTTAAAATCGTCGTCATTGCCAAGAATATCAAAGCTGACACAAATATCACAACGGCGGTTATAAACCAAACGGTCCACGAAAATGGTTCAGTGACGATGAGTAGAGTGTCATCTTCATACTTTTCGGGATATCTGCAGAATGAAATAAACATAATAGAACGGAAGGAGAGGAAATGTGGTGCGCTGCCAACATAATTAAAAATCGCTAATAAAAATATATATTCCCTTGTTTGATGACACCAAAGTTCTCACAAAACGAGACATTTTATTTGTTTATTTGTTTCGTTCAAAATCTCATAAAATTTTATATACCTTTCATATTTCACTGAAGAGTAAAAGTAAACAATGTTTGGCCAACGAGTTTTATATGTTTCCTAGAATAATTGCATCTCTCTTCCATTGGTCTAGTCTAGCTCAGACTCGTCATCATGACACATATCATTATCGAAATGGATCGCTTCACGCTTGCCCCTCCTCGCGGTTATTTTATGAAAAATGTAGGGAAACTGTCGCACTTGTATTGCATCATTTTTCCGAAACATTTGAAATTGTATTCTCTGCTTCTTCGCAGTGTAATTTGACCTACATTTTTTTCTTTGACCCCCTTTAGATTCTTGATTTTCAATTTTGAAAAAAAAAACAAAGTGTCTGCGACATGTGCATACTCTGCGATGAGGAAAAGCAACCTGATCATGATTCCCGTTGGCTCAAACTGAAACGGATAGGTCATATCACAGAGCATACTCCGATCATAATCGATTATTGCTGCTCCCGCTAATATATCAGCCTCCTAAACAATATCGAAAACTAACTTAATTGAGATAATCTTATACCCCTCGTTTCAGCTGTCCAAATGCTCCAGTCCACGTGCCATTTATAAATTCTCCCCATGAAGTTCCCTCGGACGGAATGATCTGCAAAAATTGTACCCTACATATCTCTCTTAATCATTCCAGTGCATATTTGAATTTCTTATCGTTTAAACACTTGCTTATCTTGCCATTTTGTAAATTCGTTCAACTTTTTTTCCGCCTTTCTGATAAGACAATTAGCACATTGTACTCTAATTTTCTACCTCATACGTTAAATTCAAGCGGCGTCCAATTTCCTTTAAAATTTCCATCACAACTCCTGGCCCATAGCCTTTCTCAGCGACGGCGTCGTCCGAAAAATTTGCATAGTTCACCTAATAAATGTGTGAAATTTTTTTGATTTTGTGACATTTCTTACGTAAGGAGGCTCAATGGTGGGAAAAACCACGCGTAGCGTTTGATTTTTCAAGTCGTTGTACAAGAAACTTTTCTCATTGCTTCTCTAAATTTGATTTATTCATTTATCTTGAAACCCAATGGCTTTAAATACCATAAAAGTGGCGTCATGGTACGTTCCATTTGAGGGATATTGCATTTGTACATCCGATTCTGCAATTCAAAAATCGTGTCCAATTCCAATGCAAAATTAACCAACTCTCATTGATTGAGTCTAGTATCTCTTGCAATGTCCTCATAGAACTAATATCACTAATATTATTACTATCAGCCGCCAATAATGCAACACTGATAAACGAATAGTAAATAAAGAGTATCGAACAAAACGGCATAGCGCCGAAGAAACGTCTAAGCCCATTGTTGGTATCAAATAACCTTTTCTATTTAGAGAGGTCCGACTGAAATTTGATATTTTTATAAATATGTTATTACTTATGAATCATTCGCTTTGAAATGCCGTTTTATTGGCGTTGTCGGCGGGTGTAATTTTTTGCATCGTCACCCAATGCGCGCCAATCTTACGCTATCCTGACGCAACTTTTGCGCACCCAATGAAGTAAATAAAAACTAGAGCAATGTTCGGACACATCCCAGTGTCGCGTGCTCGTTTTTCACCGGCCAACCGTATTCATATTATTGAGTCGTTATCAAACATGTCAAAAATTTTCGTTATCGCTCGTTATTTTCGATGGCCACCCATGCCAAAATTTGGCATGAAATAAATAAACATGGCGTGATTCGCATTTGTTTATCCAGGATATCAATTGGGCGATTTTGCCATGATTCATTTATTTATCAGAACACCAGTCGAATCGCATACACTATTTACTTTACGCAATCGTAAAAAATGGTGATTATTCGTATTGTGGTTGCATATAGTTGATGTTGCAGATGACATTGCGGCCGTCATTCACCGAGCCGCTTATTTCGCCAAAAGACGGCACACGAATCGTTGCCGACGCTGAAACAATGACGACGAAAAATTATGGTGGATATCCAACGAAGGTGAGTCATAATGTCTACTGTAGAATTGGAAGGAGTCAGAGAAGCCGACAACAATGTTATGGTTCGAAATGAGTCAGCATTATTTTCTATATCATATAAAAGATTTCATCAAGACTTTGGCTTGAATGATCTTCCCTCTCTCCTCCAATTGAAAGTTATTTTATTTTTATGCTCTTGGGATTGAATGCTTCTAGAAGATCCAATATTGAAACTAATATCCTTCGGGTCACACCACGCTTAGCAATCGTAGAATGTTATCCACTCCTTCTCTTCGACACCGCTCACCCTAATCGCACAATATTCTAACGTGATTAAAGTTATAATCGTGGGCAGATTGTTAGTGAGGGGGGCAACGAAAGCGCTGTTTTGCCTGCGTTCCCAACCCGCTACGGGTTGGAATAAGAGAATTGATAAGAAAGATGGCAAAAAATATAAGAGTGAGGTGTCACTTTATGCTATTTTAAAACATTTGGTTCTTTTTTGCTCGAATCTATGTAACATTCATTTCAATTTTTGTCCCAGTTTTCCTAACCCCTCTCAATTTCAACGCATGACGAAATTCAACGGTGCGCTTTCTTTATTTCGATATAATCTATTTGAAACATGTGTGTTAGTGATCGTTTCAACACTTTCAACAACCGCTTCTTACTTTGTCATAAATTAACGTGGTCCATTGATTCGTTTTCTTACCTGCGTCCAATTTGCCCCGATGCCTCATTGTGAATGCCTTTAGATATTCACTGAATTTGATATGAAATCCCATTGCACAAACGAGTTATTAAAACGAAGGGATTCGTGTAATAATGATCCAGATTTTCCTGAAGCACCACAATCAATTGCTGTACGATACATGGTGAATGAATCGCACTAATAGGACCAATTCGAAATGTTAATTCTAATTTATTTCAGGTTATCAACAACTGTGAACATGACACAATTAATTTGGAAGAAGATCTTAAGCTCAAAGGCGATCCTGTTGAATCGACCTCAGGAATCAATGTCAAGTAATGAATTAGTACAAAACAGGAATCAACAAAATTTCTGACGTTTGCAGTAAAGTCTCAAAGCGGCTTCTGGTTCAAATTGTGCTTTCTCTGCTCTTCTGCTTTATCGAGTTCATATTCGGTATAATTTCGGGATCAATTGCGCTTATTGCTGATAGCTATCATATGGCTGCTGACGTGATGGCTCTTATCGTTGCTTATATATGTCTAAGGGTTTTTGTTGCTTTCTAACCGCAATAATCAATTTTTAATCTTACAGATGGCTCATAGAGAGTCAAAGTCTAACAGTTACGGTTGGGTACGCGCAGAAGCGCTTGGAGGATTTTTCAACGGATTGTTTCTATTAACCGTGTGTCTTAACATATTCCAAGAGGCCACTGGAAGAATTATTCATCCAAAAATTATTGGAAGACCTGTCCACGTTAGTACTTATCTATCTTTTATCCTTAATGTCAATTATTTAGGTGCTCATGGTCGGCGTTGTAGGACTCCTTATTAACATTGTCGGCCTTCTATTGCTCAATGGGCAAGGACACGGTCATAGTCATGGAGGTGGAAGTCATGGACATAGTCACGGTGGTCATTCACATAGTAACGGTCATGGACATAGTCACACTAATGGAAAGCAGGTTCAAAAAATAATAAAACATTATCACAAAAACAACTATTTGCAGAAAGCCGCTCACAACGAATGCTCGGATCATCTTCTAGCCAATGAGGAGACTGAACTAAAGCTCGTGGTCGACACTAAATCACGCACCGGAACAATTGAACGAAGATTCACTGGCCCTGGAATGCCATATGCTAGTGTGAGTTTTGAAGGATTAATCTCGAAGCAACCCATTCCCTAGAGACCTGAAGCAACCACTTTTGGCAGTTTGATACTCGTGTTTGAATAACATTTGTCATTGTTTGATTAAAATTGGTTTTTTTCTCTCGTTCCCATCATAGCAATACTTTGAATCGTTTTTTTTAAATTGAAAAGCGAACAAATAATTGGTGTGAAACTAGACAAATCATGATACGAATATTTTCAGCATTTGGCTAGTGATATGCTTGACGAGCAGCCTGATGAAAAGAAGCTCCACAAAAAGAGTATGAAATATCAAGTATTGTTGAAACTTTTACATTCCTTATTAAGGCAACAAGAATGTGAATATTCGTGGTGTCTACCTCCATCTCATGTCTGATGCCATTGGATCCGTCATTGTCATTTTTGCAGCAAGCATTGTGTATTTCTACCCTACGTGGGAATATTCCGCTTACTTTGACCCCGTGCTTAGGTTTCCTCCACCGTTATCATTTAAGTTAAGTAATATCGCAATCTTCAGCTTGTGCTTAGCCTCAATGATGTCATTCTCTGCTTTTGGTTTGGTTAGAGAATCTGTATATATTCTCCTTATGAAGCCGCCGAGAGGAATTGATAACAAAGTGGTCGAGAGCGATTTGAAAAAGGTGAATAGCTGAAATGTGTGTGTGTGTGTGTGTGTAGTAAAACTCAAAGACAATGACCGTATTTGGGTAATAAAAAATGTTAATGCAGCAACTAAATGACGAGTGTTGAAATTTTTTATGTTTTCACAATTATTATTGGAATATGATGAAAGCTCACAGTTCTGTAAGGAAAACCAATGGAATTTGCATATATGACAAATTATATGAATTTTTTGAATGATGGGTAGAATCATAGTCCACGACCGTGGCAAACGCACTACCTATATGTAATTGACGAAAAATTTTTTTTCAGATTTCTGGAGTTGTCGATGTGGCATGTGTCGAGATGTGGTCTCTCACTGGATCAAGACATATTGCTTCCGCATTGGTATTATCGATTAGATAAAATATATATAAATTTACGTTTGAATTGTTTCAGGTCAAATTTTGTCATCCCGCCGTTTTCACAGATGCGGCTTTCAAAATTCGAAAATATTTCCACGACTTGGAAATTCACTCAACAACCATTGAACCGTCATTTGAGGTAAATTTTTAGATTAGAAAAACGTTTGCTGATTCTGCAATTTTCTGTAGGTTGTATACACAAAAATCATCGATAGATTGTATATATAAATTAAACATATATATATAAATGAAACTAGGGGGAATTCAAATTGATAAATTGAAATTTTTAGAGCTAGCAAATTTTTCTCAGATCGAAATCGGCATTTTTAAATTTCAAATTTGTTGTTCGTTCGGCCACAAGGCAGTATGCCATACCATTTAGCAATGAAAAATATGCTGTAGAAATCTCAGGAAATGCCACAAATTTGATAAAAGATTAAGAAAAATGTATTAATTCAAAAATATGAAATGAAAATATTGTATTGTCTTTTTATTGATTTTGCGTAGAAAAAATTACAACCCCCAAAATAAATGTTGAACTTTTTTTATTCCATTTTATTATCGAAAATCATAAATATTTCAGAAGAGATGTATGGAGACGATGCACATAACAATGGAGAATTTGAATGTTGCAGCGAACGAAAATTCATCGACTTCCAGTGAAAACTGATTTTTTTTTCTTTTTTTTTATTAGAACCTAGTCAAGACATTTTCGTATTTTAAATTATTCTGTCCAACCTCAATAAGCTTTAATCTTGAGGCCATCCTTAATACTTGTCATACCGTGCACTTAAAATTGATGTCTATTACGAGTTTCCTTCAACTGAAGCCAATCGATTCGATTTGCTCTCTGGTTATGCCAAATTTTTGTAACGGTTCATAATAAATAAATGGAATTTTCAAGTGTATATTTTGCTAACGAATATGTTTATTCATCATTAGCAATGAAATATTTTTGACCGCGTAATTGAATGCGGTGGCATTTAATTTAAATATTATAGCAATGGAATCGCATGATACCCAAGATGTCTCAATTGATTTGGATTTTGATGATGACGATGATGCGGTTGAAAACTGCGAGGTTTTGTGTTTTGTTGTTTGACCAATAGACAATTGATATCTTGTTTAAAACGTTTAACCATAAACCACAAAAACGTTTTTGCAACTGTAAAAGGAATAGAATCTCGGAGTTAAACTTGGGGATTTTAAAAATCCGAAGAATGTCCTAGTTTTTGTTTTTTACACTTTCGTTGTTAAAGATCGAATCCACCGACAAGGAAGACGAAATTATTATTTCGGATCCAATTCCAATCAAAGCCGTGTCAATGCGAGTCTCACCAGAAATAAGGTTTTCTTTTTTTGATTTTCAATTTTTTAAATAGATTTTCAGGGTTCGAAACCTTAGCAAAGCCATAAAAGACACAATTATTGCAAATTTGGATTATCCTCCATTTGTATCAGTTTCTAGTTGGATAGAAATTGCAAATTTCCTCAAGCTCGACCATACCGATATGGTGGTACGCACGTAACGTTGGAGCGACTACTACAAAATGATTTTTGTAGGTTGTCGAAAGCAGTCAAAAGCCGGCAGAATATTTGATGACGCATATTGAAAATACGCCGGCTCAATTGCTATTCAATGCTCTAGAATCTGCGAATCGTGTTGATATCTTGCTCTATGTCAAAATATTGGAGAAACGCCGTGGATTATGCGATCCTCTTAGTAGTTCTCAAAGTTATTCAATGAAATTGTTTCATATCTTATAGGCGGATTTCATTCCATGTCAACATTCGAGCTCGACTCGAATTATGATCGAGAATCGGTGTCTTCATTCCAATTGGAATCCGTTGAATTTCGAAATTGTGGGTTTTTCACAAGCCGATTTCTTTGAATCACATTTTGCATTTGCAGGTTTTCTCATTAACCATTATGAAACGACACATCAAGAAAAGAAAAATTTCCGTTGGTTCATGAAAAATATTCGAGAAAACTTCAAGAAGTTGGGAATCACCCACATAACGGCTCTCGATATTAATGAGCTCGAAAAAATTGAAAATGGAAATATTATTGAGACATTACAAGCCGCGTTTGTTCAGGTGAACATTTAATTGTCCATCTCAATAATTCAATATTTCATTTCAGGTGCCAGCCATTGTCGTGTGCTATAATGAATCGTTCGTGGATGCTCTAGAAAAACCTGAACAAGATTTTGAGTTCAAGTACAAGAGCCATATTCATCAGCAAACTGTTACCGAGTTCTTCGCGAATGGAATGAAAAACAAGAGATGTCGCGTAATACATATGCCGGTGAGTGTTTCCGGAAAAATTTCAATGTTTATTATAAAAATCGAAAGTCGTTATAAACAATTGAAATTTTCTTTTAACATCTATATATTTAAAAACTAAAAGTGAATTTTAAATATAAAGAAAATTGGTGAATCAGCAATTCGAAAATCAAATGAATTTGTGGGGGATGGTTTACTTTGAGAATTTATCAATTTTCTTTAAGAGCTCTGGTATTATTTAATTAGAATCCAGCAGCTTCAGCTATTGAATTTGACTATTAAATAACAACCTGTTTTTCATGTGCTGCATTCCAAATTAACACAAAAATTTCAAAGAACCGAATGTCCTTCAAGTGTTCTAATTTGATTTTTATTGCGACCTTCGTCGAGTTACGACAGCCTCTTCCCCACCCCTTTGAACGTACTGTTGAGAAAACCGGACGTAATTAGAACAACCAAATTGCGATCGTAGAGAACTCTCTGTTTGCGGCCACACACGAAGCAAGCGAAGCAACGAAATGCGCACTCAAAAGATCGAGTTGAACATACGTTTCTTTTTTGCTTAAAAAAAGTACAAACATGAGCTGAATTGAGTGAATAAGTTGAGAAAGACGCGTAAAAACGGACACGACACCATTTCAAATTAATCTCGATACAAAATAAATTGCTAATTAGCTTATGAAATAATATTTTCTGTCAATTAGCAATTGGATGAATCCGATTTGAAGATAGGGAAAATTACAATATCGATATAGAAGCACTTGTAGAAATTTTACATCAAAAATGGTAATTAGAAATATCCCTCGACGAAATGTTTGCCATTTTTCATTTTCATTTAATTTTTTCAGCTAGGGATTTAGCAAATCTGTTTCATCCTCTAAATCCGTTTATAAGATTCTTAAGATTAAAATAAGTATTGTAAGATTAATTTCATAGTTCATAGAATAGATTATGAGAAGCGTCATTCCCGATTTAGCAGTTATTTTCGCAAAACTATTAAATGTTTATATAATTTCAGAGTGTGTTATCCAAAAATCTAAAAATAAACCACGAGAACTATCTCGTTCAAGTTGCCGGAAATTAGTTGGCCTGGAATGTGGCCGGATGTTGCAAAGGAAATGAGACTTGATCGCGTCTAGTGTTTGCGAGAACGTTCATTTTTGATCTATTTGGATACAGAAAATATTTACAAGTGAATCACAATCAATCCAAAATTTCCGGACGTTTGGAGTTTGCGAAAAATTTGAATTTGGTACCTTTACTACTAAATTTGTCTAACAGCATTTCTCCAAAACAAATTCCATTAATAGATTAGAAAAAAAATTTCTATTATGTATTATTTCAGGGAAATCAACGAACAGAAACTGTCGGATGGGCGCCGTCAACTGTTCAATTTCAATTCCCTGACGGATTTGGACCATTCCTTCGACGTCTGATTAAATCATTTTCGACATCCTCTGCCGTCGGCATCACATAGAAATATCACATTTCACATTTCATTTGTTTATTTGAATTTGATGCGTACACCACGCACTAACTGATACGGTGAATTTTGATCGGGTTGTTTGCGTCGGTTATAAACAAATCGATTATTTTTTGAGTCTGTGTCTGTGCGATGTACCCATGATAGCAGGCGCTGTCCGTCTCATTGAAAAAGAGAAGCGAAGGCGTCCCATTTTTGGCATTCAATAAGCGCTACCAAGTCCGCTATAAAAGAAGAGCGTCAGCGATAGTGTTCGTTACCTAGCAGCTCAAATTGCGCAGCTCCCGATTATTCGACTTATAAGTGCTCTTGCGATTCAGGTTTGAAACACTCGCATTTCTCTTTCTCTCAATCAACATTTATACAGATAATGCTTGTTATATAACTAACTCAATTGTTGTTAAACCTATTCGGATTTTCATATGCGCTTTTCAGATAAATATTCCTCTAACCGAAATAAAATCTAAAACTTTCAGCAGAAATTTCCCGCTATAACGTCTGCATAAATATTTGCGTTCTGACTGAAGTTTCAACTTGAAATGCATTTTTTTGATTGGCATTTTGTACTATTCAAACAATGACGCGCTTTGAAATGGAAATTTTAAGATTAAACAATCAATTTCTTCTGTCAAGTTCTAGTTATCAAGATGTGAAGATTCGTCGTTGTCTATATATTGTAGAAGAGCGACAAAATAAATTGAATAACATATCTCTCCAATTTTTGGCTCTTTGGGATTTGTCGCAACCAATTTTCATCGCAAAATTGACTGACAATGTTGGCACAAAGGTCACTCTCAATTTCTTATTAGTTTTGAAAAGCCTGAAGGCTAAAATCATGCTTGCCTTCTCCAGAAAAAATTGGGATTTTTTTATAAATGTTTAATGAGTCACAGGGTTTATTGCAAAATTGTAATAAACATTAGTTCCGAAAACATATTTGCAACTTATTTTGTCAGTCGTCCGCGAACTTTTAGATATGATCTTTGAGATCACTTGACATTCGACTGAATAGTTGACTTATTTAAATGTGAAATTCTTCAAAATACTTTGAGATGTTCGATAAGAAATCTTCATGGTCAAATGTTCCGAAAGAAAATAAAGAGATGCGATCTCATTCAATTGCCATTCGCTCAGTTTTTTTTCGTCTCCGCCAGCACATTTTTTTTCAATGTTCGCCTCTATTTAAACCAGTAGACCTTCCCGATTCTTTCATTGACGGCACGCAATTCACTTGGTTGCGCATTGCGCGCTAATCTGCTCTATTGCACTACTTCAACATTGTGACGCATTTGTTAAGCGTTTGCTCTCGGTTTTCGATTAATTTTCAATAATGCACGTTCAAAATCCGATTAGTTTCGCGAAATTCCTTCCCCTCCCCACTCAATTTTTAAGAAATTTTGTGATGCCTATAAACTTTTGTGTGAAAGTGCTCACACAGTGTCAATCACTTATTTGCTCGCGGTGACAACGAGCCAAATGATAAGAACACATCGCGTCGTAATTCCGTCGTTCCTCATCATATTGACAACACACAATGTCGAACCAATCAATAACTATTCAGATGCGAACTTGGCTGATTCTTTCGCTTCTGTGCCTGTTGGCGTTGGGCGCGTATTCGCCGCGCAAAAGCGTCGACAAGGAAAAAGCATTGGCGAACAAGAAGAAGTCAGAGCAACCATTATCTGGGGTAAGTCATAACCTTTCAAATACATGTTGAGTGAATGACGTCTAACACTAGTAATTTCGAACTGCTTCATATTGAAGTTTGCTTCAATTGTATTCTGAGTTCTGTCTTACTAATAATAGTCAGACATTTCAAAGAAGTGTGGATTTTGCGGTGAACAGCACCAATAAATTTTATAGGAAATGGATGAGGGTGACATTCCGGAAAGGAAACTGGATGAAATCGCAATCGATGCGGGTTTTGATGATATGAAGTCGCGAAAGAAGCCGTCTGGAAAACCGGTAAAGCATTTCAATAGAACCGGCTGATTGTATTGTCTAATTGTGCCGTGTTCATTGGCTTTAGCATTTTCACCTCATGTGTTTCCCTTTTAAGGATTGGTCGAATTATAAGGATTGGACAGTGATTCGGATTGGAGATACAAAACGTATGATTGAATTGAAAGATGAATTAAAACGTGCACCACCTGAGGATGTTGCAAGGGTGAGTTGAAGAGAATGTGCTGTCTGCTTTGCCAAGTCATCAGAATGCTTTTCCTTGTCGGGTTGTGTCACCGAATAATCGCGTCATCATTTCAGCTTAGGAAACAAATTCAGGAAGAGGATGAGGCTAATGACGATGATCATCAATATCAGGTAAAATCATTGGGTTTCATACATTTCCAATTAGATAGCTTGTTTCAGGCGTGCAGCATGAGTGATAAGGAAGAGGACCAGCTGTGTCATTGCGATGGGGATGAAATTGATTGTAGCAATGTTAGTACATCGTCGTCATTACAAATCACAAAGATCAAATCAAAATTTGAAAAAATTCTCTTATATGACTTTTTCTTATCACAAGCTCAGCACTTCTTCAAATTTCAATTTTTTTTAAACTCAAGAACTAATTTCGAGATAATCAGAAATGCATGTGCACTCGACAATATTAATGGATGCTGGCTTGTCTAGGAAATAATGTGAAATTGAATTCATTTTATTTTGAGCTAAGGGCGTTAAAAATGTTTCTTAAATTTGCATTTTTATTACTTGAGGTGACATCGTCATAAATCATGTCAATGCCAAACTTCTAATTTTGAGTTTTCAAAATGGACCAGTAAAATGCCCTGAGATTTTGATCTTATCAAATTAATATCTAATTAATAAAGAAATTAATTCGAGAAAAACGTTGCAGGTAGTTTTGGATGATGATGACCCGAGATTGAGAACAGCCAATTTGAAAATCATGAAGAAGAAATTCAAACCGATTATTGCCAACTTCTCTAGCAACGCTGTTTCTCGTCTCCAGGAGAAGAAAGTGCTGCCCGGATTCGAGAAATACGTTTCAGTACTGGATTTCACCGAAAACGAAATTCGTTACATTGATGGTGATACCTTTGTACCGTTTACGAATCTATCGAAATTGAGCCTTCGCCGGAATAATCTTCGTGTCGCAAAACAGTAATATTAAAACAATCAACAATTACATTACAAATATTTCAAGGAAATGGTTCACTCCAATTGGTAAGACACTTCATCGATTGGATCTCAGTTACAACGGAATCCTTTCTTTCCCAAAAGGCGTATTCTCGGACTTGAAAAATCTGAAAAAATTGATTATTGATGGAAATCCGATTAGAGAATGGAGGTACTTATATTAGTGATCAAGCATTAATATAATGTTCATGATATTCAGCAAGGAAGTTTTTGAAGGGTTGGAGAACTTGGAAGAATTAAGCATGGACGACTGCAACATCAAAGAGCTTCCTGGAGATGTTTTTAGCAATTTGCCGTATAAAGCAATACCATTGGAAATGATAATATTTGGCACATTTTCAGAAAATTGCGGGGCATTTCACTGCGATTGAATCCATTTGAGGAAATCCCGAAAGCGATTGTTAAAACTACTCAGCTTAAAGAGATTGATTTGAGGTTGAACAACTCTCGAAATTATTCAGTAGTAAATTTTGGACGTTTCAGCGAGACTAACCTTGTGGAAATTCGTGAAAACTCATTCGTTCATCATCCGAACCTTGAGGAGCTTTATTTAGAGGAAATGAAGTTTTTGTCGGTGGTTCGGGATTGCGCGTTTTGTGGTCTCTCCATGTTAAAGGTCTTTGAGAATTTTTTTTGAAAACCGAGCGGAAATCTTCAGACGTTGTACCTCAACGATAATGCAAAGTTATTCGAAATTAACCCCAATGCATTTGGACTTGAAGGAGCGGAACCTGGATACAAGGCGACAGCGCTGGAAGAATTGCAAATTCACAATTGCAATTTGACCAATATCAGTGAAGTGATGGTCGATTTTGATCACCTCAAAAAGCTAACGGCCGGTGGAAACCCATGGACTTGCGATTGCTTCAACTCGTTCCTTTTTAAAATCAACACCCAACAACTGGAAACGGACCCACTTCATGTGACGTAGGAAATATCGGAATGACGGCTTATTTTGATTTAATTGTTTCCAGATGCATTCCTGTTGGTGAGACTGAAGCTGCTTCGCCAGTATCGATTCGAACCTACCTCAACAAGTGCAGTAAACCTGGAGTCACCTCACGTCTTTACACCGTCATTATCCTGTTTATGGTTGTCAGCGCGGTTATTGGAATCGTCTATATTGGTGTGGTTAAAAGAGGCTTCCATAAGATTTATCAAAGGGTTGGTTTTTTTAGACAAATGTATAAAAAAATTAGAGAATTTTAGCTTCAAACTCACACAGTACCGGATGTGACCTATTCAAACCTTACGGACAATTTTGAGGATGGAATTAGTCTTGACACCGATTTCAACCCAAGGCCTGCTGAAGTCTAATGATAAAATCTCACCATACTGTCATAACAGGTCAATCTACCGGTTGATGTATTTCTTGTGATTTCAAGCACTTTACCCTGAACCGCTGGTTCGTTGAGTACTTTTTTTTACAATTTCGACATTTTCCTCATAAACCTCATTTTGTTTTAAAAGTAGCGACAATAGCTAGTTATGTTACTCATTTTCTTCAGCGTTCAAAAATAATTGAAGAAATATTTTTCAATAATGTTGAACATTGCCAACCTTTGTTAATACAAAGTATTGCGTTGTCTTCTTTTCCATTTTATATTTTTTATCTTTATTTCCCTTTTATATCTGTTTATTTTTTTATTACTATTTCTTTATGCTTCTTTTATTTTGTGTAGTATTTTTATGCATATGTTATTTTTATTTATCTAGTTTTGTCAATAAATATGAATCGGTAAATATTTTCGAATTTCAAGCTGATTAACCAATTTTGATAAAAACGATATCTTGTATAGTTTTAATGAAAAACTTTCGGTTTCGGTTGTTGAAATCTTCAAAAATTTAATAATTACTCTGAGCAAATATCGGAATCTGGAATTGAAATATATATTAGAATGAATCAATAAATAACATGGTTAAATTTGGTATATACTTTTGATTACGATGAATTTTATACCATATCAAAACGAAAACAGCTACAGAATTACGGAAGCACATAATTTTAATGATGAGCAATGCCTCCCCAAATTTGTCCATTTTTGGAAATACTGATAAACAATTTCAACCTAACAAATTATTTGCAGCGGTATCTTGAATATAGGTTTTTTTTTGAAAACTACCTCAAATAAAATTTATCAAAGAACAAAAAGGTTGTATCTATGATTTCAGTCAAATGTGGTAGGCAAATTCAACATTCTCGTATCATATAGAAGTTTAATATATTTTCTGAAGACGCTTTTCTTTCAATAATGTTCAAAGGTTATTGCGATTGCATTTCGTTTTATAATAGCAAATATATAAAATGTGGTATTGTTACACAAAATTCGCTATTGAATTGCATTGTCACAAAATATAGAAGGCTTGATCGCATTCCGTTATTTTTAAATAGTTTTTAACGAGAATGGATCGAATAAGTAAGAACATAGATTTAATTTTTTGTGTGATAAAAATGAGAAATATTGACAGATAAAATTTCCCGTATTTCTCTCAATTATCAATATGAGCTTATATCCTCGAGCCAAATTTTAAGAATTTAAATTTGAGCTTTCCCACTCGTTATTTGCTATATCATAAGATTTATTTCAGGTATAAAACAATCCAAACGCATTTTTACTTTATTGACAACTCTGATTTGGTTAACTTGCAAAAATTTGTCAATTATGAATAATTTAATCAAAATATTATGATGACGAATTTGAAATATCGACACATTTCTCACCATCCAGCACTTAAAATTCTGATGATATTTTCGCGCGGTTATCATGTTGCAAACAATTCATTATATGTTTGTGAAAATATATCTTTATTTATTCATAAATAAAATGTTTCTTTTTAAATAAATATTGAAGGATAGATTGAGAGAGAATGAGAATAAGAATAGGGTAATAAAATATGGTTTTAGCGATGGTTTAGTGAGTTTGTGAATGCGTTTGCCTTCTTCATTGTTAATTGACTGCCAATACGAACTCTAAAAAATGGATGCGTTTTGTTTGGCATAATTTTTAAGGGTCAACCTTCGAACGAGATCTTTCCGTCTCCATCAATGTCAGCTTCATTGAACAATTGCTCAATAACCTTGCTCGGGAATGATGCTTGAAGCGAGAGCTCCCGAACAATCGAAATCATTTCCATTTTTTCGATGAATCCGTCCTTGTCCTAAAAATTGTGTATGCTTATGTGTCTAGGTTGAAAGTGAGATTGTAACAATTCCGGAAATAAGTGCTATGTTTTCCCCTTCGAACCACCAGACCCATATATTAAATTGCATTTTGTCAAAAGGTACAATTTACATCAGAAAAAATTGCCGAATAGGGAAATACCTTATCAAACATATCGAATTGCTCACGAAGCTGTGAATAGGTGTACTGTGACATTGAAGAAGTGCCATTCATTAAATGGGCAAATTCGTCGAATGTGATAACCCCATTTTCTGGAAACAAATACATGGATTATTAGACTATATAAGGGCGTCGATTACGGTCATTGTCTCCGTGGTACATAATAAGACGGAGCTCTAATTTCGATGGAGTTTGACCACATTTTCTCATTGCCTTTTCCAACTCATCAATGGTGATATGGCCATCATTATTTGCATCGAAAAAGTGGAACGCTTGCTTGTATTCTGGAATCCAGAAAATTCGAAACTAACAATCTTGACCAGATTATTACCCTCCATCTTGCTCTTAACCGCCCTATTTCCAGAATTGGCCTGAAAATTGAATTGTTATTCATAAATCGAGCTCATAGTGAAATAAACCCGAGTTTCCAGATTTGCAGCGACTGGCGCCTTCTCTTTATTTTTTGACGACTCCGTCTTATGAGATTTACGATGGCCGGCCGGCGACGAATGATTGTTACTACTCCTTTTTGAGCAAGTTGAGTGCGGCATTTACGCAAATAAATGATGCGAGGAAATTCAAGAAGAATGTGGTGAGAGCTCCTTAAAATGATGGCAGGTGATGCTCATTGAAAATGCATTTGGAAACAATGAAAGTGTCGGATGCAAAGAATTCGAATGTGACAGCGCGACAGAAAAAAAAACACGAACGAAATGTAAAAAGTCGATGCTGGAAAAAAAAACACAGGGACGAGTGACGACGAAAAATGAAACGAAGAAAAAATGGACACGAGAAGACAAAAATAAAGGTTCGGTAGGAATATATGCATCAGGCGCGTTGGCCAGCTTTCAATGTGTCTGCTTTTTTTTGGAGCAATGAAAAGTGGGTGGTGCATAGTAGAGACTGCTCTTTGTCAATTTGCTTCTGTTAGGCATCAAAAGTAAAAGACGAATCATTGCGGAAATTGCGAACAACAAATACTGACACGAGGTCGAAGCTTATATCTTGAAATGAATGTGTGAAGGGTTGTGCGAGAATGCTGGATGGATAGCTATTGCGCATCAATGCCCCACCAACCTGTATCAGCAAAGGCAATGGAAAAATGCGAATGAAAATATTGTCGGCGGATTGATGAGCAGAAACGAATGGGGCGGAGTCAAAGCACATATTTGGGCAAAAGAGAATGAATGCAAAACATGAGATCCTCGCTATTGAGGTTCAATTTAAAAACTGCGATTTGAATCCAAATTATGAGTCAAAGTAAGTAGAGAAAAATTTTTAAAAATGAAACTTGAGGAGCTTTGCGGAAGTGTTTCAAGAAGGCCATTTTCGAAAAAACAAAAGGAGAGCACATTCTTCTAATCTGGCTGCATTTCATCCTTGTTTGAACTTGGCGCTTTCATACCAAAAAGAAATATAGCATTTTTTTGGTGTATTCAACAATTATCACGCACCATAACACTTCGAAGAAAAAAAAACATTTTACTTGGAAAAAAACAGGAAAACAATTCAAGCTGTCGGTCGGCTAAACAAATTTCGAAAGTTTGCCGCCAAATACTTCAAATTCAAGTCGCTTTTTCGATACCTTCTTTTTTATGAGCAAAAAGTTTCGGAGGCGTCTGGAGGCGTGTCTGGATGCAACACTTTAAGAGATTTGGGATTTGGTTATTATGCGCCGCCACCATCACCATATGTTTTCAATTCATTTTCGAGCAAAATGAACTTTTGGAAAAATAAACATAGGAAATGTTTGTTGAAACGTTTTAAGTGAAAGAGGAGATTTAAACATATGTGACCGTTCGTTCTGAAACTATTATACGAGTTTGATTTGTTAGTAGGTTTATTCAATTTGTGTTAGAATACGGCTTCTCAAAAAAAGTTTTGCAATTGCACGTATGCAGAACAGTGATAGATTTTAATATGGAACAATGCTAAGAAGCATTATGACATCATATCTATAGTGACACAAGCCGAAAGCACGACCCTCTATGTTAACTGCCCATCAAATCTGAATAAGAAATTTGATAGCCAGCACCAATTTCAAGGGAAAAAAATGTCCCGTCATGCTCACAAGCGAATGCTTTTCAAATCATCGCCGCCGCCTATCTTCCTCCCATTTATTTAGTTATTTATACACTAGCGAATTGTTGTGGGTGGAATTGAAGCTATTCTCGGATCTCATTTCATTCGGATTATGTCATGCGAGTTACCTTTGTCCAATCCTTGAACGCCGCTTTCATCGACTCCATGACCTTTGAGGGATTGTGGTTAGAATCTGAATGGAATTAATGATATTGCACAGCATGGCTTGTAACAAAACGACGAAGTGGGAGACTTCATCCCAAATATGGAAAATGGATGGATGCTCTTGGTTTTTGGGAGAGAATCAGTGCAGAAAAAAACTAGTAATGTGTGTGAGCAACAAGTAGATGAATGTGTTTATGTGGTGCTCAAAAACGTTCAACAAACCGCTAGTTTTATTCCCCAAGGTGTGTTTCATTTCCAGAAAAAAATTTCCATATCTCCGAATACATACGTAAATAGTATTTTTCAGCTCCTTTGTGAAATAATAGCCAGCGGCGTACGTTGAAATTTCGGTTTGAATTGAGCAAAAACAAATGAAAACTTGAATTTTCAGGGAAACCACCGACATTGGAACAATTTTTTGCATGACAGAATTCAAATCCTGACTATATTTTTTGGTTCAATAACTCGGTGCATACATAAATTATGGATAATTTTTATTAGTCGAGACCCAAAACAAGATCTTGCCACAAAAAAAGCATGAAATTGAAGAAGAAGAATAAGGAAAATATGTATATGAAAAAAAACGTGGGAAAAGACTCTGAAAATACTCATTAGTTTACAGCGGAAAACGAAATTGCATATAAACAAGTATCTTGACTGGATGAATCTTCAGAATGCTTTAATGGATTTTAAACAGGTAATCTATTTCTTTATAATATTAAATACTATATGCTAAATTGAAAATTCAAATGTTTAATCTAAAAAAGAAAATTTTTCCATTTTACTAAAACAATAAAAAAATTCAAACAAATCCAACAGCATTTTAGAAACGTCGAAAAACATGAAAAAATGAGATCATTAAAGTATTAAGATGATGGGCACTTCTGCGTCAGATTTTTCAATTTTTTGACAACCATATTTGGTGAACGATGAGCCATCATTAATAGGTCATTAAACAAAAACGAGTACCGTACCTCATTATGGGCTCGGTTACATGTTTTTTCAATCAATTTTAAATCCTGCTTTAAAGCGTTTTACCAAATACCACTCAAACATTTTTATGTTATTAAATGGGAATTCAAGAAAAATATGAATTGAAGATGAAATATGCAAACGAGGGTCCGGTTCGAAATGCAAATTTTGAATGTCAGAAGTAGGTGGAGATGTTTGAAGGCGAAAAGTTTCTTGATCTTGAAATGCGTTGAAATCCAATTATCTACAGTATATTAAATTATTCCGCTTGTGTTTGAAGTGCATATTCCAAAAAGTGAAATTAGCGATTCAGTTGTTGCAAATTTTCTAAGAAATTTATTATATGTATCGTGAGATTTCTAGAATTGACTTATGACGAAAATTTTTACCATTTCAATTTGCGCAGATTCTCGATCCTACAAATTTCTTTTTTTTAACAATTGAAACGATTTCCAATTTTTAGTATTTATCTAATTTCCGGCATTGATTTTTCCGCTAGTACAATGTGAGTTACGTCACAGCTTTATCAAATTCAGATGGGGAGGACCACCAATGAATTAGAAAACGTTTTTCCCTAAAAGCTTGGTCTTCTAATTTAAGTTAACGCCTCGTGACAAAACACTCGCAAAACAAAAAATGGCTTTCTAATAGCTTTACCTTCCATAACATTTTATAAGCCTGGGCGAGTTGGAGTTTTTCTACTTGACAAGAGACCATTGAGCAAATCATCGCTGACTTAGTTATGCATTTTCTTGCGGGGGTCACGGGCATTACTCATTCAGCACAACAGAAAACAAAAAGCAAAAAAAAACAATTGGCAAAACAAAAAATGGTTTATCACAGTGAAGGTAGAATATAATTGAGGAGAGGGGAATCACCGGAAGTTGAAGGCAGTTCACTTGACAGTTATTAATTAGAGCTGGTATTTTGCGAAATGATCAAGGGATTCCAGATTGCGAATCGATGAAGCCTTTTGCAATCGTTTTCCGTTGATGATTTGTTTCACAGCAACTTCAACTTTCTTTCCACTAGAAGTGTACTGAAATTCAAGGCATTTTTTGGAAACACAGTATTCTCTGAAATCATTACTGGAATGTCTTCGACAGCATAAATCATGTTGGGAACGTGTCTTGGCGACATGTCATTCCTCAACTTGGCTTTCAGCTTATTAATCAATTCATTTGTCAGCGAATGACCTTTGGCCATCTTGACGAACAAAAGCACCTGCTCATCACAACCTTCCTCACTGAAAAAATATATCTTATTAGTTAATTGAAAATTGTAATGTACACTATGCGGCCGGCTACAATGCAATCTTCAATTTCAGGGAATTTTTCGACTATCGAATAAATTTCTGCGGTTCCAATGCGAACTCCTCCACGATTCAAGGTGGCATCACTTCTAAACAATTTTTTAATTGCGACAGCTCCGATGAATCGCTTCACCTTCCGAGCATTTCAACTCCTCCAGTTTTATGATTAATTTGCACATAATCACCGTGAGCCCAATATGGCTCCAACCTTGCAAAATATGCATCTCTGTACTTTGTACCATCAGTGTCATTCAAGAAATGTGACGGCATCGATGGGAATGGCACCACGCATACAAGTTCGCCTTGCTCATCAGAGCTCGTGATTTCCTCATCTTTAAATATGTGATCACTATAGTAATCAATTGAATCATCATAAATTACCCATGTCGTTGAACGAGCGAATATCCATTCCGAGAAATTTGCATTGGCACTCGCCTGGTACGACCGGAAGTGAGCGAACGCCGCCGACGAAACATCCGATGATATCGGTGCCGCCGGAAATTGAGGCAATCAACGCCTGAAAACATACGCATGAGAATTGGCGCAACAAACAAATATCGCATACCCCGGGAGCAATAAATGTGTTAATATAAGCAAAGCAATCCTTCTTTAATGGAGATCCGGTGGAGTAAACTATCTCAAGAGAAAGATCATATTGGTTTTCTAAAAATGAAAATTACAGGGAATAAAAAAAAATAGGAAAGCTTACTGAAATCAATTTTCAATCGGAGATACTCATCATATAGTTTTGCTCCCATTCCTATCATGGTACATTTGGTTTTGGCAGCAATCTAGACATCGAATTTTTGATTTGCTTGAAATAAAACTGTCTTTGTTACCTTCATGAGAATATGTGGATCTGGAATGAACGGGCACTCGTCGAAAAGCACAATACTTCCTTTACAATACAGAAATGAGATCATCCTGATAAACAATAAAACAACTTTTTGAGATTATTCATAATTCTTTACCAGTTGTACATCATCCAACCACATGTTGTGTAGAAAAACATTCGGTCCGTCTTCTTGGCATCACCTTGAACCAAATGCTCTTCAATATGCTTCAACAAAGTTCCCTAAAATAAGTAAGTGCTTCTGAACAATCAGAGATGCTACTAACTCCAACAGTGTGGACCATTGCTTTCGGGATGCCAGTTGTTCCGGAGCTAAACATAACGAATAAGGGATCCGAAAATGGAATCTGAAAGACGAAATTGAATTGTAATTTATTCCCATTCAAAAATGAAATACCGGAGTGTACACAAATGGAAGAATCACATCAGTGAGTGGGGCTTTGAACTCATCTAGTGTAATATATTTATCAGAATTTCCATAATCCGCTTTGTTAAATTTGATATCTGTGAGAGAATCCGAAATAATGACTTTCTCAAGTGTAGGAAGCTCTGAAATCCAAAGGAAACTTCAATTACTATTATTTTTCTCGGTGGGGCATACCTTTGACAATTTCCAAAATTTTTTGAGTCTGACTATGCACTATCGTTTTATAAGTAATATTGTTAACGGTGAACAGAATTTTTGGTTTGACTTGTCTGAAACGATCAAGAACTCCAGCTGGTCCGAAATCAACAGAAGCTGAGCACCAGGCGGCACCAACGGCGGCTGTAGCAAACACTGCCACCAAGGTTTCATAAGTATTTGGGACAAATCCACAAACAGTGTCTCCAGGGCCGATGCCAAAATTTCTAAGGGAAGTAGCAATTCGATAAACGTCCTTTCGCAAGTCATCGTATGTGTATTCCTTAAGAGATTCGTCGATTTCTGGAAATGTTATGACTCGACAATGGGTTCAAATAATTCGATATTTTATGAATAATGAACTATATATGTATATGCTTGGATTAAATTCATTTTCTAAAAATCATACTTGCATTAATGACGGCAATATCGGTGGCATTTCCTCGCTCAATCACGTTTTCCGTATAATTCAACGTGGCCCCCTCGAACCATTTCGGTTTTTGGTTAATCATCAAGTTTCTATCGACCACCTTAATAGGATTCAATGATTTCTCGCTGCTTTAGAACATCGCTACTTTTTTGTATTGTTGATGAAGTTTGACGTTGGTGGTTTTGAGAAGCTCCTCCCAGAAAATGTCATAATTCTCACAGCTAAACTTATGGAAGTCCTGGTAGGTTTCTGAAGGTGATATTTTTGAATCAAATGCATTGAATGTCTATATTACCAAATTGGGTATTGTACTTTTCCGCGAAAATCTTTCTCAATTTGAGTTCAAACGTTTCCAAATTGGCGGGAGGTTTGTAGTAAACCGGTTGTGGTTCAGCGCTCGCCCCATTTTCGTGACATTTACCATTGCCATTCTTCATCTGACCATTCGATTCATTCGACACCATGTCTGCAAAAGCAAAACATTTAGACGTTTATTAGTGTTTCAAACAAGAGATTCAGTTGTCGAAGAAGAATTGACAATAATGCGAGATGAGACTCGCCGATATTTGAAAAGATAACGCGAGACGGTATAGAAGAATGCGAACGAGAAGGTTGCGTGCTGACGAGATGATATATTTTCACAGACATTACAGCGAACGAGACTCTACGCAAAAAAAAACGTCGAGACATCATTTTAATTCGAGTTTTTTTTCACGCAGTTATCAAAGCGACACTTAAAAGTCGCTTATCATAATTGAGACTGTGTGTTAATGTCTCTATGGGGTGATTCGAGAATCACCAGATATTTTTGTTATACAATTTCACATATCATAAACCAAACAACACGCCTTTATCAAGCAAAACCTAAACAGTCGACAAAGTTTGGGAAAGATTGGGCAGAAATCGGGAATAGATATCGAAATTGATTCATCGGTGTGAAGACGATGGTGACAAAAATTTATTGCTGATATTGAAGGTATTTTAATTGAAAACGCGAACAACATTTTATGGATTTAATTGGAGAGTTACACGTTGGACAAACAAATATCAGATCATAGAAATTATAGTGGATATCAATTGCTTTTTTTCTCAGTAAATAATTTTTTCATGCTTATTCAAAATCTTTGAGCACTCGCATAGCTAAGAATTAATTGCATAGTTAATGATTCTAAAGTCATTGGTATGTATTTTGATAAATAAGATTGGTTGTCAGGGATTTTTTTTCAGTTGTATGCAAATTGATCTTATTTTTGAATTATGACCAACTGCAAATGAGTGGCTTCCACGCAAAAATTTTTAAAGCCTAGTTTCATATCTGACAAAAAGTATAATTTATGTAGTATTCAAATTGCAGTAGAAATTTTTTGTATCAAATTTCATATATAGAAAATAATAATATAACTTTATACTGCTGATTTTCTCAAAATGAACAAACGATTTTCTCAAATTTCATTATAAAATTGGTAATTTTATCTTTACATTTGCATTCCTATTTTGTTGCGAACGAAAATCCCAATTGAAAAAAGCAAAAGAATTCCATATAAATTATCAATAAATGAGGAAACTGCGCAATACTAATTAATTCAATAATTGCCCTTCAATCGCAATATCCCTGTCAATGAGAAGACAAATTTCGGGAATTGATTCTGGACTACTACACTCGCCGCTCAAATAACACAATTTATTTGGGCAATTCGTTAGCAAAATTGCATTTTCTTTTTGTGAAGTGGAAGAAAGACGCGTTTTTATCCAGCGGATTTTTTGGAAAGACGAATAATATTGAGTCGGCAATGGTGCACAAATTTATTAAATATTCAGAAAAAAAATTTTTGTCAATGTCATTGGCTAATGAAAAATAAAAAAAAATGGTATTTTTGTAATTACACTTGATTAGAAAAAGATTAAAAGTAACAATTCATTGTTCGATTGTTACCTAGGACTTCTAAAAAAATATTATGACTTGTTAATGGAGGCAAAAACTATATAAATATTCAGATAATAAAAAAAATCTGGTTTTTTAACACAATGTTTTATTTTATATATGATGGTACAAGTAGAATAATTGGAAAAAATGAGATTATTCACATAAATTTAAAAATACACAATATCTAAAATGTATATTTCTAAAAAATTACATTTTTTACACAATTGGTTATTACTAATGAAATATTTTAACATTCTGATCCTTTGCGAGATAGTTAAAAACGATATTGTATAAAATTTAATTTAATTTGTGACTTTTAAAGATAAATAAAATAAAAGAGATTTGAGAATTTCGTCAATGCTATTACAATATGTTTGATAGCCTTAATCCGATTAAAAAAGATTTACCTGTCTTTTTTTTATGTGAAGCAGGTCTCATTGAGCCTACATGTGGTATACCTTTGTTGGTGGGTTCATATGGTTCCAACAAAAAATTACCTTGCTAATTTAGTCTAAGAACTTGATTCGAAGATGTTCAGCGATTTGAGGCTGGTGACCCGAAGGAGAAAAAATATCTGGAAAAAATTGAAAATAAACAAGAAATATTGTGAAGACTATCGACACTAAATAAATGAGAATTAAAAAAAATTATTTCCTATTTTTCAAATGTTTTTCGAATGACATGATTTATTCTTTGGTTTGAACAGTTAAAAAATCAAACCTCATCAAAAATAAATATACTATTTCTAAATAGTATAGATAATTTTAAGCTACTAGCGAATAAAATTGTATTAATCCAATTACATACGTTAAATTTAAAGCAACTAAGAATTTTTAGACGTTCTATCTTAGAAACCTTTCAAAATAATCGACGTGAATTTTTCTCTTACACTTTAAATAGACAATTATCCTAGAAAATGAGGAAAAAATGCATGAAATAATAAAAATAATTCAAAAAAATTTACGTAATCGCACAGTTTAAACTAGTGAAAGCGAGGAAAACGCGCTCTGTCGCACGCGTCTCGACTGGATTTCCTGTTCGTCTCTCTCTAACCGTCAAGGCCGCACTGAGCGAACCCACGTTGTCTCTCGTGCCCATGATTAAGTGAATTCAACAGAGTTATTAGCGACGATCAGAGATTGAAAATGGAACTGAAACTCTTGATACAATGATAAATTGACTGAAATGAGCTTGGAAACTAGAAATATGTTACAAAAATAATATAATTTCTTGTAAAAATTTGATCACGTCCTAATTTTTAATCATACATAAATAGCTATGTGTAACAATTTTCGAAACTTTCACAAACAACTTTTGAATGCTTTTTAAGCGTATAGCAATTTAGCGGAACTCATTTGAATTAAGTGTTCTATCATTTCGTGATAATCGTCCATTGGGGAGGTTCCACATTTCGCCTACCCCGCACATCTGTTCACTCCGCTTTCCTCCTTATGTATGCCGCAAACACAAACGCTGACGTGTGGTTCCATGGTGTAGCGGTTAGCACTCAGGACTTTGAATCCTGCGACCCGAGTTCAAATCTCGGTGGAACCTATCGTTTTTGCTTGGATTCAAAAAAGATCTGAGTTGAGATATTGAATTTTTTGTTTCTGGTCCAAACAAAACCAAAATTATCGTTTATTTCAATTATATACAATTTTCCACTCTTCAAGGAATATACATTTAACTACCGAGTCCCTGTAGACATATTCATGCAATAAAATTATTAAAAATGACACTTATCCAATGCAGAGTTGTAAAAAATTCATATTTAATGTAATTGCATGATCAGGTCAATTATGGTTATACCATGTTCCCCGCTTGGAATATCACTTCTTCTAGTATTGTTTTTATTTGCGAAAGAAAAAAAACCGAAAACAATGTAAAGCACCGTGCAGTAAGATATATCGAAAAAAATTAAAAATTAAAAAAATCGCATTTTTGAAAATACGCAAAAAATGCCCAAATCACAAAATTTGCGTCTATAGTATCCCAAAATAAATAAATTATGTTTGGGAACACACTATCCGTTTTGTCCAAAAATTTCAGATCGATTGGTCAACTTTTCAGAAAATTATGATAAAAAAAAGTGAAATTGTATATAAATTACTACACGATACTGTATATTTTAACATCATATTATCCCATAAGGATAAAAAAAACTAAACGATGGCGTCGGCTTATATTGAGTGATAAATTCGCTCAATCTCAGGCAAATCAAATAAAATATTTTGAGTGTCAAATATTCAATAATAAACTCTAAAATATTTTGAGAAATTCTAAAGTTTATTGATACTTTCTAAAACTTATCGAGAATCGCTAAACTTAAAAATACTTTTTAAAATCTAATAAGATTTTCTAAAATTTATTGAGCAAATTCTAAACTATCTCAATAAATTCTAAAATCTTTGAATAATTTCTAAAGTTCATTGAGAAAAATCTAAAATATTATAGTTTCTCAAAGGATCTCAAAATATTCTTTTTTCCATTTACATGAGATTTTTTGTCATGTTCTACTATTTGTAGGGGCACATGAGCAGACAGATGGGGAATTTCCTGATTTAATCTTTGTCCATTTTATTTACATCATTGCCATTATTTGCCATATCTAAATGTTTAGAGTACGGTTTTCTCGTGATTTCTAATTGATAAACTGTACCCTGTTAATATTTATATATAAGTGAACATTGTGAACCCATAATTGTCTCATCTTTTGTTGACTAGAACGCAAAACCATGAACTACACTTCGTTGCTAGCTGTTCTCGTGTTTGCTGCTCTTTACACAAGAGTTCAAGCGGATTTTATGGAGTGTCAAATGTGTGAATTGACAGTGAAAGTTGCGGCTCCAATGCTCGGACAGGACACCGCCAATATTGAGAAGGTACTGACAATGAGCTATAAGTCATGTACAACATTTTACCTCATTTTAGGCAGTTGATGATGAATGCAAAAAAGAATTCCACAAGATCCCATTTGCATCACAGGAATGTAGGAATTTCATCAATGCCAAACTTGACCCAATCATTCACGAGCTCGAAAGCGGAACTGCTCCAAAGGATGTCTGCAGAAAACTTGGAATGTGCTAAATAATTGTATTCAGACATTTGATCCCTCATAAATGTTTTTTCATTGGTGTATCTTAAGATCATTCTCAAAAAAAAAAACAAAACTTTTTTTGCTAAAACAATTTTGTTTTTTTTTAATTTGCGGTTATACAAGTTTGTATCATTGAGCTTATAGCTTTCATAAGGAGTAAAACTAATTAGTAAATGGGTATGAATTTCGCTATAATGTTAGAGTGTCTAACTAACGTTAATTATTTGCAATTGTATCGGTTGTCGGCGTCATGCGATTCCGAAAAATTGGTTAAATGCGAAACAACTATCATATATGTTTTGGTGCAACACTGAAAGTGTATAATTTCAAGCTAAACATAAGATTAAATTAAAGAATCTTTCTAAATATTCACGCATTTAGCTAAATTTTCTTTGTCGCGCGACAGTCTGCACCAATTTCAACCTATGCTCAATATTTATTTAATGTCTGTATAGAAAATCCTCAACTCATCAAATCGATTGAAATCTTGCAGAGTGAAACTTTTTCTTCGCAATCATTTTTGACGAGCTTTGACTTTTCGCTTTAATCTAATCAGTCATCAAACGCCTGAAAAGAAGAGGAATCACTAAAAATTTTTTGTGATCTTTTATCGAATATTCCACGAGGCTGATAAGAAAGGTTTCTGATAACAATTTTCATTTAATTCGCCCCAACAACTTCCAATTTGGAGTCACTTTCATTTCAGAACCATGAACTACAAGTTGTTGCTCGCTGTCGTCGCCTTTGCTGCTCTTTTCAGCACTGCTGAAGCCGACTTCTTGGAGTGCCAGATGTGCCAGATGAGCGTCAAAGTTGTCGTCCCAATGCTTGGACAGGACACCAAGAACATCGAACAGGTAAAGAGGCAGATTTCAAGCCAACGGCACTCAGTGAATATTATAGGCTGTTGATGAGGAATGTAAGAAGGAGTTCCACAAGATTCCTTTCGCCACCCAGGAATGCAAGAACTTTGTCAACACCAAACTTGATCCCATCATTCACGAGCTCGAGAACGGAACCGCACCAAAGGACGTGTGCACCAAGCTCAACATGTGCTAAATTTTCATAAATAAATATTTTGTATCGGAGTTGCAATTAAATGAACTATATTTGATTTCTTCGGAAAGTCTATGGCACTCGTTCTCCTTATTTGGAGAAACCAATTAAATTTAAAGCGACTCTGCCTTGTATATGAATTAGACATAATTTGTTACGTTATCTTCAACTTAAAAAATGAGTATTTTCATTAACTTTTTGAAAATATCACTTTGTTGTAAAATTAAATTGATCAAAGAATATGTGTTTTTAGTGTATAACAATGTGTCATGAAAACCAGGAAGAACATAGTCGGTCTCATTAAAATTTTAACTCGGGTCACATGATTCAAAGTCATGAGCGCGTTACTGTTGAATCACGGAACGTCATTGTTGCAAATATCTGTGCGCTACATATAAGGAGAAACCCGAACGATTTTCACATATACACCTAATAAAAACGATTTTTCTATGAACCTCTATAAATTTTTTAAGATAACATATCTATTGTGAAATTTTCACAAAATTCTTGTGCTCTCGGGACATATTTATGTGCAATATCAGACCATAGAAAAATTTTGCGAAAGTGCCATAGAACGAAATATTTCTATAGGGTCCAACAGAAAGTATTTGGCCGACGTCATAAAATAGTTTTGATATTATCCTTATGGTATAATAAAATGTTACAAGGTGCATAACAGCCGGACTCATTTATTTTGCGGACATCAATAAACCCAATATTAGCGACATTGCGATCTCATGAGGAAAAGATGTAAGGTCTTGGTAGCGCAATAATATTGTTGGAGGTTCGCAGCATCAATTTTATTAAAGACTTGTACCGCTTTCATAATATACCGCATTTTCCATTTCTTGAAAACAGAAAACAATTGTGATTGGTGTAAACATTTAAAATTACATATTTTAAGCAAAACATTTATTTTACTTGTTTTTTTTTTCAATTAGCAAAGCTCCAAAGAATGGTATGATCTCACAACATATAGCCGTAAAGTGTTCGCATTCTGGCTCTTTTAAAACCTACCCACCTCTTTTGTATAATGCAGATCTGCCTGTCGCGTCAATAAACAAGCAGACACTCTGTTAAACGTTTCCTTGAGAAAAAGAATCAAGACAAAGAGCTACGTGAAAATTTATTTGAAAAAAATAGTAAAAGCTTATTTAGCACATGCTAAGCTTCTTGCAGACGTCTTTTGGAGCAGTTCCTCCCTCGAGCTCCTGAAAGTATTAATTGATCATCTTAAAGCTAGGAGATATACGATTTACCTTGATGATGGGATCGAGCTTAGAGTTGACAAAGTTCTTGCATTCCTGGGAAGCGAATGGAATCTTGTGGAATTCTTTCTTACACTCGTCATCAACAGCCTATATTATGCCATATTATTAGTTAACTATTTGCCTACAAATACCTTCTCGATGTTTTCAGTGTCTTGTCCGAGCATTGGCACGACGACTCTAACGCTCATCTCGCACATCTCGCATTCCAAGAAATTAGCCTCGGAAGCGCTGAAGAGTGCCGCGAAGGCGACGACGGCAAGAAGCAACTTGAAATTCATGATTCTGAAATTAAAACAAAATTGATGCCAAGATGGTTTAGAACCATGTGTAAAAATTGAGTGCAATATTATCAATGGGCTCTCTTATCAAACCTCGTGAAACGTTGCCGGTACTCACGTATCATTTACAAAAAATATTTATCAGCAAAAATCATGGCAGTCGACATGATGAAACTGTTGAAAACCAAAAACCATTTAAGTTTGAAAAAATATCTCGGATCACTATGTAATTGTTAACACCAACAATGTGATCTCTGACTTAATGTAATTACTAGTCACGAACATGAGTAGACCTAGTGAACACTTTGACAAATTTGGTTCATTAGGATCTCGAAAATGAACCAGAAAATTGTAGCTGAAAACGATATAATCCAATTCTGAAATAAAGAAATTCAGCAACTAATATTTTTTGAGGTGCTCATTTTGTATCGATGCTCACACTTATGTGCTAACATGATAGTGTTATTTCCGCAAGAGATCTTATTGAAAAATTGTTTGTTGCGTGAACCTCCGAGTCCGAGTCCCACGATTTGTATCTGTTGCTCTGAGTGCCGTTTGCAATCTGTTATGCACAATTGTATGACGGTAACTGTTGCCGACTTGTGATCCTCAACAGAAACTAGGTCACGTATTAGCGTCATTGACGCACTCAATCTGCGAGGGCTCACAGATGCCTCAAATGCGCAACACATGAGGAATGGCACCACACCGGCGTGGACTCATTCAACCAATATTGTTGTTACCGGATAGCAAACATGAGAATATTGCCAATATTGTTATCTATAAGAAAGGATACGATCTATGAGAGCAACTACACGGAGTGATGATCTCAATGATGAAGCTTCATTCTACATTATCTGTATTAAACAGACCCAAGCTTGTTACTATTTTTTAAGAGAAACCATAATTTTTCAGGGTTTTACGACCGACGCTGTTTCTGTACACATTGCCTAAATGGTTTTTCCTAAAGGGATACCTCATAGCTAATCCATTATATTGCCTATTCAAATAATATATGGTCGTTTTTCCCAAAGGCAACCAGACCTCTTGCAACTCACCGAATTTGGTGAGGCGATTTATTGCCAATAAAGGGAATATTGAGTACCATTAGGCTCTTGCGGGACAAAAATTCAGATTGGGGCATACAAGGTGCGAAAGGGAGATATTAGTGTTCTTGCAACAAATGTTATCAAAAATTTCAATGCGAGTGTACATCCGCAAATTCCTTTCAGAGTAATATATTAAATTCATCAATTCGATTGTTTAATCTATAGCTAAATCACCTGAGAATTACCAGATATTCATTTTTCATCTCAGGGCTTTCATTCTAAAATCACTGTCCATATAATTAAAGATCAAAATTTCCCAATTATTATCAAGAAAAAAAGCGAAAATCGATTATTCCTAACTATTTTGTTTATATGATCCATTTATCGCATTGTATTCTTGCGAACAGGAGCGCTCGAAGAGTTAATTGAGTTGTTGCGGCGTCCTCCTGACGCCCTCAACTCACGCGAGTTGACGTGATCTGTGTCTCTTCTCACGTACTGTACTATTGGTGAGGTATGGTGGGGCCCTGTTGTCACTCTCGACCGCCTCCACCATTCATTGGTTGATTAACTGGATCAGAGGTGTTTTGCGCACCCCAACCCACGCCTCTGAGCAACACCTAATGTCACTCATTCATTGTTGGTGCGACGAGTTCGAACCGACAACTCTACCCTAAATGGCTCTCGCTGAACTATTTCTTGCTTTTTTCTAATTTGTTATGCTTTTGATCTATATATGTTACTTTACTATATGAGTAATATTGCCTATTTTATTTGCAACTTTTTTTCCAACGTGTCAAACTTTTAAATCTTCAACCAATCGGCTATTTTCTAGGGAACAGTAGCTAAGGAACTCCAGAGGATTAACATAAGCTTAAATTACCTGCATTTACATGATTAGTTTATATTGATTTTTACCGTGGCCGCGAGGCCGAATAATTTTGCTAGGCCACGCGGTGGCAGCACGCGCGTCACCCGCGTGTCACCAGCGTTTTCGAATCGAGTCTCGATATTCATTGAAATTTGAAATATTTTCATTTTTAGTTCGAATTTCTTAATGAGAAATTAAAAATGAGTGACTAAGATATTTTAAAAATAAATGCGTTTCTTATAACTGCTAGAACTCGTGACAGTTTGCTGAAGGAGTATCTTCGCACTTGGTTCTTTCGCAGCTTAGACGCATCGGGTTTTCTGAAATATCTCGACCATTCAAAACAGCAACTCTATTTTACTATTTTCAGCAAATGGATGGTGAAGTTCAAGCTGTGGTAATTGACAATTTAAGGTAATGAATCAACTGAGTTCGAGACAATATAATTTCTTCGTTACAGTCGGGTCGAGGAGATGAAGCCCAAATTGGCAGCGCTTCATTCAAATTCAAATGCATTTGAATGCCATTTGGCTTCGGTCGGCCACCACTTCAATATTCTCCATGCTATGTATAATGTAAATTTTCAGCTCTAATCAAAATACAGAGAATGGTTAAATAATTTCAGGCTACCACAAGAAAATGTATTATGGCCGGTGCAATTGAAATTAAGGATGTTGGAGAAACTGAGCTTTTCGAGTTTTTGGAAGAAAACCCAATAGTTCGTCAAACCTACAGACACTGCGCTTGTATTGCTCAGAAGATAATTTACGAAATCTTGAATTTTGAAAGCAAATTTCGAGTGTTTATTGTTGATCCGGTAAGAATTTTCTATAAACGATTTGAAAACAACTTTGTTTTCAAAGAGACTCCCAATTAACAGCAATTTTTCTTACAGCAATATGACGGTGCCGAAATCAATAAATTGTCAATCATCATTCTCTGCTTAAACTTTGTTAATACATGCTACTCTCACATTTATGGTATTGAAAAAAATGTATAATTCGTTGGAAAATGTTGGTTTGCAGGTGAACCTCTCTTTACTGGCGACAATATTCGAGAAAAAATAATGGGATTGGGATATAACATCGCATCGTCCGAACTTTCGACTCTTGTTTTTGGATCTAAAAGAGGGAAAATCTATCTGTCAAAATCCATAAACCCTCCAATTCCAATAAATTCTCAAATGATTACCGAATTCGCAAACGGCCGTCTGATAACGGAAATGTGGAAAATCGTAGAAGTCGACTTTTTTCATAGAGAAAATGAGGAGAAGATTGAGTAAACCTTAACAAAAAACGAAGCACATCCTAATTACACAATTTTTAAGATTACGTGATGCTGGGTCATTTATAGAGGGCGCTCTTCAGTTCAATACAGCAAATGAAGAAGAGAAAATAAATTTAGGAAGATTTATCACAGAACACTCCTCGCGATCGTATGTTGTTTTTAGAAGTATTCAGTCAAATATGCGTTTTTAAGGATTTGCAATGCGATGGGGTTCAGAATGCAGCTATTCATTGAGGTTTTAGTGTTGTCACACCCACAAATTTTTGGTGGTTTTGTAAGCTCAAAAGGCGTTGTCCTATTTCACAGCTTGAAAAGAGAGGTGCTAACAAATTTGGTTCAGGTAGGTTATCACTGTTTTTTTAAATGAACGGCTTACAAAATTTATATTCTTACCAGTTTCGATTTTGAATACACTTTTATAAAATTTCTTTTAGGCTGCTGTTTGTCCGGACACAATCGATCATTGCATATTTACCGAAATTAGAAGCCAAATGTCGGGGCATTTATGCATTTCATGGAAAAGTAAAGGATTCAAATCTTGCAAGTGTCAAAAATGCATGGATATGACAAAATGGCCGACGACTACAATGAACACAAACGAATACTCTCAATATTGTACGATTCATTCCACAAAATAACAACAAGCGCAGCTACAATTTCATTATTTTTCATATTTTGTACATTGTTTTTATTTTTTCAATCATCAACCATTTGCTTTAAAACTTCGATTCTCTGGCCCAGTTTTGTTCAATGGGATTACTGTTTTTTTGCTTTTTTGTTTAATTATTAACCAATATTCTCGATTCGCTTACGGCGTCATATTGTCTTCTTCATCCAGTTTATTTTGCATCGAATTTTGATTGTGTTATACGAATTTTAGTGATTGTCATCTACACATTCAAAAAAAGTTTCCCACTGCATTAAAGCAGTGTCATCTTTAACTGTTTAGCGGCTTGGTCATCTGAAACCCAATTAATGTAATGTTCTTTAACCGTAATTAGTGTCGTTTAAACTTTGCATTAATACCCGCTCTGTTTTTTTTTACCTTTTCTCTCCCCAATTTTTCCTATACATTTTCAAGATATGTTTTCAAAATTACAAAAAATCGAGAAAACTCGAAAAAATTTAAAAATTCCAGCATATTATTTTTATCCGTAAAATCCATCGATATTTCTACCCATTGTTATATTCATTATATATATAGTAATCCTCATACACTGCATCTCCTGAAACGGTAATGCGTTGGCCCTTCTGTCCTTGAGCATTTTTACTGTACCAATTTCCATTCGTATCTCACCAATTTATTCTAAGGCAGTTACTCTATTACCATTATTCATTTTCAGTATTATTATATTGCATCCTGGCAATAATGGTTTTTTTCAAATGTTTTTTAAAAAATTGTTCATGCTACTTGGAATCAATAAATATATTACTGGAAAATCTTCAAATATTAATTGCCCAGCTCGTCTGAGCATGCTCTCTCGCCATTATTGATTCGAGCCCCTCTTTCTCTAAAACGACAGAGAACGAGTGGAAAAAGGTGGTCGGCCGAGGTAATTTCTAGGCCACGCTAAGTTAATTACTAAATAACCATACCTTCATTTATTTTGGAATAATTTAAATATTTCTGAAGAAGCGACAGAGGAAGCAAAAATGAAAATAATATTTTGCGAACACCATTGAGAGAATTCTGAAAGTCCAATTAAAAATATTTTCAGCCCACCCAACAAAATTAAACAAAAAGTATCTGCATAAACTCTAAGAAATATTTTTAAGAGACTTAGTTTTTAAAGTCCCTAGACAATTAAATGTTCTATTAATCATAAAAGACGACTTATCGCACCCTATCTTTTTTCACATTTTTACTGATAATCAACTTCAGACTGATAAAACTTCTTGACCATATATCGCCTTTCGATTTTTCAATTTCCGATAAGCCTGGTCGTACTATTCGCTATTAAGTTCGGCCATTTGATGAAATAAAATCATTTATTCAGAAATTGCTACAAAATATGAAACAATTCGGAAACTAGCACTCCTTAAGCTTCTTGCAGACGTCTTGCGGAGCGGTTCCTCCTTCGAGCTCCTGAAAATATAAATTGATAATTTTAAAGCAGGCTGGTATATGATTTACCTTGATGATTGGGTCGATCTTGCTGTTGGCGTAGTTCTCGCAGGCGTGGTCAGCGAATGGAATCTTGCCGAACTCCTTCTTGCAAGCGGCATCGAATTTCTGTAAAACGCATCCATGCGGAGGTCAAATGAAGAAAATAGACTCTTACTTTCTCAACAGCCTTGGCATCTCTGTCGGCTGGATTCTCAGCGGCCTTAACGGCGATCTCGCACATCAAGCATCCCATGGCATTGTCTTGCTGACGTGGCAAAACGATGCACGAAGCGAGGGCGACGAGAGCGAAAATGCACAAAAGGGTTCTCATTCTATAACAGGATGGCTATAGATTTCGAAACAATCGAAAATGATCTTATCAGCGTCTTCAAAGGTTTTTATAGAGAGTAAAACAGGAAAATGTGAAGCCACCTTGTGTTATCACAATTGTTGACATTGTTGAAGATCACACGTAAATGTGCATCTCTCTATCAAATTGTCGACGTTTAACCGGAAAATGGAATTTTTGAAATTTTCATGAATGCTCTGGGTGTGGCTTACAAAAGAGTAGCATCGAAATTTAATTATTTTTCAGTGCTATTGCTGATATTTTTTGCAGATTTCGAAATTTTCTCTATTGAGCAGCCTATCACTCTTATACTGAAATACAAATTACGGTCTTAAAAAATGACTGAGAATAGTAAAGAAGTTGTTCTCGAGTAAGTCATTAATATAAATATGAAATTATTGTTGTTGAGAAGTTGAGATCCTTCCTGGAATCCCTGATCTTAACTGAACCAATAAGGTGAAAATTTTGCTGAAATTTTTGCGAGTTTCTCTTCTCGCTACTGAACCTTTCATTATTCATTGAAGTTCCAATATTTTAACATTCCAGCTTTTCAATTTTTTATAATTCTGTTTACTTTTCGATGTACATTAATATAGTTTACTGTAAAATTTATTCATTCATTAAAATTCATAGTTGAAATTGTTGTAAAACAAATGGAGACATAGTAACAATTGGTGTGTGGGAGACGAGACCCGAAAAATGACGGGAACAGAGATGAATGATTTCAGAGGAAACAACAAGACTCAATGTATAATACAGTTTATAACAAAAGGTTTGATTATATGACATTTGGAAACAATATGATTAGTATAATCAGCACCGAACATTTTGGGAGGAGAGGAGGAAGAAGAAAGGAAATACTGAAAAATGGCATTCATGAAGTAACAAATCGAGAACTTTTTTCATTTTTATGGAATAGGTAGCATCATCGGGTTGTCAGTATGATATCTGAAAATGGTACGGCTAAAAGAGTTGTAAGTTAATTGAAATTTGTAAATTTGAAATTTCGTGCAAAACGAACTCGAAATATATTCAAACAACAATTGATATGACACCTACCAAAAGCATTTTAGTGTGCTGCATGAAATCAAACAATGCTTGTGGCAAAGTCATTCGAATTAGAAGGACGATTAGTATCAGTGGACGTGTTGTTAAGCGATGAGCGAAGGCTAAAATCGGACGAGTTCTCACTTGCTCCATTTATTTTTACAGTGTGCCGAATCGACGTTGTTCCTGACGCCACCGTTGCCGATTTGATCGGATTCTTCTGAAGTGTGCGATCGGAAAACTCTTCACCAACCGATCCATAAAGATTCGACGAGTTGGAGCCATTGATTCGCGAGTAGATCGCATTTTTCTGCGGCGAACCAGGCGTCGGTGTATAATTGCTTCCATGACTGGTGATAGTGGATGTTGGTGTAAAGCATTGCTCATCATTTTGCGATGAGTTCGTTGTACCGGTTAGCGAGGACTGAAATGTACTGTTAGGAGAGTAATAGTGCGAAACGCTCATGCAACACAAACACACCAAATTGTTCGCCAAACCTTATTCTGCGATCCACTCCAAATGAGCTGATTTGGCTGACCAGGCGGAGCCCGCTGCTGCGAGTTTCCCCAGTGAACTGATTGATTCGAAGTGTTGATACCAGTCGTTCCATAGATTCCACTTCCCGATTTTCCTTCTGCGAAAGAAGTGAGTTTGATGGCCGATCGTTGATATGGCGACTGCTCTCTGCAAATTTGATCTGCTATTTGCCATAATAAAATTATTCCATACCTAGTATTCATTGTCTGTGGAGCTGCAGGCATCGACGATCTTTCCGAAAGCAGTGGTGATTGGCGAACCGAGTTGAGCACCTGCTGCTGTTGTGGAGTAATTTCACGGCGTTGTAGGGTTCCTTGTGTTCCGTATCCATTTATTCGAATTTGTCCATTTTGTGGGGTGACTTGGATACGAGACTTAACGTTTTAATAATTCTCTTGAAAACTAGAATACAAAATTACCTGTGGAACTCTCGCATAACCCCCATATGTGCCATTATCAATTCTGCCATACTGGTTCTCAGAATTGTTTTGAATTCCACTGTTTTCCTTTTGAATCGATGCATATTGATTCCAGGTCGGCGTTTGCTCGTGAATGATTGCCGATCGCTGAATTGTTCCGCTGTGGTTACGTTGAAGTGTTCCCATCGAATAATTGCCATATTGCTGATTTCTCTGAAACAATCCTTCTCCTTCAAACAATGAGACTTGTCAGAATTCTGACCTGAATTGTTCCAAACTTGTTTGACGGCGGGGATCCATTGTTACGGTTGATCAACTGCGAATTTTGTGATTGTCCATTTCCCGGGGTGCTTCGAACATTCTATAATATGCTTTAGCAATTGTGGTTCTATTTGTATATTACCGAGTGGTATGACATTGTTTGCACCGAGTCGTCATTGAGCATATGGAGTAGTCGTGCTGTTTCTGGGCTGTTCTGCACATCTCCAGCTTCCGCCAAATGTTTGGCTCGGAACTGAGGACTCATCTGATTGGGTTTATAGTAAGCATCCTCTTGCGGTACAAGACTCTCGAATTTTCCCGTGTGGATGGCACGAAGAAGAGATTGTTTAGCATTCTGATCGTCAGTGACATACATCTGAAACATCTCTAATAAAAGATTTTGAGATAAGCGCTCAGTTTACCGTATCCTTATGAATTAGAAGAATGGAATTTTTCAGTTGAGACGGGTTTTCATTTCCGCAAATTGTTCCAGTGGCCATGCCTTTCTGAAAATGTGGCAATTTCAAAATTTCCGCGAAAAAAAATTGCAAGCTACCTGAAGCCCATAAATCTGATTGGCTTTATGCGTAACTCGAAAGTCCCAATCCCTTTTCAATGTTAATCCCAGCCAAACAAATATCTGTGAGAATAGGAAGAGGACATCAACAATGATGGCAGTGAGAAGGAATGCTTTCTGTTCATGCTGATGGAGAATCAACATTGCATAGATCATGGGTCCAATTGAGGCAGAGATTAGAACAAGGAAAAAAATTGAATTGATATGTGGGAGATACCTAAATATATAAAAAAAGGAATGCAAACAAATAATTATTGAGAAATACCCGTCGCACGCCAACTTCTGCTTGTCACGAAGGTTTGCTCGTTTGCGATATTCTCCATAATCACTTTGTCCGGCAGAACTACGAGCAGCATTCCGATTAAGAACATTCCCAATATTTGCCTAAACAATTTGATTATAATTTGATCAAAATGAATAATGATTTTCTTACGTGATATTTGTTGTATCCGTACGCGTACACGGCAGTCACAGCCAAGGTGGATACTGCGAATCGCGCTAAAAATGATCCCAAGATCATCAAAGGATGATAGACAGGGAAGTTTAAAATTCTGATAGGTCCCAGGTATTGTCCTAGAAGAATGAGATTGAAAAAAAAAACATTTTAATGACAATAGTTCACCTAGTCCGACAGGTCTCATGCTGTGGATATTGGTTTCTTGAATTCTAAAAAGAACGGAAAAGCTCAAATATCCAAAAACAAGTTGCACAGAGTAAATCAGCATGTAGAAGCTGAAGATCACACTGAATGGCTTTGAGACTCTCCAGAAGACCGATGGGTAAGCGATTCCAAATGCGACAAGAGCCAATAGGAAGTTGAAAAACTCTAATGGAATTCCAAAGAGTTTGAGATGCATCAAAACTGAAGGAAAATAATCAATAAAAATTTAATACAAAAATTTGTACCAGGGAGGAGATTTGGGCTAACTGGAAGACCCGCAAGCTCATCAGCAGTAATTCTGAATCCTTGAAGTCTAGTCTCTCCAATTGGAAGGTTTGTTGCGAGTTGGCGAGCACGGTGGAATAAAAAATCCATTTCGGTATTCAAAAAATCGCCTGAAATCATATGCCAAATGTATTGTATTTGCATATTATTAATTAATTCTATTCAATGCATTAATCTCATATTCATCTCTACATGGGTGCACTCATACCGAACATGATCAATGTCAAGTGCGCATGAGTTAGCACTACCGGAACGATGGTAACTGTTTCATCGTTCACGCTCCGATTCATTTTTGATTTGATGTGTGTTGTACTTGCCTGAATTGACGAATCCATGGCGAAAAAGTTGCGAGAACAATAGTTGCTGAGCGACGAGTTGACTGATGGCGGTGAGGAGATGAAGGAATTGCGGAAGCGGTGGAAGGTGCTGCCATAGCACTTTCAGACGATGAACGCAGCCTGAAATTAGAGCTATGGAAAAATTGATTATTAATTTTAAGCTTATTTTCAATATTTCCATAGAAAATATGTTAAAAATGGCGTCTTACGATTTAAAAAAAATGTTTCGTATTGTTGGACAAAATAGAAGTAATTTTATAATTTAAAAAGAATGAAAATATTGTTTTTTACTCGCGTACATTTGCTACATTTACAACTTTTTTTTAGACGTTTGGTTTTACCGTATATTTCATTAATATAAAAAATTATACTTTTATAAATTAGTTTTCGAATTTAGGCTTTTATACATTTTTCCAGGCAAAATTTATAGCCCTCGTTTTATTTCCTATTCTCACATTGTACAATGAGAAGCCTCAATATATCAACGTCTAGCATTTCCGTTGGCTCTCAATCCAAAAATGTGCACACTTCTCACTTCCCCCCCCCTCCCCCAGAGGGGAAGAGAAAGAGATGTAGGCAGCTTCGATAATTACCGATTTTAATCTGTTCTTCTCACATTTCAACACATGTATCCCGCAGGGAAATAAACGCTGAGACCTCACGCTTCAACTCAAAATGAATATTGCGGAAAAAGAGAAGCGCATTTTCGGCGGCGGTCGGCGCTTCATAAGACGCGCCAAAAGGATTACATCTGCGATGAAATCGTTACAATAATGAAAAAAAAAACCGCGGGAGATTAAAGTGCCCAAACGTTTCTTAGCGGAGTTCAACTTTCCAATGTACTCGCCGAATTCAATGAATACTGATTAGGGTCAAAATTTGGATGAATTAATTTTTGTTTGTTCAACATCCGTCGTTCCCTCCGTCAGATGTTTGAAATCCCACGTTTTCACCCGGACCTCGAAAAATGACTGACCGCTTTTTTCGCCGTTTCGATTCCTCGATACTTCCATAATGCGCTCCTCGCGATTTGCCAATTGCTCATTATCGCCGGCGATGTTGCCCGATTTGAAGAAGCCGAACGCGAAAAACAATAGAGTCGCCGGAATGCAAGATGCGTAAACGATGATATAAACTTTGAGCCAGTTATGCGGATAGCCACCTGTTGGCCATTTAATCTCATTGTAAAGGCGATATCTAAAAAGGAATTAATTCCAATTTTCAAGGGATTCATTAAATGACTACCTTTCGAATCCGAGATAAAGGAGGTAAGCTTGTAGTAGAGTCACGATGACGGTGTACCAGATAGAAGAGAGTTGATTTAAGCGGGCGCGAAATGTGCAGCCCATTTTGAAATTGGGCTGGAGTTGACAGTTGATTGATCAATGTTATTCTTACTGTTGGGAGCAGTTGAATTGACGTTGAGGGAAAACTAGTCGGAGTCCACTTTCATACCCTAGAATGAACTTTTTGAAATAACACATATGGACAGTAATTGATCTATTTTAAAGCGAGTCGGGCATAAAATAGAATAGGAAAAAAAACATGTGAGGTGCAGGGAGGAGGGGCCGGCCGGAAACGTTGAGTCGAACTGTGAGGCTGCGCGATAGAGGGAAAACTCCGCCCCCTCACCCCACCTAATTTCGGCCACGTTGCCAGCTGCACACCACGTGCGGGCCCGAGAAAATGAGAATCCGAACAGAATGAATACGAAAAATTCAGCCTCAAGGCATATATTTTGAAACGAGGGGTGTTTCAGTGATGAATAGGCGAAGCGGAATTATCGAAATACACACTTTCATGCAAATTTCGCCGTTGTCTCGCGCTCGCCCTTTTTGTTGCACCGCTTCATTTTTGGACGAGCTCTATACCCACGACGTCCCCCTTGAGAGGGTGGGACACGAAACACATGAAGCCGAAAAGGCGACATCATATTAGTCATTCGTGTTAAAACATATTGACACTATGTCGCAACAGAGGCGCGAAGCAAAAAAAAATTATTCAAATATTTTGAGAATGGGTCGTATCGTCGTCACCGAAAAACAACATCATCGTATTTTTCGAAGGAGGATAAAAGAAGAAAGAAAATATCAAATATTAGTGAATCTGGAATAGAAGTGGTGCTGCACTTAAAGTTGGCGCAATGAAATATTTACCGATTCCGATGAATATTCTCCCGCATCATTATGAAATAAAATGAAATGATCAAGAAGGATTTGACGACGTGGAATTATTTTGCGGCAAATTGTATTATATCCACACTACAAATTTTAAGAATTTTGAATGGTCACGAGGGGGGGGGGCATTTTTGAAGAGCTCGAAAACTGCAGGTGTTTTCTTGAAATCGTTTCTGTTTCGACATTGCCAGATGTTCACAAAACACCTTCACAGTTTCTAAACACTTTTCGACAGAAAAAAAAGTTTTCTTTTCAACAAAATGGCAGCAGCTGCAATGCGCAGGTGCACGAATTCGATTTTTCAAAACTAGAATAAAGCTCGGAGCATTTCAACGAAGAAGGTCGTTCTATGAGAAGGGGAAGAGGAGGGGGGTCATTCTCAACAAATCCCAAACATTCATCAAAACTTTTGGCCGCGAAGGTTTCATAATCTCAATATGTGACCATAGCATATTTGGGAGTGCGGCGTTGAGACGACAATGTGACTCAACAATATTATGGGCGACTCGAGAAAGTGGCCCACCCATCACGATGAGCATATTAGCTCAAGTTGAGTTTGTCATGTTTTCTATTTAAGGAAGAATTCAATACGTATAGCGTGGGGGTGCAAATCACATAATAGACTGATGTACAATGTATGTACAAACCAAATAAGCTAGCGACAAAAAAAAATGAATAAAGGGATGAAACTGGTTGAAGCTATGTGATCTTGATGTTCCCTTTGATATCACAAAATTCTGAAAAGCAGAGCCTAGAATAAATAGGAAGGAACCAACAAGCACTTCAAAATGCTTGAAAATCTCAATTTCGATATTCAATACCGTGAGAAATTCGAATTAAAGCTCAAATCAAAGAAAAAAAAATGAAACTGAATAAGAAGAATTCAACGATCCTGAAAATGTTTCTGGAGCCTTTCAATGAATTATTCAGCGTTCTCACACTCAATATCAACAACGCCTTACTACGAGCGACAAGAAACAGATGAAGCACTCCGTCTAACTTGGTTATTTAGAAAAGAAAACATTTTTTGCTATTTCTTGCCGTGGCTAGTTTTCGAACAAAAATAGTGAAAGGGTATGGCACATGAAATTGAATTAGTTGAAATGAGAACGACGAAGAACGAAAATGAAGTCTCTCGAGTTTGTCTATCAAGGAAAAAAAAATAGTCGAACATCATTGATGCGAAGGGCAAATAGCCGAAAGAAGTCTTACAGTGCAACAATGGTAAATAAACAATGATGATATAAGAACGAAGTTTGAGGCCGGATATTGGTGAATTGGTGCAATCGAGTGTCGCACCCAGCGTCCGTCACCACACATCAATTGAGTTCCATCACACGAACCTGCGTGCCGGAGCAGCTGACCGCCGCCGCCCCGCCCGCCAATAATATAGAGATAGATTACGCAAAATGCGCGCGCCATTCGGAATCCGTGCAACAATTGGCGTCGCGACAAAGGTGTTTGCAACGTTGGGAGGAAAAAAAATGAAATAACAAAACCATGAGCCTCTCGTAAAAATCTCGCGTTTGATTAATTTATCGTTTTCACCGAATGACACATGTCAGTTGGCGGAGCTGGGGCGACAGTGGAAAGAAAAAAATAAAGAGAATGTGATAATATATAATATTTTATGTTGACACTCGCCCCATTCAAGTCTGAAAGAACAACAAAAACAAGAATTGAGTTTCGCGTAATTAGTCGTGAATTCGATACTACTGTATGCGTTTGGCAAAACGGAGGAGTGGTGAGATTTAATGGCTCCGCCACTCGATATTTGTTATTCAGTGGAAGCCTTCAACATCTGGTATCAACAATCGATTTACTCAAATCCTTTGATCCAAGCCCACATCAACACATGTACATTCTGGATTTAAAAAAAACTGAAGAAAGAGAAGATAGCAGCGGGAATATGTAGTACGTGGTGCATGTGAGACAATCACGAAACCCATTTCTTGAAATGGTATAGTTGGTTTTTTTTTAATGTAATGTGCTTGAAGAAAGTGGTGAAACGGGACTGCCTGGCAAGACAAGAGTGTGAACAGCCTTGGGAAGGTAATGAAGCCAATAAGACATAATGGCCCAAGAGGGAAAGTAGGGAAAAATGTAGAAAAAAGAGAGATGGGCTGGTGCATCGAAGGTTTAAATTAGGCCGACTGAGCAAACACGCGGGAAGAGCAATTACGCTGTAATAATGTTACACACAAGTTTTTTTGTTACTTAGGTTTATAAAGACCTACGCAAATTTAAATTTTCTATTAAATTCCTTGTTTTGGAAACATTTTTACTCAATTTTCTGCTGTCGGTTGCGCAATTCTGAAAATAATGTCTGCAGGTGAGAATCAGCGTAACTAGAAATTCAATAGAGTGAATAGCTTCAAATTTTATGCTTCATTATATGTATTAGGACGAATTGATCATTTATACACATTTATAGCGAATAAATATGATACAAGCATTAAAAGGATTAAAAAGAGAAAACAAGAAATTAGAAAAAGGATTTTTCTTTCAACTCGGAAAATTTTTGATGAAACGCTATTAAACAATACATTTATTACGGTTTCATTAATATTCTAAGCCTTTTTCGATTTCACGCTTGGTATTGAAATCTGAACCTGTTGGAACGCATAACCTCAACAATTCCATGAATCAGATAGATAGGCCGTTAAATTGGAAACACTTCAAAATCGTAATGAGGCGAATGGGAAAGAAGACGATGAAGGGGGGAGAAGAAAAAGAAAGCAAATTGAAATTCGAAAACAATTAATTGAATGAAAAATGGGAGAATCGCATTGGTTTTTCGATAAGGCTCATGAAGCACACTATTCTCATTGAATGGTAAAAAAAAAAGCAGTGAACGTCGGGCGTTTGCGATAATCCACAAGACATAATTATAAGTTAGAAGGGATGCTAATGATAAGGTTGGATGGTGGAAAACGAGCGTGAAAGCCTCATGAGTACATAAACTCGCCTGGTTTCTTGACGCGCAATCGGGGTAACAGATGGCGTCCGCCATCGTGCTCCTCCGCTCTCACTTATGGAGTGCAAATGAGATGTAAAATGTTGTTCGTGACGCGTTTTCCTATTGTCTTTTACCCACACCATGTCGAATTACGCATAAGTGGTACAAATGTGAAGCCGCTTTCAAGATGATGAGCACATGAATGGGGGGAGAACGGTGTCAACGAGTAAAGCAATAAATGTGCATCATTGGATTGCGCGATGAATTTTCCAGAACAAACATTTTGCTAAAGTTTTCTTGGAACTGATTACACGCCATTTTTTTAATGCCCTCATTCCAAAGAAAATATCAGAAATCAAAGCGGCAAGGCACAAACCAATAAAACGACATTCACGGAAAGGAAATAAAAGTTTTTTTTTGATTGGTGCCCAATTCGTGAGTTGTTTTCCATCTTTTAAAAGCGTGCATGCGACCGACGCGAAATGAACCCCCCTGCCCCTCTTAGCCTTTGTCACCCGTTCCGCACACACACACAATTGGGGCCACACCGGTCGAAAAAAATTGGGCGATCATGGTCGTAAATTGCGAGGCGAACACCCACGTTTAAAAAAAGGCGAGAATTGGATATGTTAGAGGAGGGGATGGTGGTGAAGGCCAAATAACGAGCACGTAATGAAATGAAATGAATAAATTAAAGAGGAGAACATGACAACGATGGTAATTGCCAATTATGGTGATTCATTGTTTTTTTTTTTCTTGTCGCCAATAGAGGTCCGAGAAAAAAACAATAAGCATGCATACGGAACTATTCCTTTTTTGGATTTTTTAACAAACGTTCTCAAATTTCAGTAGGCATATTTTTAGAGACATATACATTTAGTTGGAAGAAAAAAAACATGGAGAAGAACGAAGAGAAAAATTTTCTATGAAAAGAAAGAAAAAAAGGTGCATGGGAACAATTGAAATTGAAAAAATTACAATTATCAGAACCTTTGATGTTCTGGCATGCACCTATCAGTTTTTAAAAATATCAAAGAAGAACAAACACAACGACGAGATTGATTATGATCTACTCAGCAAATGGTTCCCTTTTGATCCACCGATGTTCAAATGTATAAAACAGAGCAATAAAATTGTATCCGTAAGATAGTAATATGCCGTACACGCCCTTATACAGCCATGACAGTCGTTCGGGCTCGTAAACCAGAAGGTATGACCTATTTGCAACAAATTTAGTGTTGTGAGATTCTTCTGGAAACAATAACTTGCAGTACTTAAAAAAAGAAAAATGCGGAATTTTACCTAAAAAACCTTGCTTTTTTTTAATTTTTAGTGCATATTAATTAAGTTAATAATCATAAAGGGGTTTCGTCGGGAATAAATTATTGTTAATTACTATAGATTACAATTCACTGAACGCAACGCAATGTGCGCTCCACCCAATTACACGCCGGCCGACAATAACCTTATTAAGTATTGGGAGCAATGAATAGTGCTCAAAATAGGGCCCGGTGAGCCAGCAGCGCGCAACGAAGATAATAAAGCGTCCCAAGAGAATACCGAGGTACTCGTAAAATTTTACTACAAATGCGCTTCATCGAACATTCCAAACTAATATTAGATGGGGCGTTTCTACTAACGAATTGAGGCGATTAGAAAAGACGAAGGCGAAAGAAAAAAAAAACCGCACAAAGTGGAAGGCGGAACAAGAGAAAGAAGTGAGAAGAACCTTTTTGGAAGCTGGTTGCAGTGGTGGAAAAGGAATTTGAAATTTGGCGAAAATGAGAGATCGCATTGGTTAGAAAAACACTTGAGAAAGTGCTAACGATGTCCAACTGTGCACTACGCGCTCGCCATTATTAAATTAATCTTGGATTATTTCATAAACACAACGTGAAGCCTCCACGAAAATTTGTTGCAAACACATGTTCACATTTTGATTTCGAATTACACCGTGAGATATCTTATTACAATTTTCGAAGTTGATTGCCATTAAAATGGCCGAGTGAGCAATGGTGACATTTGCCGCGTTCATTCAATTTTGTACTACATTGTTCAAGAGAATGTTTTAACTGGAAATTTGGTATCCGGAAAAATTCCGCCTATGATCTTAAATTGATCAGTAGCAGCATGAAACGCACAAATAATCTTTATAATGAAAAAAAAACAATCGCTAGTAATTTTCAAATTTCATAATATTAACGATCACATGCGACAACCCTGAGGTGTCCAATTTTCATGAATTAAATATTATAGGTTGGTGAGAAAGAAGAAAATTGAGTTGAATAATAGCATTTGATAGGTCTTTGGATGAATTGAAAAATGAGAAGATGTGTTTCTCAGCCTCCTCCTATTTTTTTTTGGAGTCAAAAGACAGAAGGCAACTGAGTGACGCGAGACGACAAGCTTTTGCAGTGGTCATTCTAGAGACTCGCTGGGTTGCATAATGTGCGGAATAAACGTATGAACACACATACACATGGATGCAGGACACACGTACACTTTATGCGAATGTCACATTGCAGGAGCACCTCACTCGAGGGCACTACAGCCTTCATTCAAGAGTGGTCGACTTTTACGGGCAGATTCAATCTGGTCCCACACTCACATACACACACACTGCCACAAATATATAACTATTATTATTTACATATGGACATATGAGTAAAATGTCTGGAAGTGTAGTGTTTCTCGCACTATGAGCAGACTAAATGCAAAGATGAAGTGAGATTATATTCTTAAACTCGTGACGTCTAGAATTCGAGATTATTTAGAAAGTGCACATCGAATTAAAACTGCTTTTTATTGAATTAACTCATTCTAACTGAATCTGAAATTTTCGAAATAATTGAATGCATATTATTGCTGATTGCTTAAAATAATCATATCTATGTATACAAACTAAAAAAATAATATGGTATTTTTTGTTTCAATAATAAAAAAGGTTTTATTCAGACCCTTCTGGCTCCAGTCGCCCAGCAACACGAGATGATGGCGGACCGCAATTGAAATTTATTGATGTCTCTCGATCCTTGATTGGTTTCGTACGCGGCTGTATTGGAGTAGTGCAAAATTTCGTGTTTTTATAAGCTATTATAATCTCCAAAATAAGTTATTGAATATTTTGTTTTCTTTAACATAATTCATAATTATGTAAAGAAGCTTCATTAACTTGAAAAGACCTAAAGCCATTTTTTCATTTTTTTTATACATGTAAAATTGAACCCCTCAGATTATTTTCTTTATAATATATAAAAATGCTTTATATAATATGTATATAAAACAATACATTCTAAATATCATACTTTATTGTAAATGTCTAAAAGTCTTCTTATCATGCCGTTTTCAATAGACAAAAAAAAATAAATCCTACTAGCTGGTCCTTGTATAATGACACCGGACATGCCGGTTTTTCATTATATTCCATTAGTATTCAGTTTAAAAAAATGTGACATCATCAATTGAAGAAATTATTGCTTTCCTATTTCAGAGATCTTCATTTAACGCTGTAAGAATTTTACCCAAATGTTTTTGGCAATTAGCTATTTTCCAGAGTAGCTCGAAGTCTACAATGATTTTTATGAAATTTTTTAAAGCCAACAGAATATTAATTTTTTCTTTATATAAAAAAAGAAGAAATCCGGTTAACATAATGTGACCGCTCGTATTTATGTTAGAATGTATGCCAACATAGCTGAGAGCTGAATTTTCAGCACACATGATCGCTTATAGCAGCACGATGAAAAGCGGATGAAAAAAGATCAATTGCAGATCAATTTTTAATACCCATTTGATCCATTGTTCATCTATTGTTCATCTCTTTTTTTTGTCTAATTTTTAAAATAGTCGAAAAAAAACGGATGAAAAATTGGTAAAATTTGGATGGATAAAAAACTGAAATGACAGATCCTCTTTTCATTCATTTTCTAAAATGCGGAGAAACACCATAGCCACCTCCAGAACCAATGAGAGAAAGACAACTCCCAAAATCGATTGATCACCTCGTGCTACGACAAGACCGAGGCTAGAAGACTTATAGTCCGAATAAAGCACATTTTAATTTCGCAAAAATTTTGAATAAAAAGGCAGTAATATCATCATACATATAATTCCTGCGCGTGTGAGCCTTTTCCATTGACTTAACGTTTAAATATACGAATAAAGTTCAAAATGCTACTGTAAGAAAAAAGTAGTGCATTTTTCAGCCTTCATATTGAATACATAGCAAGCGATCTCTGCTCTATGCTGTTAGATTTAAAATCATGCGTATTTCTTTATAATTTTCGTTTATATTAATAACTGATATATTTGCAATTTTGTTTTGAAGTTCGGAAACCCCCAAACCGGCTTTATGGGGTTCCAAAACTTGTGAGAAAATGTTATGACTACGAATTGAATTATGTATTTTGTAGTTTCCTAAAATTTTCAGATGTTTCAAAGTATCATGTCTTGTAAAATGATGTGCACAGATTTTATCAAATGGTTTAATGAAAATAAAATTACCGAGAAGAACATAGAGAATAGTGTTAAACCCATTTGTTGTGCTATTTTCTAAAATTCAAGGAGCTAAAAATATCGGTATTGACAACACTTTTGTAAAAATTTTTAACTCATCCCTTTTTATTGAAAAAAAGGAGAGAAACTGCTTACAGTATTGAAGAAATATTTTATTGAAATCGAAAGAAAGAAATATTAAAGTCGAAATATGAAAGTATTAGTATTATTACAAATATCGCATTAATAAATGTTAATGTCAATAAAATTATGAATTATTATTAAAGTACAGACAAAGTAGACCAGAGAAAAATGGGAATTTCAGGAACAGTGCAAAACATGGAATGAAATGTGAATTGATTAAGAAAAACGGGATACGGACCAAAATAATCGTCAATTAATAGCTCACTGGAATGAAAACATTGCAAATTTAGACAAAATGGAATAATAACACCAGGAATGCGTAATTTTCTAGTAATACCCAGTAATGCGAAATGAACAAAGACTAGACATAGGCGGCTGGCTGCCACGTGGAATCTCTTGGAGCTTCCGCGGAGATGTTTGGCGCTTTCGACTGCGGCGGTGTTGGCGGCGCGCTTATTCGAACCGCCGACGCCGACTCCTCAAGGCTTTCGGTGTAATTTTCACGTGACGACGCGGCACCTTCCGGTGCTGTCGGCTCCGGCGATGTTGTCGGCGATGATGGTGTTGTCTCGTTTCCGACTTTTGTCGAAAAAATTGCTGGATGCCGTACGGCGGGCGTTGCTGGCAGAGAGTTGCTGGTTGTCGGATTGTGCGGAATCAAGTTGGCCGGCTCCACCGGCGCTGACGGTCGCGATGTGCTTGGTGCGTTATTACCGTTGACCGACTTATCGACTTCTTGTGTTGATTTGGTGACCATTGGTGATGGTTTCGGTGCCTTCTTTTCGGCTTTCTGAAATTAGTATCAGGTGGTAGGCGCTGAAATGAGTGGAATGCGGTTTACTCAAAAAGTGCTATTTAAATAGTAAGCCAATTTTCTCAAGCTATATTGTCAGAAAAACACTTTTTTTGGTACCGTGCGAATATTTCTTGGCTACAAGTTCAGGGAAATTCGACTAATCTAAAAATAACTTTTCTAAAAATCATGTACTTTTGCCAATGCTTACTAATACTTTTTTTCGAAAATAGTCAGTTTTTTCACAAATTATTTATTGCAGCTTAGATTGACCGATTTTACTCAAATTTCAGGGTGCTCATCATGATTCACGTGTTTCTAGATTTGTCGCAATTTGCTCGCAGTGTCGATTCATATTACATTCATTAGCCGCCCAAATCGACTCACGTTTTTAAATAAGCTCAATCGCGTTTTGCTCGTCTCTCCATTCGAACCATTTTGGCCATTAGACGCTGTTTTTGACGACGTCGGAGAAGTTGCCAATGGCGAGCAATTCTATAAATGACGAATGCAATTGTATGTGCAACTAACATGAAATTCGCTCTTACTGTGTTGTTCGATGATGACTGGTCATTTTTGGTGACAGCGTGTGAAGCCTTTCTGACGAATTTGTTGAATAGACTGATCGAGTGATCCTGCAACTCAAATCCTGATATTCAGTAAAAAAATGCTATTGAAATAAATCATAGTATAATGCTTCAATAAATTTTCTGCAAAATTGACGAAATTGGCTAATATTTCTTCTTTAGTATGCATTCTAAATACCCATTAATACATTTCGTAAGAATAACTAAATGTAAAAAAAATATTTTTCAATGCTTGATCCTGAGAAACAAGGAGTAGTGGAACTTCGTCATCAGTGTGAAACTGATTATAATGTTTCCATTAATAAACTGATTGTCGGTCGGAATATACCGTGAATGTGCTCCACAACTCGCTTGTTTCCTGGAAATCATTCGTTTTCAATCTAATGATTAAAATAATATGACAATATATAGGTCAATTCTTTAATTTTAGTCATCGCTTAAAAAATTTACACTGCTTGAACGGACTAGAACGAAGAAATTGTAATACCCAATAAACAATAAAACTTCGTTTAGAAAAATCTCAATTACTGTAGTATAAAAATTTGAATAAAAAAGATAGCCATATATTGGTGATCAAAGTTTTTCTAAAATCCTACCATAATACAATCTAAGTAATTTTTTTCAATCTCAATGTATTTTTCATTTTTTGTCACTTGCTTATCGAATGAGTATCTAATAAATAAAGAATATGATTTTGTTAATGAATTAATAAGAATGATAAGTAAAAACTGTGCTGCCGACAATTTCATGATGTTTTTTTTGTCAATAAATCCCTCAAAAGTTTCGCCCCTTATTTTCTGTCCTTCTTTCCTCTCTTTGAAGCGTCATTAATTTGATTTGATTTTTCGTTTCCCAGAATGCACATATTGTATTTTGGTTACACCCTCCCTTGCGCATTCTTTGTGTGCGTCTTGGATGCACAATGAAACAAGACGTAATATGGAGTTTTCTGCGCGACCAACCTTTTGCTGATGAGATGAGTATTGCGCTTCATGATGTTGCGCGTGCGCGTGCCGATTTCGCTCATTGTCAGGCGGTATCTCGCAGTAGGCAATGTCGCCATGTTGATGAAATTTGAAGTTAGACTCAAACAGGAAATTGCACTGTTGACCGATGCATTGGTCGCGAGTTGAAAGACAATTTTTTCCCGAGCTCATGCGTTCTGAAAAGTTTTTTTTAACGCACATCAATTATTAGATTGCTAATAAAACAGTAATGAAATGAAAAATAGAGGGGTTTTTTACCGGCAAATTGAGTATCAGTCATCACGGTTAGCGTTTTTCCACCCATTAATCCAATTGAACATGAGCGTTTGATAGGCTCCGGCGAGCCATTACACACAATTTTCGCTATATTGATATCTATTGCGTATTTGAGCAGTAACGGCCGTAAGACGGCACCAGTAGATAATGAATGACGGGCGCGAACACATAACATTCTGAAATGTATTTTACTTTTTTAACAGTTGGTATTTCGGGAATTGAAGGATTTTCTATGGAATTGCATTACAAAAAATATGGTGGCTATTGGTGATTGTGAAAGGGAAAATAATTGAGGTAAAAAGCGTTGAATTTTCAAGCGTGGTTACCTTTTCCGATACAACCGAAAGAACACTGTTTCAAATAAAGTTTGAATCATATCATCGTTTTTTGTTGGTATTGAAACTTACTTAGTTGGGGTCGACGACGGATTTTTGAATGAGTAGTTTGGCGGTAGAAATTCGACAACGAAAGAGACGACAGGAACCAAGCGGAGAGCTCGGGATTGGAGTGCATCGATTGCCTGACGAGCCGGATCAATTGTGCTTCCCGTCTCGGCATCGACGACTTCAGTCAGGTACTTATCCATTCCCTGCTGCTCGGCCATTTCCTGCGTCCATCGGCGAACCGACATTGTCTGTAATGGGGGGTATTGAATTGGAAATCTAACTAAAAATATATCACAAATAATAATGAAAATATATATAGGCTTAGACAAAAAAACGTTTCAAAACACATTACGCGCACATCAATTTCCCAAAAAAAGATGACATTTGCATTTGCTGTTAAAAAACGGTCAGAAATGAATTTTGTGTGTGGAAAAAAAGAAAAAAAATCATATAGAGACTCATGCCAAAATAAGGATAGGTAAAGAAACTGAATATCAATTGAGCGTTTAATAGAAAGCTGTTTTAAAAAAGGAACACCAAAAAGTGTTTTTGATCAAATTTTGAAAAGTAAAAGTTTGTAAAAAAAAACGTGCAGAGCATCGTTTCCATGATAGAAAAAAAGTCATTCAAAAAAGTCCTGAAATGGTATGAATTAGTTTTAAATGATTTTAAGTAGAATATTTATTTACCTACGCATACAGAATCCTTCTTAATGACGAAATTTCAAAAAAAAATCTAAATGTCATATTCAAATAATTGATTGGCGACGGTCGGTTTTTTTCCGCGATAATTTAATTATGGTCATTTTTCTTTAATTCAAGCTTCCGCACCCAGTAATAATTCCTAATATGATACCTCAAAATTTGCAATCGTTCCATCGAATCAGACATAAGGTTGTCATTCAACCCAATACGCCATTTTTTTCTGATAAATAGTATTTCTGTCCTACTCTTTGAACTCCATTGTCAAAAATACGCCCACAGAGAAGCCCACATCAAATCTATTTTGATGATCATTGTCAAATGACATCATTCGAACTGTTCACAAATATTTACAATGTTCCTTGCTCTTTGGTAATGAAACAATGAACAAATTCTCCCCCCGAATCTTTATGTTCTTTTTGAGATCGAGTCCCTCCTAATTTCGCTTTTTCTATGAAGAATGTTACTCATCAATTATTCTAGATATTTGAGAACAAACGAGCACGGAGAAATTGCTAAATTAGTCATCGGGTGTAATGATCTCCCCAATATTTACTTTTACATTCACATGTTTTATGCAAACATATTCGATGTTAAATCAAGTTCTTGTTTCTCGGAACCTTGCGCAATTAAAAGAATTGCACATTGAATTCGAAAAGGCGTGGTGTACAAAAATGAGAATGTGTGGATGGTTAAGAAGCTAATCTTAGTAACCTTCAATAAAACTTTTAAAAAATGGTTTAAGAGGTCAAAACAAAATGTTTCATCTTGTCAAGAAGAAAATATTTGGCGTCAAAAATTGTGAAAGAAAAGAATTTATAAGAATAACTGATATTCTACCGTATACTACTACTACAATTACGTTTTTTAGGAAATTGAAGGTGCGTAACATTTCCCAGGTTTTGACAATTTATACATATAATTTTCTTTAAATTATATATATTTTTAAAATACTTACTTGGAATAAGGCTGCAAACTACATATTAAGTAATTTTTAAGCATTTTTATTAAATTTTTTTCTCAACATACCGGGTCATCTAAAACGACCGTTTCCGTATTGAACTGATCGCCAACCATCAGCTGACACTGTTTCGGCTCGACGTGCCTTCGACGCAAATGTGTCGGCGACAACGAGTTCTTCTTCACCGGCGATGTCATCTCCACTGGCATGCTGTACTGTTTCGAAGCTGCGAAGATATATCGTCGTTTTGATCCCGCTGAGCCGACAACACCTCTTCCAGCCGCCGCTTGCAGTGACGAACCTGATCCGCTCGCATCCGCCTCGTCCGCATTCGTCGGCGCGCTGCTCTCGCCACGCCGTAGTCGCCGTGAGAACCTATCCAAACCATGCCACAAAAGCGATTTCCTTTTCTCCTTGGTCACGCATACGCTCACAGCTTGCGACTGAGGCGCCTGCTGCGACGACGACTCGCCAAACTCGCTAGTATTAGTCGTTGCTGAAATTTCTGGGGGGTAATTAGAGAATGCCGAAATTCCGTCCCCTCCCTTCTTCAACTCTTCCCGCTTCAACTCGGTGCTATTTCTAGCCGCGCAAATATTTTGCCAAAACTCGAGCATCGTTCAATTCCCAAAAATGTCATAAATTTCATAATACAATGCGAATCGTTTTATGTCCAATTTTTTTTGTCCAATTGCCTATGCCTCCACTTTGGCAAAAGAAGTGTATGCTCGCCAACTTAATGCCCATCTATTCGGCTACTAGCTCATGAAAATTTAACAACCAGCCCTCCTCGTCGCAATTTTTTTTTTCGTTGACGCTCGACGCCCCATTACTAACATGCCGGCTGACTCGGCCCGTTCTTCTCATCCTCATCTGCCGCCAGCTCCTCATCCGTGAATGTCGGCTGAATGTTGCTCGTCGATCGTAGAAATCGCGGCCAACAATCATATTTGAGAAGATGGAGAATCTAAAACGGGAAATGATTGTGAAAATAAGAATTGCGATGAAATTAATGAAAGCGTGTTACTTGATATTGAGCAACATCATAGGTGTCCTTTGGAAACGCGCCACTATTCACCGTCTCCCGAATCCTCTTGCTCGTTGAGTTATCAATATTCACGGGCTCTGTACTGTTCATAGCAAAATATCGATCATATATTCGCTTTCCAAAAGTCACACGCTCCTGAAACAACGGGGGCAATTTGAAGGCAAAAAAAAAACAACAATGAAGATGTATAATTACCGTAGTAGCTTTTATAAATTTGCTACGCCCCCCCTGGTCGCATTTTTTTTCCAGGTAATGGTTGCAGTCACTTTTTGTACACTTCATTAAATTTGCGGTTTCTCAATTTCAGTTCAGTGCTCATTTTTTTATGGTTAAAGGAGTTTGATGGGGAATAAAATTTTGTACTTTCGAACATTATTGCGTGAATATATTTAATCATACGGCTAGCGTTGTATCACATACAATTCTATGCGGCTCTTGTTTTTCTTTACATAATTCGTGAAAATTGCTAACCATAAAACCGCCACATAAATTTTTATGTAGCTTCTTTCGCGGCACCGGCTGTCAGTGCCACCCAACAAAAAAAATTACCTGGAAATCATTGATCTCTTTGTACTGCTCAACCGCCAGATAGAAGTTCAAGTTTTCTGCACAAAACTGCTGCTCAAGAAATTCTTGGAACGGAGCCCGCAAGACTGGATCGCGTAGAACCTTTTTGAATATCTGAAATATCGTATAATGTGAAATTCAGATAAAATTTCTTGATGGTCCATAACAAACCCCAAGTTCGTCGGTCCCTCGTTTACCCATGTTTTCTTAATTTTTTTGATTAAGTTGGTTGTGCTTCTAAAACTGGAGCACAATTTTTTTGGAATACGATTAAAGAAGATTGAAGACAGTTCCAGAGAATGAACAATGGAAAGAGGAAATTGAAGCGTTACAAATAAGGGAATATGCCCTTCATACAGGAAATTGAAAGCGGGTGCCTAGAATAGACTCAAACATTCATCAATGCCCGATTTTTGTGGTGACTCGAAAAACAAATTTGGTTTGGAAGAGAAACCAAATTTATGCAGCACGGCCTAATTTATAATATATACACACTCACTCACATAGTTAATGCATAGAAAACTATAGCATCAATTAAATTGTGTCGGAAATGTACGCCTACAAGGTAGACGAATTGAAAAGAATTTTTAAAAAATTTCAATGTGAAATAAATTTCTTCTATTTTTTGAAGCGAATCCATTGCGGCTTCCATGGAAATTATGAGAATACTATGATTTATAATGGTTTCGCATGACATCGTAAATGGGCAGTAAATGAATTGATTCGTAGTTTAATTTTCAAAAACCGAGCCATGCCGGTCACGTCATGGAATTGCTGTTCGGGTTGATGATGGAAATTGGAAGGAAATGAGCCAAGGAATATATACGTGTGCGAAAAAAAGAAACGAGAACACAAGGCGACGACAAGAAAAAAAAATTGGATTTTAATTCAAAAACCCGCCACATCGATATTTTTGATTCAAGTGGCTTGCATACGCTTTTTTCGACTTGACGAAATCGACATCTTATTCTAAACGCTGCATAAACATGCTAGAAAATTATAACTCTGAACAAATGGCGAGGGAAGAGAAACAGAGTCAAAATTGTACTGTTAACTCTATTGGGTATTAATTAGTGTTATCTTGATTCGAGGACGGACAACGTTATAGATAAAACAAAACTAGTGATGGCATCGCGGTGTGGACGGCTGCTGCCGCCGCAGCTGCTAAAAATAAAAACCGGCTCAGAAGTGTTAGTGGGGCGAGATCGGCCCGAAAAATTAATAAAGAACTCGTTGCGAGTATTTGGGAATGATGAGATGACTAGCTAAATATGAATGCGCTTCACGGCTCACTGAAGCGCATTCGGCTCAATAATAATATGTATAAAAGAAGACGATCGTTTCAGTAGTTGGGTGCTAATAATCATTATCAGTGAAACACCACGAGCAAAAAAAAGTGTGTTTCATTTTGACAAATTTTTGGTATTGACACAGGTCTCCAATGTTTGTTCTAACAATGTCAAACAGTGTATTTTTGACGAATATATGTATCCATATGAATGGCTGGTAAAAGAGGTTTTGATGAATGAATCTCTTTTTTTTATTCAAAAAGATGGGAGGAAAAAAGGTTTAATTAAATGAGCAAAAATATTGGGTGGAGAGCCGATGGTTGAAAAGAAAGCGAGCACTAAATGAAAAGCGCGTGTGATTATCGGGGCAAACAACATTTCCAAATATAGAAGAAGGGTCGACGAATGGCGAATGAAGATTATCCATCCTCAAAGAAAGAACCAAACTCTTCTAAATATCGCCAACCTTTGCTGCGAAAAGGTTTTTCCGAAAATGATTATTCATAAAGCTGATCATTGGAAATGAGAAAGTTGGATAATAATATTCAAACATTACTCGGCTCATTCCCACTCCAAGTGTATAGATTTTCTTTGGGCGCGAGTGAAGAAAAAAAATACGCGACTCCGTCACGACAAAGCAATTTTATTTGGGTTTGTGTACTACTACTTCTTTTTCATCAAACATACATAAATCTTTCTAATTCGAGCCTCATGCCGAGTAAAACGTATTTGCCGCGCGAAATTGCGGCTTGTCATAAATTCGAATATGTTGTTACCATGTATTTTAATGCTGGTACGAGCTATTCGACAAGGTAAATTTTATTATTTTTGCTTGTAAATTATTCAGAAAATATCAATCAAATAATTACACCTTTCGATTGAAGCCTCCATTATTTCCCCCTTCACTAGCCCTAAAAATTCGAAAAGCTTCAAAGCTGTGACAAATCTGTCTACGTTTTATCCGGAAGAAAAATCCCAACTTCAATTTTTTTTATTCATTTCAACGGAAAAGCTCGTTGATGTAAAGTTGAATACGTTCCAACAATTTCAAAAGAAATGAGAAGCAGGTGACTCATTAAATCACATATTAGAAAATTCAATAAAGGTCAAATTATGATTTGTAGTTTGTAGCGATCAAAAATATTAAAATTTGAATTTTTTTAGCGAATTTTAGCATAAAACTAATATAAATATAGAATTTTAAAATGGGAAAAAGTGGAAGGTTGGAGGCATTGAATTTATTCTCGAAAAACGTAGCTTCCGTCAAGCTCTATTTTAATAGTGACACTATTTGAAAGAAAGTGTTTCAGTTTCCCACCGAGTTCATTATTAACGCAATTTCTCTGGATTTCCTTTCCTCGACATTTTATTAATCAAAAGACCTTGAGAGGGGGGATGGGGTTTTGGTGGTTGGAAGAAACTCTCGAAATAGAGTGGGAGAGCAGAAACTTTAGTTGCTGAGTTGAGCTCAACGGCATACAATCGTCCGGTTCTCGACTACAATCGCCAAAACTACCAACTCTTTCCACCTATTGTACTTTTTTTTCTTCAAATGTCATTCGGTGGGGGTACCTCATGTCGCCAAGAAAAAAAAGCATTTCCCCCCTTCAGCGGGTTTCGATTGATGGAAAGGCGGAGACGAACGACTTCAACTCCGACAAAATTAATCCGATTGTAGTGCACCACTCAGTTTTTTTGAAGAAAAACCAGCCCAAAATTGGTTGAGTGAAAAAAAAAGGATGCTGGAGACTGAAGGAAAAAAAAGAAAAGAATAGGGGGGAAGAAGATCCGCCAATTCCTTCTCTTCATTTTCGTTTCATTTCATTTCTAGATGAATTGGAGGGGGCGAGTCCGCTGGAGGCTAGTTGGATGGCGGGGACCTACCTTGAGTTCTCGCGACGAATTCGTCTCCGTCGTCGACTCGCCAGCACCGCCAACCGTATTCGGCTCGCTGGATGAGCACGAGGTCGACATCTCTGTCGACGGCACAGTGTCGGTCACTGCAAAAGAAAAATTGTAATTGTGCAAAGGACCGCAGAAAAAAATCGGCCATTTTCCGTTATTATGGGCTGAATGGCTCAAATGTAAGACAAAACAAAACAAAAAAAACAACAACAACAACACATGAAAGAGTTGCAGAAGAAGGTCGTAATAGTTATCGAAGGCTCACTCACTCATCCATACACTCATTTACACACACAAGGTTTGAGTGTATCCATGAGTGAGTTCGCATGAGTGTCTATGTATAATAGAGGGTAGCAGCGAGTGCGCGAAAATCGTCTCACAGGGAGTAATAGAAAGTTTTGAAATGCTCTCCGAGCCATTGCCAATGGACATGTATTTCCTCTCATTGTTATTTCATTGTTCACACAAGTGTTTTTTTTTTCTAATTTTTTTTTTCAAAATTTCTGTTTCTCTAATTTCTTTGTAAAGAATTAATTTTTCGTTCAAATTCATCGTTATTGTACATACAGGCATACGCAGAAAATCATATGCATGTATATAAATAAATATATACATTTACAAATATCAACTCGGCTTCCTTTCTTTCTCTCTTTCCTTATTTTCGATTCTGTGCCTAATCAGCAGCTGGAGCTTTCTTTCTTTGCTTCTTCTCCTTTCTTCTTCATTTTTTTGGAAACGGACGTGCCGGAGGAGCTCTAACCAAAAGAAAAACTCGAAGGAAGAGGTGGAAAAGCAAAAAAAAAAAATCGTGGGGAGAGGGAGAGAGGGAGGCAAGAAGATCTATCCAAAAAAGAAAAAACCATTTAAGCACGCTTTTGCTTTGCGCGCGTGCCTAGAGGCCACAAAGAATTATACAAATGTACTGGAGGCTGTGAGAAGGAGAGTCCCATTCCACCCCTCTTCATTCAGCGCGCAATTTTTGTTTCTAGGGAAGCTGGCTCTTCGCCGTCGCCGTCACCCTCACCACTCTAGCCTCTCGCCAATCCTCATATAGAAGCGCCTTAGGCAGTATACACGAGTCGGCGCCCTCTCCAAATATATCTAATCGTCAGCTTTTGCTTCTCGTCTTCAAAACTAAAGATAAAGACCACGCCTCAGAGTATTGACGACGATGGGACACTCGTCAACTGATGGACGTCTGGATACCCTACATACAATAGAAAAGACACCTCCCACTCATCATCATCATCAGCATCATCGTCTAATAATGACAAAAAAAACAATTTTGATACATTATTGCCTTATGGGAAGAAAGAGAGAATGAAGGAAATATTGAGAAATGGATCCAGATCGCATGTGCGCCTTTGAGTAATAGAATTCACCAATAACAAAAAATAATATATTTATTACTACATACATCGTTTCTTTTTGTTAAATAATGAGAAAAATGTATCAAAAAATAGCTGGGAAAGTTGATCGTGAACTACAGAACCGAAACAAATTTCCAACTGAAAACACACCGAACCAAATTTGGAACATGAAAGTTGAAAACTCCGTGAAACTGGGAGAAAATTGCTCATTGAGCGGACACTAATTCTGGTTTGAATTTGTTTCAGATTCAATCCCACAATAAACGGTTTTGTTTGAAAAATTTCGATATAGTAGAAGCACATGTTATTCGGTGAACAACTTTAGCAGAATTCCAGCGCATTTTCTCACAATCTTGGAACGAAATTTAATAAAAAAATGAAGAGAGTGCTTTTTCTTGCTCAAAAAAACTGAAGGATAAATGGTGACAAACTGACAAAAAATGGTGGTTAAAAATCTAAACCCAATTATAATCACATTTACATGTTTTTCTCGCTTCGACTTCACACCCCCCTATAATTAATGTTGCAGGTTTTCACACTGAAAAGAATCAAACACCCAACTTTGTTACCCAATTTTCTCAATAGCAAATCATATTGCAAATATAACGAAGCAGAAACAACAGCAAAATTCTTGAAATATAAAAATCGGCTGCAATGCAAATCTATGTATATTTGAATTTCTATTCGCCTACGTGTCGAAACTTCGTTTTCTGGGAGGGAGGGAAATAAACTTTAGTTGCACCAAGAGCGAGAAAAACGAAATGGATGGGCCACACGGAAAAAAAATTGATGTTGTTTCGGTACCACCCAACCGACAAATACATAAATTCACATTCATATATATATATATATAAGCTAATTGAAAAATCATGCAGAAGTAAAATATGGGGGGAAGGAGGTTGTTTACTGTTTTTAATTGTTGTTTACTAGCAGCAAAATGTATCTTCACAGTCGGGACCACATTGTTTTGTCTTTTGTGAAAGAATTAGTATCACTCATTTTTTTTACTCGCTTCGTTTTCCCGCGAGTTGATGCTTTATTTTATTCGCCCGTTTCGCCGCCGACGGCGTTGAGGCTTCATTTAGCTGGCACACGAACAAGAATCAACATGCATAACTAAAGGAATGAACATTTTGAAGGTGTCATGTTAGGCTAGGCAGGAGCGCCGAGAAAATGCAATTATTGTCAATAAGGTTAGCATAAGTTAAGTTAATACCCAAGTAAATCCCATTTTAAAAAATTGGCGGGGAAGCAGCCGAGTGCCGGGTATTTTTTTTCGTAAGGAGGGATGGACGGGAGGGAGGGTGGGGCTTCTGGAGGCGGATTACATTTTAAGCCATTCTGGTTTCTCCGAAAAAACTTTTTTTTGGGTTGGCCGTGGCCGATTCTTGTATTTTTTCGTTGCGTGAATTAGTATGAGGGGTGACAAAATGAAAGAATGTGGGAAATTATTGAAAAAAAGGCGATGCTCCCCCCCCCCTTCCCCGCCTCTCCGTTGTCGATGGGCGGGTTTTTCTTCATACTAATCGAAGACTTAATGATCCGCCATGTCAATGTCAGAGCAATTTTAGAGTTGAAAAGCATGCCAACCGCACTCGAGTTCTTTGCGAATTATTATCTTCGAGGCTCGCCTCACAAACAAAATTGGCGAAATTTTCATTATAAACCATAATTATTGTTCACAGAACACATGGATGACTCAAGATAAACTAGATAATCAAAATTCAAGTTTGCAGAATTTGCCGAATCATCAGCATTGGTTGAACTAGGCGATGAATAGCTAATTTTTCTTCAAACAATTGAAAAATACGAAATGAATTCCTCCCTAGAACACAAAAATTGTAGAGAGAGCGACAAAAGTTATAGCCATTTTTTTTTGGTGGAGGGGGAGGTGGGGAGTTTCACCAAGGAGAAATGAAAATTCGACAAAAAAAAGGCCACGACATGATTCGCGAAACATTCGTATTCGTAGCTAATAAAGTCGCAACATATACAGAATGTAGTGCAAATTTCTTTCCGGCCAGGTGCCGCTCATTTCCGCTTGGTACCACCTTTTTTGGTGAAGTTTTCCTCTTCAATTCGTGCAAATCCAAGTATTAATTTTGCTAAAAGGAATTGCAGAGGGTGGGGGGAAACAAAACGAACCAATCTGAATCGAACAAGTCAGGCTTATCTATAGTCTATGAATACATTCAACAGCGCCATAATCCCATGCAGCGACCAACTAAAAAACACACACACACACACACGCAGCACAAAATGGTTTAAAGGCTGCAGACACGCGAAAAAATCGTTAAGTGACCTTTACTGCGCCTTTAAACCCCATGGATTATGAAGCGGATTGTCGTTTAATTTGTTCTCTGTCCACAATGGGCGAAGATGGAGAAGAAAATCGTCAAAAGATTTCTGCTCCAAGTCCCTTCCAATCCATTTGCTAGGCGCGAAAAAGAAAAGCATTTTTTTCGGGGGGGAAGCCTCGCCTGAAAATTAACGACACACACACGCAGTAATCGGTCTCATGAAAACTTGGCGCGCCGAAATTAGCCATCTGAATACATGGCATCAATGTGTGTGTGTGTGTGTGCGTGTTGAGAGTTTTTTTTTTCTACTTTACTTCTTGGCGCGCGCGCCCGACCGACAAAAAAAAGCATGTGCGAACTCTTCAATTTGAAAAAAATGGCGCGCCGGCGAGCAAGCGCAAGAGCGCACGCGTGTTGCGCGCAACCCGCGAAAAAAAAAGTATAAACGTTTCGTTTTTGAAAAGCGGCGCTTCACTGCACGTTTTCATTGGCAATGAGTTGCGAAAATTGACGACCGGACAGCAACAGGAACTTCTCCCCCCACTCTCACCCCCCCCCTCAGAAAAAAACTATATTGAGAAAGAAAATGGAGAAACGGAATATGATCATCACGTATCATCTAAAAGGGTGTAAAGATCAAACAAATTTGCATTTTGATTGCATTGTTCGTTTCTCGTGACCATGAAAGGTTTCAAAAACGCATTTTCTATTTATAGGCGCTTGAATATCCGAAAATGAACTGAAAATATTTTTCCTGTGGAGTGGAAATTAGAAATCGCTTAGTGATTAGAAAGTGGATGAGTAATCTGGTAGATAAATAATTGAAATTCATGAAAATTAGAAATAATGAACAATCAGAAAAAAAATGAATTCCGAAAATGAGTTGTTGAAAACAAGTATTACTCATTAAATAATTGGGACAGTCACCACTTTATATCATAAAGTATCAGAAAACATTCCAAACTCTAACTTCAAGAATCGTATCAAATTTTTGTAATACTCTTGTTTGAAATTGCTGAGCGCAAGCAGGAAGGGAGCATCATGCAAGACCACTAACCTGCTTGATTTTCCGTTGTCGCCATAGCTTGAGCGTATGTTTTGCAATTCTGAATGAAACAATACAATCTTGGCAATTGAAAAAAAAGAATCGCGACGCTTCATTATGTCGAGGTGAAACACAAAAAGACAAGGAAGAAGTAGTGGGAAAATGTTGAAAAGAAGGCGAAACCCGGCGGCAGCGAAGACGAAGAAAAGAAGAACAGAATTGTTTTTAAATTGAAAAAAAAAATAAGGAAAAAAAGTTTTTCTAATTGCTCGAAAACAAGAATTCTCGATGCGCATATAAGGCAAATGAGACGACAACACCAATGAGTCATAATACCTCGCTTTCTCGTTTTTT